TGCAATAGAGACAGTGATTGGCAAACAAACAAGAACACATGCACAGTGGTATATGAAAGCGCTTTGTGAGACGCTGATCATCTATTCTACACAGTACAATGGCTGATAACGATAACTCCTTCGTTCCCCGGTCCATTAAAGCCTTGAATGGCAAGTCAACCTAACTCCCATCTTATTTTTATTTTTATCTTGGTCTCACACATCTCATAGCATCTACCGTTTGCAAAGATTGAGAGCTCGATGTTGACATGTCTTGTGATGTTGGACAACTAGTGGAGCAGAGAGATTATGCTGAACAGGAAGGTAACATACCTATGTGGTTTTGCTCTAGAATAATGTCCTCAGCCGTGTGATGTTTCAGAGGAGATTTTATGTTTCAGTGAAGGAATCTACTCTGTATTAGTGCATAAAGGCAACCCAGTTGTTTTTTTTCAAAACTTGAGACAATGGTTTTCCCTGTGCAGTTCCCTACAAATCAAAACACACTAGACCTAAACCTCAATAACTTTTCGTATGATGCAATATAGACGAGCGGTTGAGAAACTAGTGAGAAATAAAGCTTTAGATTCATGCACCCACTGAGAGGAACACCAGCCTATTGGGAGAAAACCACAAGATATATTTTTTCCATGATCAGACAGAACTCCCAGATTTTCTCATTCTGAGAAGCAATCCTGTGACAACAAAGTTGTTGACTACTTTTACCGAGTTGAGTTTCAGCACAGAGGAAGTCTACACATTCACTGTCTCGTATGGGTAGAATGTGCACCTGTGCTCGATGAGGATAACGGTCAGACTGTGTCACCTTTTGTGTCCAAATACATCACAGCTCAGCTCCCTGACCCACGCACACAGCGTGAACTGCAAAAAGGTCATAGAAGTGCATTTACGCAGCAAAAAACACTCAAGGATGTTTCAGAAGTCTCCGCTTGGGTTGTAGATTTGGATTTTCCAAACCACCTTCCAGAAAGACAATCATATTGAGACCAGGTAAGGGCGTTGATCCGCTGCAAGTGCAAATAGCACTGGCCTAAATCCTGAACAGTTTTTCTTTTACATCAATGGTGCTGCAACAGGAAAGTCACATCTCATTAAATGCATCTACTCAGACCATCTAAGATACTGTGCAAACTGTCCAGCCATTCCGATGAGGTTGACTTATTAATTCAATTCATTTTATTTTATTTTGTATAGCCCAAAATTGCAGATTACAAATTTGCCTCAGAGGGCTTTACAGTCTGTACACATGCGACATCCTCTGTCCCGAAAACCCTTCACGTCGGCTTAGAGATTTACATGAGCAGCCTGATAAAAGAATTACAGTATTCCAGTCCAGAAGTAACAAACGCATGAACTAGTTTTTCTGCAGCACTTTGAGACAGGAAGTTCCCGATTTTCAATATATTCCATAGATGAAAAAAGGCAGTCCTTGTAGTCTTCATATGAGAGTTAAAGGACATATTCTGGTCAAAGAGAACTCCAAGATTCTTGACGGGGTTGCTGGGTACCAGAGCAATTCCATCCAGAGACACTGTATCACGAGACTGCTGACTTCGAAGTCTATCAAGATAACTGTTTTTTAGTGTATTTCGTTTTTGTTTTTTTAAATTTAGTATCAAGAAGTTGCAGGTCATTTTTGGAGGTCCAGTTCCTTTAATACCAATCAAATGTTCTAGTCTCTGCAACAGGATACAACAATCAATGGTGTCAAACCCCACTTGTAAGGATTACAGGTATAGGGACCCAAAAGCACAACTCCGAGGCAGAATCCAATCAAAAGTTCTTTACTGATACAGGGTCAAAATTCTATCCGGTCAAAACCGGGATAGCAGTCCAATGGGCAAACAAATCCAGAGGGGCAGGCAGGAAAACCGTAAACGGGGACAGGCAGGGTTCAGAAACAGGATGTCAATCCGACAGGCAAACAAATCCAGAAAGGGCCCTGGCAAAGAGTTTGTGGTCAAGAGAAGGCAGGCTAGGTCAGGACGGGATATCAGTAATCGGAAAAATGCTGGAAAACTTGGCATGCACACAAGACAATCTGGCCGTGAGCAACAGAATGTGACGGGCTTAAATAGTGAGTGACTGATGAGGGGAGGCACCACAGGTGAGGATGAGGAGAACCAGGTGCAGGAAATCAGGTGACGAGGAGGATCTGAAATGACAGGAGAGTTATTGAACATGCAGGGAAGATGAAAAATAAACTATGATCTGGGCGTATGTGTGACACCACTGCAGAACCGCAGCCTTTAATATTTCATGATCAACACTGCACTCTCCTCAAGCTTTCACGAGTTGTCTCAAGCAGACAGAGCTTTGCTGTCGCAGACCATCACTGAACCATTTCTTTGTCCAGCTAATGTCCTGCACATCTTTGCAACTAATGAACAGGTTGATTTACACAACATTCTAAAATCACCAAGAGTGATGCACATGACTACTAGAAGGACCCACAAACTGGAAATATGGCTCGACAGTTCACAGACCTTCTGTCCAATGAGCCTTATTTTTTATTTTCCCAACACTTCCACCTCCCACCAACAGGTTCCACCTTATGACTTAGACAACAGGGAGTCTGTTCACTAGAAACAAAGTTCACTTATCTACAAGCACTTTGTTTTTGCCCAGAGCCCCTGGGCTGTGAATTATGGCATTAGAAGGCAAGGAACTGTCTGTGGTGATGAATCCTGGAACATAAGAATAGGTGTCAACTGACATGAACCACTCTCCCCTAGACACAGAACGCAAAGCGTGGGACATTGTTGAGTCCGCTCAGGTCTAGGACTGGACGTGGCCAAAGCCTCTCTTTCCTACAAGAAAGTTTACTATTTTTCAAGACCACAGCGTACCTGAGTATTGTCGTTGACCATATCAATACATTTAAGACAACATTGTAATATTGTATTGTATGTATGTATATTGTAATATTGTCTGGCCACTTTGGCAATCAATCCTCATACATTGTATGATATCCTACAAATTTTGTTTTCAAATTTTTTGTATATTTTCCAATGAAAGTCTGCTACACAAGAGTTTCAGCTTGTTACATGCCAATGCTCTTTTTAAAATAAACTTGCCGTCACAGGAAACTTAAATAGCTCAAGGAAGAGACTGTTGTTTGGCTTAAAGGCCCAATGTGTATGATTTAGTGGCAGCTAGTATCTAGTTCGTGGCAGGTTGCAAACCAACTAAATACCCCTCAGCTCAGCACTCTCTTTTCCAAGGGTGCATGAAGTGGCCGCAGAGGTATGTTGTTTTGCTGAATCTACCAATACGGTTGTTCTTCTTGTGAGAACAGTCTCAAAATTAGTCTTTTTAGAATGAAATTCCCTCTTTGTGTTTGCAGAGGAAGTTTTTCACGTTCTATTTTTTCCTTAAGAGGAACTAAGTTACTTTGGCAGGTACAAATCAGATGTCAGTCTGTTAACATTATATTCAGTAAAGGGCGGTTTTGCAACATTAAGTTTGAATTCTGATTTGGAAGCTATTTATTTGACCATTACACAAGTTGATACATTTGGATGCAGAGGTCTTGCTTTATTCATGTCGAGGGATTTGTAGAATGTGGACCTGCGTTGTTACACATTGCCCAGTAATACACATGCTATCATTCCATTTCTATAAATAACTCATGGGTGGCTTGATATCTCCTATCTTCCTGATAACTGCTTGATCTTGAAAAGGACTCAGTTGGCCCAGTAGTCCATGTCACTGAGCATTGTCTTGTCGTTGTAAGGATAAACTGTTATTCAGTCCTAGTCCAAGTCAACAGTGGGCACAAAAGCGGAGGCTCCGCACCCCCATGGTTCATAATAGGTCCCAGAGCTGCTTCATCCTTTAAGTGACCCCCAAATCACACACCCTGCCCTTCAAGCTAACGTATTCCAAACTCCTTTGAGAATACCAGATGGATTTCAATGCGTTTCATAGGCATTGCATAAACGTGTTACTCTCTCTGTCACAACAATTAGCAGTGTTTAACCTGCAGGAATCCCTCTTTTATCATGCAGCATCCTCGCTCACTTATCTTCTCTGTAAATAGATCATTTCCTCCTGATACACTCCTGTGTTTGTGTGACCTCGGGACAGAGATGACATATTGTAAAACGTTGCCACCCTCCCCCAGTCTCCCAGCTTCATACTGCGCCTCTAAAGTTCAAACACACCTCACTTGTAAATATTTCTTATTTCTTAACATAAATGCTCTCGCCACCAGGTTTTCCCACGCTGTGCTGATGTCATACTCTGGCATGCGACCCGCACCCCAGACCTCAAACCTGTCGGAACGCAAGGCCATCTTCTAGTCTTCTAGTTTGAACCCCCAATAGCAGGAAAAGGAAAAATGCTGGAAAACATCCACTGTCAGCCTGTTCTTACCTCAGTTTCCTAGCCTGTTTTTTTGGCCTGCTCCAAAAATGGGATACCCATGATACCAAGTGTAATAACTCTCTCTCTATCTGGGCAGAATGGAATTCTGTCAGGATAAAGGGGAACTCCTGTGAGTGTTCTGAACGTGCAGTCTGGGTAGGCACAAAAATTAATTAAGTAATTAATATTTTAGAGAGAGAGAATAGTACACAATACGTCATCCTGATTGGAAATTCCTCAATATCGACCGTGGGTATGTGCCGAGCTTGTGCGTAACGTTTACTGTTTAGAGGAGTTAGCCTAAAAAATAAATGAGGTCAAAAAACTCAGTCCCAAGCTGTTACGGACATCACCAAACTGCCTAGAAGCCCTGTAAACCATAGAGATACCAAGCTAAAGACTCATATATACGTGACAGTCACAGTAGCCCAGTGTGTGGACAGCAATCATGGAGTTTCATGTTGTCAATTATTACTCTAGAGGTGACTTTAGTGCAGGCCTCACAGAGGAGAAACAGCAGCACTGAAAATCTGGATTTTTTTCCTAAATCCGGCTCTTGTAGGCATGTGGTGACACAAAACAATGGCAGTTCCTAAAGAGGAATATGAAAGCATGAAACAAGAAAGTCTGAATGTTTTCAAGATACTTTATTCATCCAGTAACTGTAAAGATTCAAGCTGTGAATACAAACTGAAAAATATATATATATTTCTTACTGCAAAGAACTAAAAGAAAAAATATAGTAACCTAAAGACCACAGAATTTTATCTGTCCAACATGTGATGCCATCTGTGACTGGAGGCAACCGCTCAGTATCAAATATCACTTCAAAATATATACTATAATAAAATACTTTTTTACTACTGTAAAAAGCTCTCATTTTTATATATGTGTCGCTACCACTACACAGCATTTCATCTATGTTTAAATTAGCAGACTAAATGCTACTCTTCAAACGAAAGGGAATAAAGGGGAAAACATATATTCCCAGTAAGCCAATCAGCTGGGACAGTGTGATTTGCAGCTTTGAGTGTGACTATTTAGGTACCGTGAACATTTCCCTTATGAGAGATTTTACAGTGCATTTCTGCCTTGACCAATTAACTCCTATCTTTACACAATACAGAGCTAAAAAAAGCTCCTTTCTGCATTTGAACTATTCCTACACAGGCACAGTTGTGGGGTGTGCTGCAATTCACAAGTATCTTTCAGAGCTCCGTCCTGCCGCTTCCTGGGCTGCCCGCAGCTCCGCCCTCAGCTACGGCGGTGGAGGCAGGTGAGGCCCCTCCGTCTTTGGGCTGGAAAGCCAACGAGGCCGAGTTGATGCAGTAGCGTTTTCCTGTGGGTTTTGGTCCATCATCAAACAGGTGTCCCAGGTGAGCGCCGCACTGAAACAAATTGGGTAAAATTGACTTTCAGGGACTTATGCGACTAAGTTTCCTCCAGCCTGCACACAACTCTGAACAGCTAGAGGCTAACAGACGTCATAGCGGCAACAGTGCTGACAGAGCTAACGTTGTGACCTAAGGAGAGGTGGAGGCTGGGCGGTCCACTCGTGACCAAAAGGTCTGGGGGACGCATTATATGACGCAGCTGCTGAATGAGTGCTGTGCAGTGCGATGGAGCAGACACACAGCCGTCAGAGTGCCAGACGACTACCCCCCCCCCGTCGGCTGGTCCGTTCCCCCGACTACTATCACCACCCAACGGTTGGCTGGTCCGTAAACTGAGGGGGACACACAGCACGTGCACACGTTTGATTGGTCAGCACAAAGCGTTCCTCGACGATATTGTTTTGTAGCAAGAGCTTTGCCAGAATTCTTATTTTTGGCTATTGAAATCTGTGTGGCCAAATGTCTGTTCTGAGAATCGTCTTCCGACAGGAAGATGAGCAATTTTATGAAAGTGAATCACGGCACTGGGGGAAGACGTTTTAATGCATCCAAAAGGATCCCCATTTGCTGAAAGGGGGCGGAGACTGTGGTTAGCAGCCACCCTCTGGGTTTGATGTGTTGTGACAGTCGGCACACTGTAAATTATGAAACCATGTGAGCCTCCCAGAACTGCCTCTAAAAAAACATACAAGAAAAGAAAATAAAGTTTTAATTGTAGAATACGAAAAGGGGGGGTTATATTCACTCTTCCATTCATTCAAATGTTCTTGCTTTTGTCTGTGAAACGTGGCACAGGAAAGGCGATGTGCATTACTTAGATTAGATTAGATTAGACTCGTGACACGTGAGGTCGCAGGTGTTAGGCAGCAAAGCAATGTTTGTAGTGTACCTGGCCACAGGTGGTCTCCACTCGGTGAATCCCGTAGGAAAAATCATCTGAAACAGTGACGGACTCCGCCTTCACAAGGTCAGAGAAGGACGGCCAACCTGCACACGTCATGGCCTCATATTAGGAAGGTGGAAAACTAGTGGAGCATTTGCAATGTGGTACAGATATTCAGGGTGAGACATCCTAATGACTCAATGTGTCCAATAAATGACTGAAGACATGTAAAAGTGATGCACGCTAATATACTAAACTACCTCACCATGCCAGGCCTCAATGTTAGCGTGGCTGTAACAGGATGTCACTGAATTGCATTGCCTGGCTTTCAAAGCACTTCATATTTCTAACAAAATCTTAATATAGGAATATAATATAAAATATCTCCCATCATTAACTGTGTTCCGTTTCCTAAATTGTTTTCGTCATCCGTTGCTCGGTTACTGAGAGATGAAACGTGGCGAAACAAGTCAATGATGAGTAAATATTAGCATTTATATAAACTCACAACAGAATTATATGGATAAGAGATTCAACATGTTCTGGTTAAAACAGCAGAGAAGAAAAACAGCAAACGTGTTTCAGAGGTTCAGCTTACCTGATCCAGAGTCAAATTTAGTGTTCGAGCTATAAAAGGAACAAAAGTTTAATTAAAGGAAGTTCATTCATTTCATTGTTTGATAAAAAAAAAAAAAACTTCTCACTCACATTGTATTATATACATGTAACATTGTATTGCAGTGGATTCTTACGGCTTCCAATGTTTTTGTTTGGAATTTTTTTATTCAAGACCACACGCACACTCCACAATTGCGCACACACACACACTTGCGCGCGCACACACACACACACACACCCCCCCCACACACACACACACACACACACACCTACCTGAACAGCACAGCCCCACAGACCACACACGTGTAGGTTCCCTCATCTTTGTGATGTGTGAACCCTCCAGTGAAGGCACTGTGGAAAACGTTTGTAAAAATGATCGGCTAAATAATGATGAACAAATAAGTCAATGTTGTTTCTGTTACGGAACAACAACGTGTTTTCTGTGTTCAAAATTTTGGTCGCTTCTATCGCCAGGTCGCAGGAATAAAAAGCAAAGCATTTAGGTCGGAGTTATTTGCTGCGATACATTGCACTAAATAATTGTTGTGTAATTCTCAATGTGTATGGGTTTTTGTCGCTGTCTAAACATTAATGAATGAAGGTATAACAGAGGATTGACGCAGATTGTTATAAGAACGGAGTGTGTGGCGTCATAATAATAATAATAATTATAATAATATTTGTAAAAATCAAAGAATATGTTTGTTAAGAGAAAGTCTGAATCCTCCTTTGGATGACTTTCACGAAACACGTGAGCATTGAACGTAACACGGCGACGTTGAACATAACATGAAGTCATTGAAGTAATACAACTTTGAGGTAAATGTAACTTAATATAACCGTGCCCAAGCTTAGCAGGTGGTTGCTATCTACCTCTCGGTTCCTCTCTCCTGGGTGACGTGGTACTGTAAAGGCGTGAGGCGTTTCTTCAGTTCCTCCACAGGGAAGCTCACCGGCCATGTCTTTTTAGTCCTACATGCTCCTGAGGGGCAGAAGCAGAGCAGACAAGATATTAACCACTTAGGTCGCCTGAAAAAAAGTCACCTCCACACTTACCAGCTACTAAAATACCAGCTGTTCTTCTATGAACAAAACTAACACACATCATCGTGCGTACTAAACACATAGTACAAATTGAAGGAAGTGGGCTCACTGAATTAGCCTACTATGTGGTAGTGTTAATAACAAAAAGCAGTTGAAGCAGTTATTTTCGTCTGTGAATATTGGACAGAAGAAGAACTAAGTTTGAATGAACCGTGAAAGACATTTATTTAAGATGAGGTTTCCACAAGGTGACTTTCTGTGCCATTGTGTGACGCGTGTGTGGGAGTGTGCCACTGCCAGCTGTTCAGCGTAAACCAAATAGTGCTGAGCCGTTTAGAGAAGTCTGTCTTTGAGCGGTCCCACCCTTTCTCCCAAGATGTGACACATTTATCCCTGCTAACTAAACGAGGATAAACACATCTCGTATTCATCCCAAAACAGAACACACAGAACCTACGAGTGACACGGTCCTTCCAATTCAACAGTGAAGTTAGACGGAACCACAACAAGTGCGTGCAAGCTGCAAGAAAGCAAAGCGTGAGTCACCGGATTTTGCTGTTAGCACAAGTCCAGCAGTGTAAAAGCAGCGTGAGTACAGCTACTAACTCAACAGATGCTCAACTCCAGGAGATAGGAATCCTTTCTTCAAAGGGAATGCTTTAGATATTTTGTGTTAATGTTTGTTCCTTAGATAAGCACCTCAAAAGGCAAAAGCAGTTCACAAGGAATTATGTTACTGTTTAATCTGGACCCTAATTCCCTTGTTTCAGTGATCAGTGGGACGGGGAAAAGGTCTGAAACGTAGTTGCCCCGGGTAACTTCACTCTGTCAATGTACGTCCACTAAAGGGGATTGTTATTATCTTTCTCAAAACGATGAAGAGAACCGACGGACACAGTTTCTCAAAAAGAAGTCTCATTCCAAAATCTTGCAAGACTGCCAGAAGACAAAAAGGTGAAAACAGCTCTGCTCAAATATTTTTTTTGTTGCCAAAGATGAATATTTATTTATATTTTTGATGCAGATGATATTCCACTTAATCTGTCCTTCAAACCCGGTGATATTTTCAGGTTTACTACTCCTACTGTGTTAATGCTATTGAGCACTGGATGGCAGAACATGATCTACAACTGAATGACAAAAAGAGGTTTTGGTCATTGCATCGGATGATGCAGAGCACTGGTTGACTCTCCTCTGCTGTCCACCCCAACCTGCGTAATCTTTCATATTGACCATTGATATTCAGTGTTTCCCCTAGCATATGCTCTGCCTGCCCCCCTACGGCTGGCTGATACAGTGAGCTCTTTTGAACAACTAAAAACATACCTCTTTGAACAAGCACTGGGTCAAGTTAATTCAGTGTAGCTTGCTGTTATTAGTTGTTTTTTTATTTAATTTGTTTTTATTAGGTTCTCGAATATTATTTTTGGGCATTTTATTATGTCTCCGAATGAATGTCTCTCAATAATGTTAAAAACGGCTGTAATATACTGGCCCCTTGTATGACCTGATGTCTTCATCTTTGTTAGTAACTTCTGTTAAACACTTGCTGTTGCTGTTGAAAATGTATTACAAAGCAAGGCCAGTAGTTAAATTGGGTAAAGGGAAGCGTAGTCCTTCTTCTGTCTGATAGTCGTGGACAATGTTTCTCCACGTCAGAAGCAAAAGCTCGTCTTTATAAAGAGTATGGCAGCACTTTATGTCCGCAGATCTACGCTGCCCTCTGGTGGACACATAAAGGTGTTTAAATACACTTCCTCACTTGGTTTGCTAGGAGGATATTTGCATTACCTGCAGGTTTTTCACACTATGCAAGTACAAGGATGTCAACGAATTGAGGTTTCCTTTTTAGATTTGGTCAAATTCGGGAGCACTCAAGCATTGTTCGCTGCACAGATTTGATTGCCAACCGATGACAGGGCCGTTCAAACGTAAGAAAAAACGACCAAAAGAGCACCTTGCGTCATTCTCAACACACGTAAAAACATGCTGACACACCAGCCAGGGGTTAAGGCCTTAGAGAGGCAAAGCACAGCAGCACACAGCACCCAGTCACTGGACCTGAAGGAAGGCTGCAGGATCTCAGAGCTACAGGCTGGCTCTTGGTTATTAGATGCAGCAGGTTGAAGCCTGACATGGCTGCTGGACACAGCAATGGAACTCCACCCACGAGTAGAACCAAACAGCTCTCAGCAGGGCTACAACCAAGTACTAGGCTGGAGGAAGGGGAGGACACACAGGGAGAGACACCACGGGTCAAGAAACTCAACGGCACCATGAGATGAGAGGACAATGAAAGTGCTGGGGTCAGCATCCGTTCGGGGTTCCCACTGTTAATGCAGAGGTTGATCGACGTTTGTTAACAGGCATCCCTCATGCCTGGACACACATCTAGAAAAACAGAAAACATCAATACTTCCTCCTGATTGGATGACGTGGATGGAGTGATTCCTTCATTACAATCTATATGAACAGAGTCGGTCTGTGGTTTCAGCATTTGTGGATTTCATACATTTAACAGAAAGAATGCTAGGTTACCTTCTGAAATAAAAATAAAAACATTTTTACCCAAATTGTTTTAATCCAATCTTGCACAGAATACAAACATGATTCACCCAACCACTAAAACATCACATACTTGTCAGCTCTGAAACAATGTAAACTCTTTTAAACTTTTTTAAATCACCTTTCCATTTTGTGATTTGTCATCAGGTTCGGTTTCAACCAAAAATACATCAAGCTGTTTAAATAAAACCTGATAATGCAAAGCATTGTGGCTTTACACATGAGGTCTGCGGAGGCCTTGGGAGAAGTGGGAGAAATCCTAACATACTGCTCAGCTATACCTTAATGCTCCGTGTTTCCCCTACCATTATATTGGGGGGGCAAACCCCCCTCCCCCGGCTTTTTACTTTTACACCAAGCACAAAAACATTTGAATTATTCAAATTCAATAAAAAGACACAACTTTAACAAAGTCCACATAAAGCGGTAAATGCTACATTGCCATGAGCATGTGGACACTTCAACATTGCATGTATCCTATCCCCTCCACTTGATACCTTAAAGCAGGGGTATTTAACTAAAATATCAATGACAATATTTATTGTCACATAGCAGAGAACTGCACTTATGTATGTATATATATATATATATATATATATAATATATATATATGTGTATGACTGCAAATATAAGTAATGTTCTCTCATTAACTAAATAAAAGATAGATAGATAGATAGATAGATAGATAGATAGATAGATAGATAGATAGATAGATATATCCACTCCCCCACTTTTTGGTAAGTGGGAGAATTAAGCTCTAGTATTTCCTGCCAAGATTTTAAACCTGGGCGTGGATGCATCAGGGCCATTTGCCTCCTCGTGTGGAGGATCTCATTGTGCCCCATGTCGGCGCTTCAACAGTTTCTGAGCACATGAGACACACTGGTTTAGTGCTCCAGTGGGAAGCATGAAGAGAAATGAGTCCATTCTGGATTAAATGCTCTACTTTTTCTGTCCACTTCTCTTTTTGGAGAGCGTCATTTCTCCCATTCCTCGTCTTTTTCTCAAATTTTGCATCTTTTTTAAAATTTCGCCATCTTTTTCTTTCTACAGTCTTTTTATTTGGAAATTGCCACTTTCGCTCTAATATGTCTGCACTGTTGAGACAATATCATTCTCACTGAAATGCAAAGACTAGATTGATCGAGTGGGATATCTTAACTTAAATGTAATTGGTCTGTGCCCAAGGCCCCTACCGTAAAGACTACCAGAGCTGCACTTGTCAAAAAGTGTCCAGTCAGGTTTTAAGTCATAAGATATGGGTTACACCCAGTAGTGAAGCGGTTCTGTTCAGACAGTGAAAATCCTTCCACAGAACTGGCACAACCGTTTATTTAGCTATTTGTTTATTTTTGCTTATTGAATAAAAAGACTACATGAAGGTGACTCAATGTCTGGTCTCACGTAGTGTGCATTGTTCAGAGGTTAGGACTTTGACACCTCGGACCGACCACAAGACTGCTACTGTACGTGCAAGGCAATCTGCAGCCATTGTTTTAAGTAGACATGGAGGAGAAGTGGGAGGGAGTGAAAAAGACTCACGGCCTCATGTACGTACATTTGCAAACATAGCGTTATCAGCGCCACGGACACGGAAACTTTTACATTAGTTTACATTGCATTTACGAAACTAGCAGCAAATCAGGTAATCAGCACCGTTCTCCGCCCACTATACCGCACATTGGGAGCAACACCCAATTGAATAGGCCTCCTTCTCTCTTTCTATCATGGATCAGCCAAAGTCAAAACAGCAGGCATTAGTGGTGGGGAAATATACGTATTGATTAGTGCGCTGTAGCAAAGCGTTGAGTTCTGTCTGTTAATATTCCCACTGCTGATGCTATGACTGTTTGAAATGATCCTGATGCCAATAATTGTTGTGTAGAGAGAGTTTAAAAACTGCTGGAATGGAATGTGAACGCTGAGTGGGAGATGCAATGTCCTCTAATTTCTTCCAGTAACTAATTTTGCATGGCTCTGTAACGCAGAATGATTTTGTGTTCACTCAACTGATTATTGCTGCAATTTCACCAGGAGACATATGTGAGGAAACACGCATTCTGGTTTACACCAGCTTTTAAGAAGCAGATAATTTTCACCGCAAAAGGGAGGCACGCTTCCGCCAAGCGGTTTCTGTACATAACGAGGAATATATAACTAGGCGCATTTTACGCATCCCCTCCCATCTCTTTATGGGAAACTCCCACTTTACCTTTAACCCTCCCATAAATGCACATGCATGACACGTAAAGCGCAATTTGCCTTTTCAGTTTCCGCGACAGGCAGTCTGCGCTTGTACCTCATTGCGGCATGTTTGTACATACCTCTTTTGCGTAAAACACATTGCGAAACAAACACCCCTGAAGTGGGGACAAAAGCACATGAGGCCCGAAGAGAGAGAGAGAGATCGGTCACACCGGGACAACACCCACAGGTTACTCTACCTAGAAGTGCAGCAAGACGTGCAGGGCGGCAGCCCCGCCCTAGGGCACGATGCAGGGCCACGGAAAGCCCACGTCTGAGGAGGACTGCCATTAGACACACAGTCACACTGAAGAGACACAGAAAGAGATAGAGACAGAAAGAAGCATAGCGGTTGGATTATTCTGACACCCCAAATGTACATCCATCTGTATGCACTAGGCTGTAAAATGATCATTCGATGGTTCTTTAAAACCTTAAATGAATGCCATTAAAAATCGTATCTTCTTTCCCAAAATTAATATATAATAGTGTATAATAATGTTTTTTTCCACTGAAAACAAAAAGCAGAGTTGTTATAATTGGTTTAATATTTAAAAAAAAAAAAAAGTATAATCAAGAATGAGTAAGCTTTGTCCTCTGAAGCCTAGTTTATGCTTCTGCGTTTTTAGAAAGATGCAAGGACACGCAGACGCAAGACCCCCTTGCGTGGCCCTTGCGTGCCTTTTCACACGTCCTTGCGTGCGTCAACCCATTTTTCTAGACTAGCACCAAAAGCGACGCAAGCCTCGCACAAGGCTGCGATTGGTCTGCTAATTATATCCTTTACGGAGTCTCACATTTCCGTTTTCATAGCACAAAACCGCAATTATTAGAACGAAGAATGTTTACGAGAGAACGGATCAGATATAAATATATTCAAAATTAAAATAAGTGGACGAAAAACATTTTTGGGTTGAATATAGTTTTGACTCTGCTCTATATTTGTTTGAACACTTTTTTGTCAATCTTCACTTATATATATTTGATATTCAGATTTTTTGTTTTCAGATTCAAAACTTATTTGAACATATTTTCACTTGTGGCGTGGCGTACGGGGCGGGGTATCAACTGGGATATAATGGCGTATAATCGTTTTACAAATAGTCAATATTTGTGTTTTGGTGCTTTTGAAACATGGATTATATACCCGGTAGTATTTGTAAATTAAGATATCTGCGCAAATCTATGCTTTTCCTGCACGTCCTCTGCGCTTGTTTGCATGTCTCAACTGGGCTCAGGACGGGTCCCAAAGGCGGGTCTAAGAAGCAGTTAGCCAATCACCGATAATGTTAATGAGTGACATCATAATTAACAGACTACATTCAGGGCCAGCCCTTCACCAGCCTACACTGCGCTCTCGTCAGGCTAGTCTCCGACGCGCTGTTTAACAACATAACGACCACCGGCAATGTCCTTCCAAGAAGACCCGACCTCCAGAAAGTAGAAAGTAGAGGTAACACAGGTGGACCCAGATCAGCCTGACCTCACAATCAGGAAACAGACCGGCGTGAAAGGGAAGCCGCAGGCTGGCCCTACCAAAAAAAAATCTACCAGCCGCCACTGACTGCTATGTGGAATATTATAAACACACTGACTACCCGGTTCATAAATTAGACCAATTAATAAAATGCATTTAGTGTACACCGGTACACAGACCGCTATAATTCAAACTAGGCATCAATGAGGGGCGGCAATACCTCGATCCAGTGGCTACGGTGGTAAGAAAAGCAGCATTGAAGCACATTTCCTTCAGCACTTAGAGGAAGATGACAGCCATCACGGTTGATATGGAGTCAGCGCTAGTCCACCGTGTGCAATGTGCATACATTTAAGTGTTCATAGCAAATCTGCCTTTACACTTATAATCCATCGATTTCCAACTTGTACTCCTACAATGTCGGGCCAAATGCCTGCTATGGAAGAGGTCCGCTCAGTTAACAATCAGTAAATAATTAATTGTTCGTTTAGTGAAGCCCTGAGTGACGCAGCAGCTTCTCCTCTCGTGCCGATTCCCCAGCGCGGTCCTCGCGGTGTGACGCCGCTCCGCTGAACATAGCCACGTGACCTCGTGGCACGTCAAAGTTTACGTTAGTTAACGCAGTCGCCTCATGCTAGCGTTAGCTACACTGCGTCATGTAGCACAGTATCGCATTGTGCTTGGCAACGCAATAGCCTAAAAGCGCGAATGAACATTTTAGCTAACTAAAGTACTCGTCGGGTTGGAAACCCTTTCTGAAAACACTTGCCGATGTTTCAAACGCGTTGAAATGAACGTCGCATCCAGTGAAACTATCTAATTAATATTTTTCCCAGCTCGCGCTGTTTGCTTTGCTAGTTGGGGTCTCCAGTACGTTGTCCATGAAACACTAAAGAAAGCGCCATAACTTACCCGAAAGAAACAGCAGCAGAGCGGCGACGTTCGCTGCGAAGCGGTGTGTTGCCAGCGTTATTGTGTGACGGGGCGGAATGTAAACCAGGTAAAGCGGACTGTGACGGGACAGGCTGGAGCGCTCCGTGCGTGCTGGTAGACCGGCAGGGAGCCCGCACATGTCCTATTATGGCCAGAACCGCCGCCTCGGCCCGTCACGATGGGACGGGACTAGAAACCAGACACACGGCTCACGGTCGTTCCGTTTGTCCCGTAAAAGTCGTGTTCGTCTCGACATATTCATCTTTTCTGTTATATGCATTGAACGTATTTCAAATATTTTACTTACTGTTCGTTATGTACATGACATCCATTTATAGAACTGTGTGTGTATGAATATATTGTAGCGACTTTCGCTAATGAAGCGCTGGACAACACGTTCTTCCTATGTTTTTATTATTACAGTGGGCCATAGCCTTCGCCAAAACAAACCACCCGTTTCTCAACCACATGAACTCCAACAACGCTGCTGCTTTCCGTTTCCTCAACTATGTGACAGCGGTCACTGCGCTAATCCACCAGAGGAAAGTTTAGGAAAGTTACTAAAGTGTTCACTTTAGCTGTACGCATAATGCATATGGATATTTTTAGTGCGTTATTTCAATTATGTGGAAATACAATAATTCTATTGTTACTGTACATATGACAATAAATATCGTGAAAGAAAAATTAGTATCTCGAAATAGCTCAGTATTTTCTCTACATTCTCTAATACTCAAAATACTTTTATTTGACATCACTTCTGCAGAACTGGGCTTCAACACTAAGTGCCAAAAGTAGAACTGCAGTTTTTTTCCTGGAAGAAACTCATCCATATAAAATAGCCAAACAAGCACAATTTAAAAACTCCTTATAAACCTTTAATTTGAGCTGTTTGTACATCTGTACCTTATATGTCTGGAGTATTGTAACCCTCCACCCCTTGCTGGCTAGCAGGTTGGGGATACTGGTAACTCCAAACATACAACGCATGTGAAATAAAGCTGCATATAACAGTACATATTAGTTATATCAATGTAGTCTTTACATTAAAATACAGAGGGAAGAGGTGAAGCACGGGGCCATCACATCAAACCAACACCTCCATCCAGGCTCGGCATTGAGACGCTGCACCGCTCATGCCGAGCCTTACAAAAATAGACTGCAGTGATGCATAGATCAGCTTGTTTATTTTGCAAAGAGTTCACTTTATTTTGTCATTGGACACATCCTGACATGTTTGGAAGCGGATGTAATGTATCCTCATTGAAAAGAAAAAGTTATGAAACATTTAATAGGTCATGACATTAAAATAGTACATCACCAAAGCTGATTTATAAACAATATTAATAAATAAGGAGAAGCATTTGGTTCAATATCAAGAAAACTGCTACAAAATACCAAATATGAAGATGTCAACCTCCAAAACTCCACCCATGGCAGACCTTCCTCATCCTTTAAAACTTTCTTAAATCCAGCACATTGTCTAGTGACAGTATAAAAAACTAAAGCACAAATTTAAGGCACACTTGGGTTGCTTGCTGCAAACCGTTGCAACAGGTTTTTGAAAACATTTTGAAATGTGCATCACTTGTACAATTCACACACTGCAAATACTGAATCTAACTTCCAATTCACTGCATTTAAAAAAATCGAATCACATCCACCCAATGCCTGGATATTTAGTGTTTTTTTAAATACACAGGTGCTATCGAAAAAAGCACGAGCAATCAGGAAATCCTTAGGTTCAATAGTCTCCTTACAGGGATTGTCTATATCCTCACAGTACTCCATATGGCAATAAAAGAGTGGTAGCGTCACTGCGAGAGGCCGAATGCTCAGAGACCAGTAGCGACAGCATCTGGTTCCCTCAACTTGTAAACTGGACATGAAACACCCTGAAGTTAGTTGCTATGCGTGCATAAAGAAAATTACGTGACTCGAGGGAGGGAAACATAAGTAAAAATAGGAATAATTTGGGGAATATATTGGCTTACAAGTAGAGGAGGAAGTGCCAGGTGGCGTGTATGCTCCCTGATTCTGGTATATCGCTCAGAGTCTGGATTACAAATAACAAAAAGGGGACAGAAAAAGTTGTGCACGAGATACATGAAGAAGCCGACAATCACGGAGGCTGTTCCCGGGGAGCCTCTGGATGCACATGTGCTCTGCCATGGGAACCGAGCAGCAGCAACAAAGAAAAAAAAAAAAAAAGGGAAGGGAGCTTATAGTTTAGCTTTGAATACGGATGATGTAATAAAGCTTGTGCCACCATTCGCATGTATTTACAGCGCAGTCTCGACAGGCGGTTCACGCCGTCTTCTCTTGACTAATAACAGGGAGTACATCGCACATCTTCTGGGGAAATCAGCGCCATGTTGTATTGACGCATGCACCCAGTTTTCACACGGCACCCAAACGACCTCCGTCGAACAGTCATACTGTAGAAGTGAGGTTTGGAGTCGGTGCACGCGTCAATAGTCCAGAAGAACTGTTCCTGCTTCCTGAACCCTTAAATCCAGAACATTTTAATACAAAGATTATTTAAAAACAAACACCACGCAGCTGAACAGCTTCTCTTGCGGAAAAACAACAACAAAAGAAAACAAACAAAAGGAAAAAAAAGCCATCTCCCGAGACACAGGCTGAAGTGTTCCCCATTGTGAAGCAGCAGCAGCAGATTGGTGCTGTCATGCTGGGAGGGCACAGAGGACAAATCCAACAGCTGGCGGCGCCTTCACGAGAAGCCCGAGGAGTGGGCCGCCCCGCGGTGCTGCAGACGGTTTGTAGTGGGGCCCGGGGCGTTGCCGTGGAGGCTGGAGGCCATCAAGGGAGTGCTGGAGCCCTGGGCTTGTGGGAAGCGCTGGTGGTACCGGTCCAGACGCAGATACTTAACGGTCACCAGCTTACCTGACAGGACCAGAAGCAGTGCCCTTCAATACACTGACAAACAAAACTGCACCAATTTTCTCATATGCATTTGTGACAATATTGTTTTCTTCCATGCAAGTCAGACTGAAATCACCCCGTAAACAATGACTAGGAGCTGTGAGGGTGCGGTTGTATCGCAAATACGTCAAGATTCATTGCCAAAGTATGTTAGACAAGGAATTTAACATGGCGGATGATGCATTACATCAGACAGTAGTATGTACTATGGGTGGTATGTAATCTTGTCATCTGTCCCCGTAGCAACGTTATACTTATACTACCATCCACGCAGGGCCTTTTTTCTTGAAATACAAGAGTGTGACTTACCATCAAACCAGGAGCCGTGTAGTGCCTTGAAGGCTCTCCCCGAGTGTTCCGCAGAGAGACACTTGACGTAGACACAGCCCTGTGGATAGAGCACAAGAACAGTGTGACATCACCGCGGCCGACAGCGTGGAGCTGTGACATCACTCACAGGACGGGGTACCTCTCGGGAGTTCTTGTCCACTGCGATGTGGACAATACCGTCATTGTCGTGGCACTTCTCCAGAATGGCCTCGTGGATGGCCAGGTCCCAGCTCTCCCCGACCTCCCTGAACACATCGATTCAAAAGCAGGTTATGATACAGAGAGTCACCGGCGAAAGGACAGACATCCAACGGGCAGCAGGGAGCGCTACTCACATGACCGGGTCAAACATGTTTCTGATCTTCAGACACGGAGTTAGGCTGTTGGGGGGTGAGTTCCTCCGGTCCAGAGGAAAAGCTGAGAAATGCCAATGAGCACACAGATGGTTCAGTACAGAGGGTAATAATTAACCGTTAACCAATGATAAGAACTTTGACAGATTATTGCTATCAGTTTAACAGATTATAGAATTATGAAATATTTAGGGGGGAGGCTCTGTTCATAAGTTATTTGTGTTTGCACCAGAGACTCTTTAGAAAACCTTGCGTTTTAATGCAGCAGGCTGTACTGCTTATTTCTGCCTCTCCAGTGCCTCCCTTCCCTCCAACGGGCCCAGTAGTACGGCCTGGTTCACCAGCAGTATGGTATTGTTGCAGTGAAAATCTTCTCCCCGATAGCCGTGTTTACCGATGAAGGTCAGTAACAGCCAGGGGAAAAAAAGGCCAGTTCAAAGTTTAAATGAGATCAGCGGGTACACTGATGTGTCCTTCAGTACACTGACTAAACTGTTGCCCTGTGTGCGCCTAGGATGGTAGTAAGGGGTTTTGCCTTTGCGAGGTAACAGCTTGCTTTGAGAAACACCCATTGCTAGAATTTGAAATAATAAGATCTTGCGTTACCTTTTCCCTGCCACACTTTGGAGGGCATCAAGGTCTTGTCACAACTGAGCGAAGGCTGGATCCATCTCCACACCAGGAAGTCGCCTCCATCGATTCTCTGAGACTCTTTTCGAATCCTGGATTCGTTGGCTGAAAGGAACCTCTCTGCCCGCTCCCAAACCTTCATCATCTTCTTCCTGTAAGGTATTAGAAACACATCTATCTCACCTGGCTGATCCAAAGCTGCAGGCTTTTTATCAACAATCAGACCCACATCACCAACAGGTCTGCTATTATTACTTAAATAAATCAGGACCATCCAGCTAACTGAAGAAAGAGGGGTTTTCGAAACCTGGCGTGTGGCTGGTAAAAAAGCTCAAAAGATATTTGTATCACATTTCCTGTACGGCAGGTTTTTCATCTCAGGCCCTCATGCACTTTACTATGTGGAATCGGATAGCAAAGAGCAAGCCTTGGCCGTATTGGTACTGACCGGTCCTGAGGCTGAACCAGGGAGTCTCTGACATGGGGAATGGGCAGGTAGGGTTTCAGGTCCAGGTTCTCCTGGCAGGCCTCACTGTGGCTCCTTAACACATCTGAAACACAGCGTGACGAGGAAATGACTTCAGCCAGGACGGCAGACACAGTCACCTCATTTTACATTACATGTCATTTAGCTGACGCTTTTATCCAAAGTGACTTACAATAAGTGCACTTCAACCATAAGGATACAGACACAAAAGAACAAGGAAGTGCAATGTCATCAAATAAGCCGATTTACAACTTAAGTACAATTTAAGTCAAGGTATAGTCCGAAGAGGTGTGTCATTAAAGATAAGGACTTTCCGCCTTTCATAATGCTTATATAAAATTTCATTATCGATTCGTAGTGTCACACTATTGTTACGTCACTCAATGAGTTGCCGAGATGCACGCGGAGCAAAACAAAGAGGAAAAAAAGAGCAGAGCTGACGTAGAGGAAAGAGCAGACAGCAGCGCCGGCACTTGTTGTGAGTCACATGGTGCAGGCAGAGAAGGCTGTTCGACTTAAGCCCTCAAAAAGGTGTAATTTGTGATTTTGGGCTATACAAAATAAAATTAATTGAATTATAAATTAATGACGAGAATAAGTGCCATGGGTTTAAGACTACGGTTCTATAGTATCCCACTGCTTCCAGACATTATGATAAAACCGGTTAGGTGGCATTGTGATGATAATGGAGCCATGGCGGTTTCTTAATCTGTGAGTGAGAGAATAAGCATGCAGTTTCTTACCAATGATCCTTTCTACCATGTCGTACATCTGCCGGGTCTGCTCCTCCTCTTTCCTCCAGCGATACTTTACGTAGTAGACCACACTCCACGCACAGCCCGCCACTGCACACATGGAAACACACAGACACTGAAAGAGTCCTTTTGCTGCTGCAGATTCACAATGGTGCCCAGCCAGCCTTCCTCACAGAACTCTCTCTGTTCTGGGCTGCTAGCTCCATTGATAGGGCCTCACAAATAATTGGGAGACAAAAACTCTTTACTGATTGTAACAGTGAATGAAGACATTTCCTTCGTTGTCTAAAAACACAGTTTACTTTTGACGCTATGATCTGCAACTTTACCTTTTATCTTCAAAATTTTAACCGTTTTTCATTCTGATATGCCGGTAAACTTCGATAACAAAACCTTGTGTCTGCTTCTCTGTGAATACTCTTCATCATTTTACAAGAATTTGATGACATTTTAACGATAGGAGTGCAGTTAGTGAGAATTGGGGCTCCTCAATAACTACAAAGCTGCAGTAGAAGCAGGGGGTTGTGTCTAAGCAAAGGGTCACCTTACTTAGGGAACTGTTTCATTAGCAACGATCTAACAGTTCTTATGTTTCAGGCGATTCTCACCGACTGCAATGAGGAAGACTCGGCTGATGACAGTGAGGAAGGCTCTGCGGAAGCGGCACATGAAGGGCATCTTGGGATGCGTGGACTCCAGCCGAGAGATCTCGGACACATCGATCAGCGGATCATCAGCTACCTGCCCAGTCAGCCTGCCAAAAAAACACACACACACACACACACACACACACACACACACACACACACACCACACACACACACACACACACACACACACACTAAGTAAGGCTGTTACGTGCAAGGCTTGTGATCAGCATGAATATGTAGGTCTCGTGTTACCTTATGCCAACATCCTGGCCTGTCCGGATGATCCACTCCAGAGCCGTTTCAATGAATCCATCAAACTCTGGATTCTGAACCTGAACAAAGGACACAAGGTACTGGTGAACGGATCAGTAGCGATCAGTTTACCACTGTGGCTATCACCACAACTTCCCTGAGCTCCCCCTCCATGTGAGGTGCGTTATAAATACTGCTTTTAAGGACTGTTCCATACTGAGTCTATTCTATGGATCTGCTTTCACTGACTTCAGTTTGCTCCGTTGTGAATGTGGCGAACGCTGCGACCGAGCTTTAGCAGAGCAAACTCATGCTAATAAGCTCAAATCCACTCCAGTTCATAATTGTCCGACCTGAACATGTGGTTTATTTTAAATGTAGTTATTTGCTGATGAACGGGCCACCGGTCGAAAGGGCTCACGCGTCAGCTGACCACATGGTCATATATCAGGGTTTTTTTGCTGGTCAAGTTTACGAACACAATGAGGTGGTGCCGCGTATGCAGATGCTGTATACACACACACACACACACACGTGTTTGCGATGCCTAACACTTAAGACTCAGATTAATTCCAGGAAGTAAAGGAACTTAAGTGAGATATTTGCGGAATCGTTGTGTGTGAATTCAATGATGTCTGGCAGCATCAGCACATTGATGGACATTTCACTCATACTAATGCTGTTTTGTGGTGGCAGGTAAAGCACTTTAAAAGAGAAGGAGAGCGTGGTCCTGTCTGCCACAGCAGCCCTGAACAACGGCGTGCTGCATCCTGCCTATGAGAGGGACGGCTAGTTAAGTCCCGCTTGGCTGAATGATTGGCGCCAACAGCTAACATTGCATTTGGTTACATTGTAAGGCCTTGTAGCTCTATTCAGTAAAAATAAAAACTGTATTGGGAGAAGGTAAATCCCATCTTCATCATGTTTTAAAACGCAATCTTTATACAATATAAAACGTTTTGGTAATCACAAATAAAGTTGTTTGACAATTATGTTTTCAAAGCAAGATATAATAGATGTTAGAGAGGGAGTTATGGACTTATTAACATCTGTGAAAGCAGCTTACATTGTTCAAACTGCTAGTCAGCCTCACAAGCGTACACTACAGAAACCGGGACGTTAACGTGTAGACTCACCACTAGATACGCCGAGGCCTCTTCCAAGGACAGACTCCTGTTGTGATACTGCTGGTCTCCACAGTCATGCTGGCCTGAATCACAACATCAACCAATCACTGCAAGCATCAACACAATAGGTCTTCACAGGCTGGGTAGTACTTCTGCTAGCACTACTCTATCTGACAATGCATCTTTTTTTCAAAAGTAATGATGTGTCTCAATGTCTGAGAACATCTGGAAAGAGGTTTCATACATTTTCTTTCCAAGTTTGCTAAATGACACCATTCCCTATGCCTCCTATATGCACTACATGGTCCTAATAATGACTGTCAGAGTGTAGTGCAGTTAGTAGCTACCTGCGACGATGGCCAGGTGGTCGTGTAGATTGAGCAGCAGCTTTAGGATCAGGTCCTTCGTCGCCTTGTCCTGCAGACAATATATACTCAGTGTTCACACGCAACCAACATAACTGCTGCTATTTAGTTCATTTGCAGAGCTTTGGTGCGGTACTTTGATCATTACAAAAAAAAGGGTCACAACCTGCTACGAGCTGGCCTCTGTACCAGACGCCCCCTCACATGTCCGCTCACTGTCACAGTACAGCAATGAGACTCACATCATGGCAGAGAGAGGGATACATTGGGGACCCTAACCCCGGCCCAGTTTTTTTTTACGTTTACAACTATCCGATCTGTGCGCGGGAGAGTTCCGTCCCGATGGGCACAAACATGCACACATGAGAACGCTCCCACCAGCGGACAGAGAGCATGCATCGGATATCAAAGTGTTGCATACGCTCCCCCCCCTTCCCCAAAAGCTGTACACCTGGGGGAAACCCTGAACATTAAGGGTAACAATAAGGAACTGAGCAGTATGCAGTATGGATAAACAGTAGTGTCCCATTCAAAAATGTCCCAGCAGATTTGTGCATTGACATCTCTCCAATTCAACTTATTTCTCCTTAGTAAACATTAAATGAATTTAGGTTGTTTTTAGAGAGACTCGTTATATTAAACAAAAACACTTACACTACATTGCCATACAAACAGAAGGGCTGAAGAAATGTTTACTTACATAAGCGTCAAAGTCCCCGCCAAACGGGTGGCTTTTAACTGCAGCGGAGGAGAGAGATGCATTAAGGGAGACATTCCGGATCACCAGAACCCCCCCACACCCACACAATCAGCAGAGGGAAAATGGTCTTCTACAATAAGACGGGGCGTTTTGAAGACTGGAATGTGAGTGGAGTTCAGACATCACTTAGTGGGTGAGTCAGTGTCTGTACATGAGACCCACACACACACACACACACACACACACACACACACACACACACACACACACACACACCAGCAAGGCCCTTGGACCATCGCCACCTCTGCACTGACCATATCGGTCACTAAATTCATTCTGGGCTGAGTTCTACTGAAAAGGAGGGAACGCTTTCTCTCTAGGTAAAGATATTTTCATGAAGCATTATGCATACGGTTTATTCATATAAAATGTACACATTGAGCACGAAAATCCCCTCCATTTCAAATGTTCTTAAAGGTTAAGGAGGGATTCTTTGTTTGCATCCAGGTTTATACTCTAATCTGGTTCTTTACTGATTGCACTTTACCTGACATTCAGAAAGATCTTTCTGTGAATTAATTTTTTTAATTACGTGAGTATTATTATTATTCCTTCATTTGTTTGTTAATATGGCTTTATGTTGTCCATAATTGTCTGAGCATACTCTCGGGAGCAGGCATGAGGAGCCCTCCTGCCCATGGTACTCGCATACTTCCTGGGAACGCCCCTTGAAGTCTGGACATTTGTATCAATCCCAGCATGCACCACGCAGGTAGAGTAAAAGTTGGAACCAGCAAAGGGCCACTGCTAAGAAAAGTAAATCACCTGATCACATAGGAAACAGCACCACAGAGAGTGTGATGACTGGCGTCTTCCCCTGTCACCAGTCATCACATGTGGGGTGTAAGTAGAAACACTGGGGGGAGCTTTACTTGGCAGGCGTAATGCGCATTGTGTGAACCAGGTGGGGAGGAATTAATTTAACGGTCTTTCATTTAGCCACTAAACTTCTTTGCGGGTGATGGACGAGGAATGGACTTTAACAAGACTTGCACACTGGTCCTGTTTTGGGTTACTTGACAAGTTATTGTCCCACTGGTTTACAAGAGGTTGAAGCATAGGGGTGAGGTGTTCCTAGAATATAGCTGGTCAGACACAATCACTAGCCAGCCGGCTACCTGTATGGGAAAACTATCCCACCCCACTTCAGGCCGTTGTTATTTTTTTCTTCCAAGGCAATCCAATAAATACTGTGTGGGTGTTTAATCCGGATGAAATGTCTGATATATTTGTTAGGTATATTTACTTTTACAATGATAAAATTAGCGCTAGAACTTTAGTGCAAAATGCACAGGAGGTTTTAAGAGAAATTTCATAGAAAGAATAATAACAAATTTCAGCATACGCCATGTACTCAGACATGAGCAAAGACAGTGGTCCAATTAAGACACTGGCAGGAGATCCCTCCACTGGGGTATTCCTCTGCAATCCAGATATCCTGACACGGTTGAGTTTAAAAAAAATAATCAAAGATGTGTCTGAAGACATCTCTGAATATGTATGCATATGCAAGACTTTTATACCCAATAGTTGCCGATGACTTTTGACTGTTGCCATAATGATTGGGGGGGGGAGGGGTGATGTTCAACTAGCAGCTCTGTTCACACGTCTTGGAACATATCACAAATATCCCCTTATATCCCCTTTAGAGGTGATGCTAAATTGTTGTTAGACCACTAGGCACCATTTGCCCTGCAGGATAAACAATTGAATTGCAGCTTGCACATTCGTGAGACACTTACTAACTCCATCGACCTCCGAGGACCCAGAGCCCCTCATCCTGAGGTACATGAGGCCCAGCAGCAGAAAGAAAAGGCAGGCTGCCGTGAGCAGGAACATGGACAGGTAGTGAGCGCTGAAGCTACTCGAGGAGGCCACCTCGTCCCTTTTGAACTGCTGGAGCAAATCATCCTCCGGCACGGAGAGCCTCTGCTTCAGCACCGCCGGGCTGTGCGCGTGGTTGGGGGCGGTGTGGTTGGGGTGGCCGCCCCTGTACGTCTGAGACAGACTGCTGTAGTTGGAGAAGCGCGGTCTCAACCCGATGGCGAATCGACTTCTGCTGCCGCTTCTGGGTGCTTCGTCCTCGCCGTCGACGTGGTTGTTCTCGCCGGCTTCTCCTGCGCGGTTCTCGGCGAGCGACACGTAGATGGGTTTCCTGGCAAAGTTGTGGCAGCGCGAGGCTGGCGACGGGTCCCGTCTGTTAACCTCCTCTTCCTCCCCCCGGCTCGCCACCATATTTAGAATATCGGGCGGGTTAACCTGTCTGGCGGCCACTCCCGTCTGGGACCTTTGGCCCGCTTTGTGGGAATGAAACCCAGCTTTTGGGGGGCTGCGTCCAAGCTGGTCCCCGGCACTCCGGCCCATAACCTCCTCCTCGTCAGAGTCAGAGTAATCCCCAGCTAGCTTGCTAGCGTTTAAATGAGGAGCCCCGCTGCCATTTAAAGATCGAGAGTTCTGCTCCATTCCCCCCTCGTGGTCGTCCTCGTCCCCCGATTCGTCGTAATCCCTCCCCTCGGCCTCGGGGCTGGGTCTGGATCTGGCACGAACCCCCCAGCCCAACGAGACGCTTCTCTGTCCACCCGGACCGGGGGAAGAATTGTTGCTATTCAGCGTACTGGTAGCGCCAAACTGAATCTTGGTGGCCATTCTTGATGTTGTAACGGGCCGTACCTTCGTTTGCTGTAGCAAACTGGAGTTTCGGTCGGACTTACTGCTGTGGTTTAGGCCTTCTCTTTTCAGTGGAGCTTCGGCGTCAGATTCGTCGGAGCTGAACCCGAGGACGGAGGACTTCCTGCCCGGTCTCCTGCTAGAGCTCAGGTGCGTGACGTCATGGCTGGCTGGCCTGGATCCCGCCGTGTTGCCTCCGCCACTGGTGCTGTTGATGGCCCCGCCGCTCCGGGTTTTACCGGACCTGGATCCTCGCTGCTGTTGCTCTTCGCGGAGCTTCTTCAATTTCTTCAAATATACCGGGCGAGTGTTTTCGGTAACCGGGCCTGGAGTGAAACCAAATCGCTTTAATTCTGAGAAAAGCTCCTCATCCGTTAACTGCGTTGACGCCATCTTGGACAAAACTCTCGCAGATGGTAGCATAACGGAAATGACGTAGCGGTGGAGTGGAAGTAGACAAACTGTGAGCTGCGTTCAGAATCATCAGCAAGCCGTTTGTTAGAATGCTTAAATGGTTTGAAGGAGTTTCTCAGATAGATAACCGTTCCCATTACACGTAAAGGATGTTAGTCCTAGAAAGATTCTACAGTTTACGACTGGTCAGAAAATGAACAACAATTCCACGAATATATATGTATACGTGTGGAACTCAGTTACACATTTAGTGTCTTATGTACAATTGGTTATTTCGTGCAAAAGAGTTACAAAAAAACAATACAACCTACACAGTATTACATCTTGAGATTTGAAGATGTCATCAACAAATTAGATTTTTTTTAAGATGACATAGACTAAATAAAATATTTAATTTATTACTATTCTGTTGAAAACCTGTGACGTTTAAAGCCAAATATATATTAATTCATGATAGCAAGAACTACACAATACAACAGACAATAAACTGAAAAATATATTTCATATCCATAATTCCAACTGCTCTGAATCACTCCCATCTATTAAGTTATTCAATATTGTATTTCGAAATTTCGAGTTTGTGGAGCATATTAATCATATGTGGACAGTTGTAATTGGTTTGTATTTGTAGTTTTCTCTATATTTGTATTTATTCAGCCATATATTATTTTGCATTAGTAGTAGTCATATTTACCCTCCTTTCTGAGTTTGTACTTTTTAAAGGTCCTGTCTTCCTTTCTATCAAAGTGTACCTGTTGTACATTTTACTTCACAGATGTACACACCCGTAGGTGTGCGGGCAGCACTTTTGAGGTACCTCTGCTCGTCACTCAACACCAACAGCCAGTCAGAAGATGTCTGTTGGCATTAATGTAGTGACAGGTATTCACTCCGACACTTCTAATGACACACAAAATCACAACATGTTGCAGCTCATCTTCTAATTTGATTTGACAGCTGAAAACAAAACGAAAAAAAAGACATATATCTAAAAGTGCTTGGTAGAATTTTTCATTCGGTAAATATTTATTTTCCCATTGACAGCTCCATAAAAGAATATTTAACAAAAAAGTTCAAAGCAATTAAAGGGTCGATCATACATACATACCCCTGTTACTCCACTACAAAACCAACACTAAAATTAACACATGCATGACTAGTCTGAAGCTGAAACACATTCCATATGTTCCATTTATTGAATCATTCAAAGGGAATAGGAATAACATTCAACCATATCCCAATGCTTCAGATTAGTTCGGAGTCACAGTATAATCTGAACATATGCCTCTCAATTAATTGCTGTACTAATCTGTACACTTATACATTTACAACATCAATACATTTACAACATCAAATTATGTACTATCACACATATCAATGAACCCGGGCATGCGCTTCATTAAACATCATGTACCTTGTGTCATCTTCTTGCGGTTGTGCATCATAAGAGGGGTGCAGTGATTCTGATGTTGTATGTTTGAAGACATTTAACAATTAATTCAGTTAGGGAATAAATTAGTGGAATGGTAGATAGATGTGAAATCCCAATGAGATACACTGTTGGAGAAACCTACTTTGAAAACAGCATTCAGATATACTGCAGGAGTTGTGTGTTAGACTGCATTAGCTTTAGCTCACTCTTCCTAAAATGAGCTAAAAGTGATGCAGTGGTAAATAGGCCAGCTGGGGGCACTACTGGGCTTTTTATCAAACCCTGTGGTGTATCTTCAAGTCCCTGAGCCATTTCCCAAAGTCATGAGTACATTCTGGTTTCACACCACACAAAACAGCACTGCTATAAAGCTGAACAACTAAATACAAAAGGTCAATTATAAAGAAACTGTAATTTGGTGAGATGGACAGAAGAATGTAATGCAGACACCAAGCCCAAGGGAACTCTGGGTAATTAAACACAGGCCCCTCTTTGGGGCTCTCAAGTGAGCTAAGTGAATAGGCTTTCAGTGTTTCTTCATAGAGTCCAGTAGACGCAGGATGTGCAGGAAGAGGTTGACAATGTCCAGGTAGAGGTTGATGGAGGCCAGGATGTGCTCCTCGGGCGAGAGCTGCTTCATCAGCAGGTGGGTGTCATAGATGATGAAGCCACAGAAGATCAGAGCCCCCGCTCCCGACATGACCAGCTCGGTGGTGTCGCTGTGGAAGAAGAACTGCGGGGAGAACAGCCGTCAGCATGATAAGATTGAAGGCGTCTCCGTATGGAGGGTGATGTGAGATGGGAGCAGAGCGGAGGAACAGTGCTTGCTTCCTTTAGCATCTATTTTAAGAGATGGAATGCCATCTTGAGTATTTGGACAAACGTGTTTCACAGCTTCCACATTTGGGTTGGGCAAGCTATTAATCTATTGCTTCATACAGGCTTCTGGCTGCCTCTGAAGTACAGGAAAGAACTGCAGTTCAAGAATCTCAATCAGACTACTAATCAGATACTCACAGAAGGTTGTATAAATGCAGCAGATGGAACAAGAAATGAATTTGGTCGCGTGTGCTTTAGTCCACACCATGCAGACAAAGCAGAGCTGAATGGAAGTACTGATTTTAACAGTAAAACAGAGTGACTCAGCTTTCCTCACAGGACAAGAGGTAGAGTAGTGTGGCACTACAATAAAAGCCCCATTCATGCTCTCTTTGCGCCTGTTTTTTTTTCAATTTGCTCATTTATAACAACTACAAAAAACACACACATCTTCCTCATGCATTTAAATGAGGCCCTTCTCATTGATGCCCTATGTATAACAACGCAGAGGGATCTGGCAAATGACACAAAGCCATAGGGTCAAAAAAGTAAAAGAGGAATCGGTAAAATACGTGTGGCACTTCTGGTATAATACCATGAACTCTGCCGGTTAAACAAGATGGAGGATTAAACATCCAATAAAGTAACTTTCCAGAGTTGGCATGTTACTTTCCCTTTCATATTCTGGGACATGAAAAGGGGCATTTTAATGTCTCTTACCCTCATGAAGCTTGCAATGAGGAGGATCCACAGGCAGGCAAACAATCTGTAGACAGAACAAATCAGTGAGCCTCACAGTGCCACTCTCTGGAGGAGGGAGATGGCAAAAAAAAAAGACACTAAGCGACTACCATGAGACACTCACCCCGCTCCCAATTTGCTGAAGTCTCTCTTTGACTGGAAGGTGTAGACCGTCAGTCCAGTAAACACAGCACAGGTCAGGAACAGGGCTTGCAGTACAGTGGAGTATTCATAGAAGGTCACTGCACAGAGAAAAAAAAAACAGTGCTGTTAGTCTGCAGACAGGCTCAAAGGAAGGAAACTGACTCCAACAGCATAAAGACAACTTACAAGCTGTGGCCACAGAAATTGCTTCCAGCAGAGTCTGAAAACAAGATACAATTAGTGACATTTACACTGGATTATTATGTTATGTTATGTTGTCCAACACTGAACCAGTGAGATAACACGATTTCTCAAAGATCCAAATGGAATAGCTTACAAATACGAGCAGCAGGTAGAGGTTGACTGGATGCTGGTGTCTGTACACAGCCAAGGCCACCAGAACAACCAGAGAGCCCAGAGCCGAAACCAACACCACAGCAGGACTGGGGAGCAGAGTGGGTCACATTCAGATAGCATGGCCAACACAAGCTTCAAGGACAACATTCATAAAAAGGTCTGTGATAAAAAGATTATTGTAAATACAGGATGATATTATTAATATACGAAAAAAGGATTATTTAAACAGATATACATACAGAAGGGGTATAATGGTAGTGACATCCATTATACATCCAACCCAGTAGTCACATAGCAATTGGTGATCCCAGTCTTACGTTTGTTATTATCGTTAATCCACTACCCCCGCTACCGCTGTTGTCATTAGTATTAATTCATCCCATCATTATTCTGCCTACAACAGTTAATATTTTAATCATTTCTGCGTTGAACGTATTGTAACATCTATTGCTCTCTGGCCATTCTCCTCCGTCGTTCTCCATCAGGTTTCTTCTGTTTTTCTCCCTGCTGAAAGTTTTTTGGTGGGTGGGTATGCCGATATGAGGATGTTGTATGTTGTTGTATCACATATTATGGATTCACACACTAAAAGGGAAAATCCATGGTTCCCTAAACGGTCATCCTCACCTGGCGTGGACAAACTCCTTGATGGTTTGAGAGAACATGAAGAGGGCTGAGGTGGCTGTGGTCAGGATGATCTGTAAGCTCAGGAGTGTGTACACCTTCCTGAGGAAGTCTGATCAACAGAGACAACAAGGGAGTCACGGATCCAGTAGCTGGATGGTACACTTCATTTTTAACCAGCAGCTACACCTTTGCACTTAAGTGCGACTACATACCAGCCTCTTCTTGCTTTAAATGCGTGAGCCAGTATGAGGAGCGGGACGTGTTTAGTCATGCGGCTGAACAGTAAGCGGTACAGGCGGTAATTCAGTCCAACAACAACATTAGTTACGTTATGTTTAACCCATAACGGGTGACGTTATAGCTGCGCTAACAACACAGACGCTGGAATGGTTGAGCTAACTGTTAATGCTAACGTTAGCTACTAACTGACGTTGTTTCAACCAGTGCTGTGAAGATAACACTGTGCGGACATGTTATTAATGGATGTTTGCTAGCTGGCGTATAGCTGGAATGACAGTAACGTTTCATTAATTCAGTAATAAAAGGTGGTTATTTGTGTTAGCTGATGTGGCTAGGTACGAGCCAAATATTATTGTACTCACCCATACGTATCTGTATACTGGCAGTTGCGACATTAGTGCCATAGTTAAAGTCGTCTTCTATGGAAGATCTGGGGTACTTTTCAGTACTCATCGTGTTTATTCAGCGGGTTCTAAACTCAAAAGAGAAAGGTTGTAACTGTGCTTCAACAGAATACGGAAACACTGGTGTTTGAGAGGCTGCACTAGTGACCAGAGGCAGGAAGTGACGTCAAGGAGTTAGGACCCTTTTGGCGTTTGTCCATAAAACGAAATACGAAATGTAGCAGCTAAACCGTAAGTACAGTGAACGTTAAGGCAACGTTTGTATGCTAGAAATTCGTCTGGGATGCAAACATATTCCAGGGTAATATTAAAAGAAAAAAAATAATTAATATAATTAAATAATCCTAGTCCGATAACAGTGTGTTAGCAACAGTAACGTTATTAGTTGAATACACGCATATGTATTTTCATTCATCCATGTAGACAGCGATCGATACTTATTAAAATGGTTCACAATTGGATGGAATATAGGTAATAATATAGTTTAATCAAAGTGGTATGTATTCGCTCGTTGCTGTCGGCACTTTCCACGTATTGAGCTGATTTGAGCAGAGGCGGTTCAAGGAGACGCAGAATAAACAGGTTCACATCTCTACCAGCTGGTAGATTTAATCATATTTAACTGTGTTTTTGTTATTAATCTAGGTCACACATGTCAAACTCGCGCCCCGCGGGCCACATCCGGCCGACTGGCCGTCCAGTGCGGTCCAGATGACTTTGCTATTGTGACCATTACAGAAGATCCTCACACATGCGCGGTCGCCTCTGCTTCTTTTATATTGATTCGTGTCGGCCGTCGGAAAAAGAAAGGAAGATCTAATGTTGGTTAAAAGAAAACGACTTCAGGTCTATTGCCTCAGATTTGTTATTATTTTTAAAGTTGTTAACCTTCAGTTATCACTGATTGCGTTAATTTTAGTTGCACCTCAAAGCCAGATTTTGGGACAGCTTCTCGGTTGTAAAGAGGCCCCACAGATTTAGAAGAATTCTATTTCCAAGAGAAAACCATTTATTTTACTTATTTTAAGGCCGAGTATCCCCAGTTACACTTCCAGCAAAGCTGGATACATCAGTAGCTGCAGAGTGGTACCAACAAGAGGTGGGCTCATCTCGAGTTTCACACTTTGGCACCAACAAATTTCTGTGTGTGTTTTTTGACACCCCCCTGATGTTTTTTTCACATAGACCTATCTATCTACATGTCAGCCTCATTTTAAATCAATCACATGAGCGCACATCTCCCCTCACCCCCCCTTGCAATTGCGGATTTTGCGAAGGCAAAGCGGGTAGCGACGTCAAAAGTCAGCAAACAATAGCATCTGGTAGTGGCGGTGCTCCCGCTCCAATTTTAAGTGAGTCAACTGTAAGATAATGGTAACTTAGTTAAGTTAGTCACTATACAATAACATTTACTAACATCACACAACATAGGCTCCCCGGTAATTGGCTCAGAAATAGCTTGCTTGTTTAAACATATTAATTAAAATATGAATTAAATATTAAACCATAATAAGTAAACAAGACAATTATACATATTTGTATTTATTTTTATACATATATATATATATATAGAGAGAGAGAGAGAGAAGAACAACAAAGAGACAATAAAAACACAATGAAACTAGTAACGACCACCAAAAGAAGAGGTTGAGCAACTGTGAAGTCTGTTCATTGGTTCCTATGTGGGAGATATAGTTGCGGCCTTTGGCATGTAATGAAATAAAATATATCCCTCTTGTCACGCTTGTGACATTCATTACTTCTAGGTCGCAGTTTTTCTGCTTTTCGCCATGGTAAATTTGTTGTTTTAGGACGTTTCCATGAACCTTCCCTGTCCACAATGAACTGAACCTGTCTGGGTACAGTTTGCCTAACAACAGTGGAATGGAAATGTATGATTGGGTGGCGTCATGCAGTGGGCAGTCCTAGGGAATATTATCTGCTCTGTCCCTACACTTTCACTTTAGTTGAGCGAGTGTGAGGACAACGGACTCTTTCTTCTAAGGAGACGAAAGGACGAAGGCTTCCAAACATGATGCTTTTTTTTACTCTGGCAGCTCTGCTGGCCATCTCATTTGCGCAGGACCCTAATCACAGTGAGTACTATTTTATGCTTTTATATTTTATTTATACTTTACCATTTCTGACTTATATCTTAGATAAAAACGCCCGTCATCCTTAAGGTCTACAAGCATGCTAAATACTAATGAATCAGGCTGTATGTTTTTGATAGCCAGCATACCGAATGCACTAAGTAGAGGCTGTTTTTGTAAGTGTCAAATGTAGCAGAGGATTACAACACACCAATGTTTTTAGTACCGTGGAATTCCCCTCAACATTTCAAATTGAGTTTCGATTTCCTGTAATACCAACTGGGCTATCACAGCACCCTCCACTGGCCCCTGTACGGTACATCCGCATCTCGATGAGTGCGTTTGTAATGGCTCCTGCTGGGAGTGGACAAAGGAGGGTTTAGTGGGAGAGGGTAGAAACGCAGAACAGCTATTGTGATTAATATCCCACTTTTTTGGTTGAATCAGCTTATATTTATATTAAGACAAACAAGTTTGACAGCCTATTGGTCCTTTTATTACAAATACATGCATTTCTGGAATATAAATTTATTTCAGGCATCAGCCTGTTCTACAATGATAGTTTGGCATAATGTCCTTCTCTGTGTCGCCTTTAGCCCCACCCAAGGTCCAGGTGTACAGTCACAACCCAGGAGAGTTTGACCAAGAAAACACCCTCATCTGCCATGTGAGTGGTTTCCACCCCCCTGACATCACCATCCAGCTGATGAAGGACGGCGTGGAGCTCCCCAATGCCAAGCTGACCGACCTGGCCTTCAAACAGGGCTGGCGCTTCGTCCTGACCAAGCACGTGACCTTCACCCCAAGGCGTGGGGAGAAGTACACCTGCAAAGTCACACACGGGACGACCGTTCGAGACTATGCCTGGGGTGAGTTGGGGTCAAAACCTTGCATACCCTGCTTACTGGATGATGGATCAATCAAAGATAACCGAGGGACAGAAAAATAAAACATGACACAGCCAGCAATCAGTCAGTCATCTTCTCTACTGCCTATCATTAGATTGAAACAAATAAAGTAATATTTTGCCTTGGCTAAAATTTTCTCTAAGGTCAAAGAGCACTGCGGGGTTATTTATATATGGTGAGAATAGAAAAATGATTTGAATCTTAATGCAGGTCTGTGGCAAAATACTGTAGTAGACATAATGGACATCACCAATTGAGTAATTTGCTCTCGATAAATAAAGAATGCAAAAACTAAATGCAACGTAAAGCATATGTGGATACATATTTGGTTGTACAAATGTTGCTTCACCTGGTTTTATTGCATAGTTGAAAACAATCTTCTTTATGCTTTTTTTTTCTCCACAGAATCAAACATGTAAAGCACATGTCAGCGGACGCCATGGTCATTGAGTTCAGGCCCTTATGTCATTGCTGTCAGTGAAACCACAGCGTGATGTTTAGCTGAAGTCGCCGTGTCTCCGTTGGCTGTATTGACGCTGTGATGTTCCAGTCTCTGTCCAGAATGATGCCAGATGTTTTGGCTCCCATCTAAACCAGCTTCTATTCAACACATCTTCAATAAACATGATCCCAATTGCTTTCAACTTCTTCCTTCCACAAAGCATAATTATCAATATCACACAAAAATAATAACATCAACTATCTGAACCAAGTAGAATGTATGGGCTGCGGGGCGTTCGTAATTTAAAGTTTTGCTTTGAATTTTTATTTTTTGGCCTTTGATGCTAAATTGTGTGTAACTGAAAATGAAATGTTTGTTCGTTGAGATTTAATGATTTTTCTCTTTCTAGATGAGATTCAAATTCTGCTTGGTCGCATAGAAAATATACAATGGGTGTAATGAGTATAAAGTGTGTGCTCTACAATCTTGATTTGTTATTTACGGTAATGTTAAAGCCCTGCACTAAATAAACGCCTCTTTAAATCCCCCAGATGGCTTCTCTTTTTTTAAGGTTTTTACATTTTTTTCCTCTCAGTGTAGGGCATTACCTGAGACGCATATATCTCCTATACGTTTAGCAGTACGGATTGCATGAATGTCAATGTAAAATAACTATTCCACTGTAGAAAAGTTGTCGATAAATGTACACTACATGTCATACTAGCTTTAAATATCACGAGAAACAAGTGGCTTAATAATGCAGAATTTAGGATAACATTGACGTAACGTCACAGACATTACTGTTTTTTTCTGAATTATTTCACATAGACTTCATATCATTGGCTTCAATCAATGATCAGTTTCAGTGTGCCACTGTACTGTTTTTTATAGCTAACCAAAAGCTTTTATTAACAAACCAGAATGTAATCCTCATTCCCTAACCCCAAAGAAACCCCATCTTTTCCAACCTCCTTGATCCCCCTAAGTCTCCCTCCTCCGTCCAACCTTCTTGGTAGAAGAATTGGAAAAAATGAGTAACCCTTTAAATGTTGTTTTATTATACAAACAGTACATAGATTGCAATTGCTGGGAAATGGGAAAGTATTGAGCTCAAGTGTCTCACAGTGACATGATGTCTCCAGACATCCAAGTATTATCATGTCATTGTTGTTTGTGGGGTTTAAGTATATTCATGATTATAATATATATATATATATATATATACTGGAAAGAGTATATATACCAAATATACTATATATACTCTGCATTTCATCTGGTTTGATGCTAAACTGCATTTTGTTGTCTCAGTACCTGTACTCATACTTGTACTTGTACTGTGCAATGAGAATGAACTTAAATCTAATCTAATCCAATAATAAACTACTAATACTCAAAATGGACATAGAAGTGCGTCACAGACAGCAACGTGTCGTGATACGCTCTACCTAGCGACACTTCCTACTGATTATTCTATTGGCGGAGAGAGTGGACACCCGGATGCTGTGGTCTTCCTGCATTGGGCGGGCTTAGTGGCGGAGATGTGACTGCGCTCGTGAGTCCAACGTCAACAGGAAGACATTCTCACTTTCGATTTGTCTCGCGGGGCAGTTTTGACGAATATAACGTTACGTGTGTATATACACGAACTTTATCTTTACTGAGACGAAGTGAAGTGAGAACGATGAAGATACTCGTGTGCGCTTTCGTTGTAGGTCTGCTCTCCCTCGCCTCTTCACAAGACAAAACGTGTAAGTATTCTAAACCGTATGTAACGCGACTACCAGGGTTGCAAATGGCGCCGTGTTAGGAAGGCAAGGCCTCGAAATGGCAGGTTCGACCACAGCGATCGGATCTCGCCGTAGACATGTTGTTTAAATGAGAACAAATGGAGACCAAAGAACAGTAAGCTTAAAATAAAAACGTTATGCGGTGTTTCCGAAACGTTCACGAGTTTTATTGTCAGCTTAATGTCCTCGAAGACGTCGTAAATGCAAACATGATAAAGCAGTGACAGGTCCACGGCAACAACAAAGTAACTTAACTCAGTCTATTGTGTGTTTTGTCATCGGAGCGGATGATTGGTCATTTGTTTTTCCAATGTTATGGAAACTTTTGAAATAGTTTCGTACCCAAATTCAAGTAACGTAACACGAAACTGAAAAAGTAGTAGAAAAAGTGTATTTTATTATATAAGCATCCTTAAAGTCACGAAACAAAGGAAGGAAAATCCAAAAGAAGACACACTTAAGTATATTCTATTCTATCTATTTTCTTCTTTTTTTTCTATATTGCCCTCATCCTATTGACCATCTCGTTGGGGGTGTAAATGGTATAAAATGGAGCACCAGAGTAAATATATTCATATCAGTCATAAAATAATCAGGTAAAATATCTCAATGGATCAGAGTTGTCTTTTTAAAACAGATGAAGAGGAGCAGCTGTAGTTTGTGGTGCTGCTGAACTGGATTACACTGTCAGGTGTATATCTAATTTGTATTCTTATTGAATGGAAGAAACGCAAAACGTTACTGAGGTGAATGTTTAATTCAGGGCTTTTGTATTACATCAAGGATCAGGAACATCACACTGCATTAACTTTATAATGGTTTCATAAAGGTTGCATACAGTAATAACCAATAGAAACAGTTAATATTTTACTGGATAGGGCTACATTCCACATACACACACCTACTGTTTGTCTTCTTGTTACTCGAACATCAAGAGTCCGATAATCCATGCAGTGGTCCTCGTAGGGCTGCACGGTATACCGGTATAAGATTTCTCACGTACCATTCATACCGGAGTTACGCCATAACAACCGGCGTTTCTCTTCGGCAGGCGGCAGATTTTATTTTTACACGTCATCGAGGAGCACATAGCAGTCGGAGCTACGTGTGTTGAGATTGAGTCATGATTATAACTCTGAGCAACAATGAGTAACCCACAACAAACACTCTTTAACAGGGTAAAACACAACAGCTTGTGACACATAAACAATTTGTAACACTAATAATTGTACATTTATAAAAATTACCCGCCGAACTGCATGCTGGGTATAGCTCACAACAAGAAGTAACTCTGTTGCTACATGAAAACATGGAAAAGGGTAGCCGCGGTCCTTTTTGGGGTCAATGAATAAATGTGTTTACTTGAAAAAGCAATACGGGGATACCGTCAGAATCTTAATTAAATAGTTAATATTTTACTGTATAGGACCACGTTCAAAATACACACCTACTGTTTGTCACCTTGTTACTCAAACAGCAATAGGCCAATAACCCGTGTGGTAGTCCTTGTACAGTTAAATGCACAAACATCACTATAAATTAAATTGGCGATGTACCCGAATCTCTTCTGTGGCTCTACATTAATAGTGATTAACGTTATAGTATTTAATACCTATGATACAGTGATCGTGGAGGCTACAGTTAGATAGGAGACATCATTAGTGATTAACATAGTATTTAATATCTATGATGCAGGGATCAATGGTGCTACAGTTAGATTTACATTTTCAAACAATTAAATAAATAGACATTTTCAAGCATATACAAGCAGCTGACCAGACATTAAATGTCTTACAGAGAAATATACAATAATTCATATGTGGAAAATATTTATTTATTATTATTACAATTCAGAGCTTCAGAGTTTCTTTGAAGCTGACGTCCTGCTGCCGGTTAAAAGTTACCTTGATGACGGTCTCTTCATGTCCTTTAAAACATTGTTAGTTTAAATGTACAATGGTAGACAATAACAAGCCTGCACACAACGTTAAAGTTAAATTTAAACATGAAGTTATGAACCTAAACTCTGTCCTCAAACAGACGTAACGTTACCGGTGAACAACATCAGTCACTAAATGAAAAGTTATGAAGTCTAGTATAGTTATATCTCATGTATAACCGCTCCGGAGACGTGAAAACCAGCGGAGCATTTCACAGAAGACCGTCGAGAGAAAGGGCCTCAGTTTGCAAGCTGACTTCTTGATCTCATAATTAAACTCACAAAAGCTGCGCTCACAGTGCACAGCAATATGCTCGTAGACTGGTTCAATCAGGAAAAGCTTCATTTTGCTCTGTAGTTTTGCTTGCATTCAGTGTATGATAACAGAAGAGACAGGGTCATGGTGAAATTTGACTTTAACATGAACATATCATGAAATAATCTAGTTTTGGCTATGCCTTGGAGGGAGAAACATACACGCCAGAAAGCAGGAGGGTCACTTTTACTTGTGATGGCTTTTTTTTTTTTTTTGAAAAGAAGCCATTTTTTTTTCAAGCCAATAAGACCAAATTATTTTAGGGCGCCGAAGAAAGACGCCCCTAATACCAACACAGGTTTAAGTGAATTAAATCTATATAATTCTTTAAATTCTTATAATGTAATTGTTTTATTACAAATATGCACATTTTCTTCTTATTTTGTTTCTCTGTAGCTTCACCCAAGGTTGAGGTGTACAGCAAACTACCGGGAGAGTATGGGAAGGTGAACACCTTAATCTGTCACGTGACAGACTTCCACCCACCAGAAATCAAAATTGAGCTGCTCAGGAACCGTCAGGCCATCCCCGGGGCCATGCAGACAGACCTGGCCTTCGAGGCGAGCTGGCACTACCACCTCACCAAACACGTCCCTTTCACCCCGCAACCAGGAGACACGTTCAGCTGCAATGTGACTCATGTGGGGATCTCCAAGATATATACCTGGGGTACGTGTCTGTGTCTCTGCTTGTCTGTCCCACACTTGATATCTGTATTAGGTTTACAGTGTAAGTATTATAATTTAGAATAAGAACCAAAAGGACAACCAGAGATTTACACATTACTAAATTATAACATGCTTTTCCTTTCAACAATACTGTATAGTTTATATTTCCCGTAATAACAAAACTACAAATCGGACACAATATAGATTAAAAAGTAACATTTATGAAGATAACTGGGCGACTGTGTGCCAGTGTTGAGCGAGGTCGTCCTTCAACCACAGGATGGGCAGTTAGATCAGTCCTTGGGCAAAACACTTATTCCCAACATAGCTCCCGCAGCTGTGACCACAGTGTTTGAATGTTAGTCGGTGTTGCGTACCCACGCACCTACGTGTTGACTATGATAAAACAGTTGAACATACCTTATTCTTGTTCGGTCTCACCCAGTAGTCCCATGTTATGACTATTCAACCGATTGCACTAATAACACAACATCATAATAATAATCATGATTTACCGCCCAGGTCATGCAGTTGGGGTTGCGGTTAGACTTATCTAATCTTTATATAAGAGAAGAAGAAAAAACACAGTGCGTTTCTGTGCTTAGCCTGGCTTTGGTGGTCTTATTTGACCCACCCATACAGAACCTGACTCGTTTATTACTATGTATGTATTTTATGTAGTTTCATGACTTCATATCTGCACAACCATTTGTTTCTGATAGTTGAATGTTCTTTATAGATCTAACCCCTTTTTCTGTCCATGCTGCAGATTGATGTATTTCTAAATGTTCATAAATGATGGTCCTAGCAGGATATACATGTTTTCACTGGAAATGAATGAAAATGAAAATGAACTTTGTCATGAGTAAAGATGAAGATACTTAAGCATAACCACAATTTCTAATCTGGGCCGTCTTCCAAGTTCCTGTCTCCCCCACATTTCCTGTCTCTCACGACTGTCTCTGACTGCCAAGGTTCATTCTCATTGCAATTTTATAACACAGGCTTGCACAGTGCAAATTATAACCCCTTCAATCCCCACAGAGACACACACATATAGAACCTGTCACTCTTAATCAATACATATTTACCTGAGAATTGAAATGAACGACAAACACTGTTTCCCAGCCTTGTGTTTGTTTTGTTATCTCAGTTTTTAAACACGAGAGGCTTTACAGCATGTTTCTATTTCTCTCCACAGAACCGGACATGTAAGCTGTGCTCTTCGCCTTGCTCCAGGTGTCTATCACATTCATTTTCAATGTAATTTATTCTATTCCTAGTTCTATTCCTGGTCCTTGTGTTTCATTGACACAGTTTCCGTCCTTTGTTTCATTAACACAGGTCTGCTCAGTCAGGAGATGAAGCTTTAAAGAATTTGCCTGGATTTGTTTTCATTCTACACTTTGCACTTCTAAATCTTACTTTGTCTCAGAAATACCAATGGATAATATAGCTTGATTAAAGCAGTTTAAATTGGCCTTGTTGTCAATGGATTCAGGGCCAAGTGAAGATATTTCCAAACTTACATTCTACATATTGTTTTAAGCCCGGGAGTTTATGTGGTGTTCTTTTATGTTCTGTAAGTTAGCATCTTACTAACCAGCCAACTGCTAAATTAATAAGTTTGGTCTTTTTTGCTTTCTAGAGGGATTTTATTTTTATTTCTAATGTAGAGGCTCTGGGGTTTAGTGACTCTTTGAAGTTCATGTAAGGAACAAATCCATGTTGTCACATGGTTAAAAGATCCTCGGTTGAGGTCTCCAAAATAGTCGGCATTGAGGAAATGTATAAGCCATTTTAATACATTGAATGATGATTTTGGCCTTGCGGCTTGGAACCCAGAAAGCGGCTAAAAACCTATATGATTATGACTATTAACACTGGTGAGTAGATATGTTTAGTTTGCTCTTCTGTGTGCCTTTGATGGTTGATCTGTCATTTAAACTTTTCTTATTATTATTTTCAATGTAAGATTTACATTTACAAGTGCTCTCTAATTATGAACACACATGAAATCGAGGATTAATCTTTGTATTTTCCATTCATACTCCAGAATGACTTCAAAACCTTGTTGATGCTGTCTATGGTGTTTGTACTATATATATATATATCAGTGGGACATATTTGGCTTGGCTTGGCTCTGTATTTGTATTCTACACAATATGGTTGATTTAGTAAAAGGTTTTCATAACACTTTTTTTCTGTCCACTGCAGTTTCAAAATGTCAGCCTGTTCGAAGCAAAGAGGAAGCACTTCAGGGCCACCGTACAACTCTGATCCATTTAGATATATCCTAATTCTTTTATTATTATTATACGACGAAACAAACTCATCATAGTAAAATACTTAACAGTCAAGAACTATTAAAATGTATTCGCAAGACCAGCTGACGCGGTGACGTCATCAAGTCAGCTGCTGTTCCAATAGCGGAAATGAAGACTGGCGCATGCTTCTGCGTATTTACGCGTTGTGTCGACGCACTCTTTTCAGCTTCAAAAAGGCTTGCGTGTGTTGCAGAGCAATTCACCGCCAGAACAACAGGTGGAATAACGATCTAGAGAGTCACGTCGTTGTGTGTGGAAGTTGTTTATTTGTTTATTTATTTATCATAGACTTTATTGCCCCGTGCATCGCCACTGCTGCTTTTCATCGCGGACACATTTGTCCCGTATTTTCCTCCACAACTTTGTTCACCTCGACCGACAAACCGGCGTTTGCGGAGATCTCCCTCCATGAATCAGAGGCCATCCGCGCGTCCTTATATTCCGCCAATGACGGCTTGTATAAGCGGTCATATTTGCGCATTTCTTCCGACAAAACTTCAATCTGATATATTATCTCGTAAACAGCCTTCGTTTTAATAATGGCGGTCGCTTTCGACGCAAGCCTATAAAAATGGGTCGACGCACGCAATCACGCAAGGAGGTGTGAAAGGGCACGCAAGGAACGCGCAAGGGGGTCTTGCGTCTGCGTTTCCTTGCGTCGCTCCGAAAACGCAGAAGCATAAACTAGGCTTGACTGTTCTCCCGTACCCGTGAGTCGGGACTCCCATGTCCGCCTCCCGAGCTGCTAGCTGTCTTAATGTCGCTAGGCTGCATCCTTGTAGCCTCCGGCCTCCACCAGCCTTCGCAATGGACCTGGTAGACAACCGAGCGGTCTCTGAAATAGGACGGCTCTGGCCTTACGAGGGGACTTCCTGCCCGCGTCATCAGCTTTACCTCCACTGGTCCCGTTGCCTCGCACCCTGCTGCGCTTGACAGTAAAAGCATTGAAAGGGAAGAAAATTACGAAGTACAGATAAAGAAGCTGACAGAACCCAAGACGTTTTGGTTATATTCAAATTAATATTAAATCTTTAAGCTAAGAGTAAGAATGCAATCTCAAGGCAGAGGAGATTCCATCAATATTTATCACAACAGCAAACACATTTATTAACAAGGACGTTTTATTATTTTCTCCATAAAACAAAACTAAATGTAAAGTTAGTTTATAATCACACGACAAAACAAAAGGAGCAAGGCAAGTTCAGTTCCGTGGAACAAAGTAGTGGGGTAAAGTATGAGCTTTCCTGTTGACTCACTGAACATTGACTCCACCACCATTGCGCAGCGGTCGGGGGAATTTCCGCATTTGACACAGTGAATTACTACCGCTACGCTCTCTCACGGCTCAGTGGATCTACGCTCTGCGCTGCAGATGGACCCGAACACGTTCCTCTACGATGTCCCGCCGGTTGTCATCGAGAGACTGTGCCAAATCCTGGACAGTGGGGTTGACAGGTTAGGGTGGCGCGCACTAGGTGAGTAAAAGTGGTTATCTTGTCAGAGATCTGAGTTTAAGGGAGATACGGGTCTACCGCAGCCGCATAACACACAGATTGTGATCTGATCGGAGGTCCAACGCTCTTAAATTTACCAAGTTAAGTTTACTATCATAACAAATGCCACTTTAGACTGTTCACATTTGTGTGTGTTCGTAGTGTAGGCTACACAATGCTTTCTTCATACATTGGTTGAAAGACTCGAGCAACTTCAAGTCATCCATATGATCAATTTGTAATGTGAGATGAGCAGTGCGGCCGGTGCTCACCAGATGTCGGTCTGGGCCGTCCGGATTTCCAATGCCCTGTCGGTGCTAATTAAGTGGCACGGTGAAGGTGCTGAAATGTCCATGTGTATAAATAATAATAATCCGTATCCCCCCGTATCGTCCGCGCCCACCCCCCGTACCGGCACCTTTTTTCCCCCCACTTCAATCACCGGAGATGAGGATAAAGGTTTGGATGAACCTGGGTTCTTAGTATTTCTTAGCATACACTGATTGTCTCCGTGTGCATCTTGTGTCTCCACCTCCAGCTGTCCGAGTAGTTCCCAGCTCGTTAGAGGTCCGAATGTTGGAACGCGTGGAGGCAGCTGGTCGGAGTCCCACTTCGGAGCTTCTTTGGTCCTGGGCTCAGGAGAATCCAAGGCTGCTGGACCTTGTTAAGCTGCTGCAGGAGATGGGCCATCAGAGGGCCCTGCAGCTCCTCCAGGGTCCAGGTCAGTTACAAACAAATCATACATCGTTTACTCATGATTCTGCATAGCACATAAAAAAACCTCTAGCAATCAAGACTTGGTTTTCTGATCTAGTAAACTGAATTGCTGCACAACTTTCTGTTGGCTGCTCCAGGTTGAGTGGATTTTGTGTAGCGGAGTCTTTAAAATTTGTCAACATGTAATGAGCAGCCTGCACTGCTGCTGGTGCATTTCGGGACTTGCCGTTTTTTGGTGCTAAGTCAAGTTAGCTGATGTAATGAACCGAAATTAAGCTGGAAATGTTCTTTTTACCTCAACAATAACATTTATAGTTGGCTATGTGGTTTCATAATACCCAATTTGACAGCCAATTGGATCATGTATCCAACAAGATTCTGTCTTATGAGTCAATCCAGGATCCTCGTCTTCTAGCTCATAATGCAGCTCATCCATAATGCACAGCTCGACTGGTCTTTAACTTAAATTCACCCACACTACTCTGCTCCTCCGCTTTAGTCACCAGTGGCTACCTGCATCCATTTCAAAACATTGGTACCAGCATGCTGTGCTGCAGACATCAGGTCCAGTCTAAATGGTAAATGACCTGTACTTGTATAGCGCTTTTCTAGTCTTCTGACCACTCAAAGCGCTTTAACACTACATGACATCATTCACCCATTCACACCCATTTATACACTGATGACAGGAGAACCATACACAGTGACACCTGCCATCAGTAACTACCATTCACACACTGTAGTTGCAGCTACAGGAGCAATGTTGGGTTAAGTGTCTTGCCCAAGGACACAACGACATGCGGGTTAGCCGGGCCTGGGATCGAACCGACAACCCTCTGATTGGAGGACGACCGTGCTCCCCACTCACCCACAGTCGCCCCATCAGGACATGGTCAAACAGTACGTCCCTGCCTGCTCACTCTGCTCTGCATCTGCCAATCAGGTTGTTGCTTCCTCCCCCAGAGCAAAACACTCAACAACACCGTTGATTGCTGTCCTGTCTCGTAAATAGTGGAAGGAGCTCCCCAATAACATCAGGACAGCCGAAAGCTTACTGAAAACACACATACCCACTATACCTGAACTAGTTAGCACTTTATTAGCACTTACGATGGCACTTATAGCGGTTATAGATCCTCCTCCTCTCCTTCATGGACTTAGAGAGAAGGCACGGTATTCACACAGATAGGGTTGGAGAGACGCTACGGTATCCACAAAGTTTACAGTATCTTTGTCAGCAAATCAAACAAGAACTATGAGTACCAGGATTAATGATTAACGGGACTGAGACAGACTAGCTGAGAGTTAAAGTCATTTTGCCACTGTGTTGACCTCTTGTTAACTCCATTATTGTCAAATTGCATAGGAAGGTTCCTAAATGAGTGAAATGACTCAGAAGTAGTGTAAGCGGCTGCCATGATAAGAGACGTTCAAATGCTAAGGGAAAGGAGCTTCAATCCTTCCCTACTTAGCTCCTTTAGCCTAGGAATCACTGGACCGTCCTTTACCAAAGGAAAGGAGATAATTCCGTCCCACAATTCCTTGCGGCGGCAGTATTTAAATAGTCACGTATCATTCAGCCGTCGAGAAATAACGACCGAGAAACACAGATCATGTGAGTAAGCATTAGCACAACTCACTTATATTGCAACCTTGTTAATAAAGTAATACTTTGAACCTGGTTGTTTTATGTTGCCTGCATGACCCTGTAACAACACACATGTATCTAAGATGTGCTTCTTTGGAGTCCATCGTTGGAGAAATTGTAGTTTTGCCGCTGCAGACTGACGTCACGAACATGTACATCTATTTTTTTTACTATTTCAATCTAGCCCAAGGACCGACTAGAGCCCTGTACTCTAAGGGAAGAGTCCTGATTGGAGTATAAGGTTTAAGCAGATCAGGCGTCTCTTTGCATTACTAATTTGAAATAAACTGCAGACTGTCAAGTTAATATACAAAAGGGAATTGTAAAAGCCCTTCTTTGTTCCTCTCCCATCCAATGTCAGCCACCATGGGGATGCAGTTATCAAGGCAATTACTTTCACTTCATGTTTTGGCCATCTGTTTATTTACAGAGTTGCCAGTGCCAACCAGCAGTCCACACGCCGACTACAGAGGACACATGGACGCGGATGAAGAGAAGGTAGAATTATTATTCCATTGACTGGAAGCAGTGTGCAGTACAAATAAATGACCACCCTGTCCTGTGTTTTGTCCAATAAGGGATCCTTCCAACGAGAAGAGAGTCCTGCAAGTCAGGCATCATGCCATGGTAAGATTATTTTAATGGTTTATTTGATATGGGATGTTTGACATTAATAAGAAACATTTCTGTAAATGCACCAGGGTTGGCCAAAAGCCTATTTTTCAATTGCAGTCCCAAGTGGCAAATGTTCTAATGTGACAAAGTGAATATTATAATCAAATCAAATATATTTTAACGACCCTGTATTGTATAAAGGGGGGATTTTCCTTGTATTCTTATTATTATAAACCCTGCCCAGTTACTGTGTATAAATACTGTGAATGTATCATCACAGTCAAGCCCGTATTAAGAGACTGCGTTTTTAAAAGAGCCAAAGGGACTTCTTTGATGTCATGACTTAATCATTGTTGATGCTCACTATGACTTCACAAGCTCCGATGTTGCTACGAAGACAGCAAGAGCACAGACGCAGACCAATCAGATCAGACTTGGCTTATTTGGGGGGGTTGGGGACTTGAAAAGAGACATGCGTTAATACAGAGTTTTTCCAACGCAGGCTGCATACAGATTTATTCCAAAAATGTAGCATGTTAACCTGTTCTATTAAAACAAATTGTATGAAAAAAAATATGAACCTGAAAATCAGCATGATATGTCAAGTTGTACATTAATTATGCAGAATTTTAACTTGTCGTGGGAAATTCGGGTAAAAGAAGCAGTTTGGGGTTGATACTGATCCGTCTCTGTCTTCCAGTGACCTCCGCTGAAGAAAATAAGCCACCCGTAATTACCTTCCAAGACATCATAGATGGAACGAGAAATTTTCACCTTGAAATGAGAATTTCAGAGGGACACTTCTGTGATGTCTACAGAGCACAGATAGGAAGTGAAAAGGTGGCGGTGAAGCTTTTTAAACAGGTGAGTTTTGATTTTCACACAATTCAGGCCAGTAAGGCCGAGATCCTCCTTGTGGCAGTGGCAAGTGGGTGGCATCAAACTTGAGAGCCCCACCCCCTACACGGAACCCGCCGGTCCAAACCTAAAATTAGACTCTGTAATAAGAAGACAGGGGCTCACGTGTCTCAAATAAAATTAAATAAAATTAAATAAAATTAAATATTTACAGCAGCTGACCTGTCGTACAAATAACAGTTGTTTCTGGGAAAAATTGGCTCCTCCCACCCAGCGTGCCGTCGTGACGCCGACTGATTTACTGGCGATTGCCGCTGCCTGTCACAAAGTTGCCACCCACTTGCCACTGCCACAAGGAGGATCTCGCTGTCACTCATTCAGGGTGTGATATTTGGAAAGTGTGATTGTAAAGGCAACTAAAAGGATGTGGGATGGTATGAGGTACTTCTCCACAGTCAGAGGATCCTCCACAGTGGATGGAGTTTGGAGGAGTTTGGAGGTAGCAGTAGACTAGTAACCAGCGGTACTTGAGTGAACTGACTGCTATTGTCAAATCAGTCTTGTCACTTTAAAGAGAGCATTGATATCGGCTTCAGTTTCCCATCAGAAAAGCTGTCTGACTTTGAACATATTCTAAATACAGCATAGACAGAAACTATTATCGATTTTTTTGGGGTGTCGGAAATATATTTAGCCAACTACTATATTTAAAACATCCAAACCATCCCTTTAACATCCGGATATTGACTGCAACAAAGACCATCCAACTGAAATGCATTCATCATCCTTTCAAGACAAACATGGCATCATGGAAGAAGCTGTGGGACGTCTTCAGGAAAGAAATGGAAATTCATCATATGTAGGTGTCAACTCTTGCTCTCAAAACAACTTTCTTTATTTGTGTCATGGAGTCTGTTGAATATACAATGGGGTTATGTGTTACAGGTACCAACATCCAAACATCTTGGACTTGTTGTGCTGTTTTACTGATGCGGGCCGCTACTGTCTGGTCTATCCTTACCTCGCCGATGGGTCGCTCTTCCACCGACTCCATCATCAGGTATATCTCCCTACCCTCCGTAGTACGTGGATATGAAAGGGTGATTCTGGGTGACTTTTCCAAGCCCGAGCCAAATAGTTGCTCGATGACACATTTTTTATTTCAGAAAACAGAAACTAAACATATGGGATACTACTTCTGCTTTCGCAGGACTTGAAACAATATATGGTTGACAAATAACAATGACTAACAATTTCACAATGAAAAAAGTAGCAGTGTTCTTTCTATGTCCTGGGACAATAGGTCAGTTTCAGCCAGATTGGTGTTGAGGAAATTAACAATAGGTGCACTAGAGGGTCGACAATGAGGCAACCCCCAAAACGGGAGTGGTTTTGCACTTGGAGGCCAATTCATTGGCTTTAAATAGAGTCATTATCACCACTTGGGATAATGACGCCATTTCCTAACCCTACAGAAGTTGCACACGTTGTCCAACTCCTCCAGGATGGCACATCCACGCATGCTGTTGCAACGAAATTTGATGTGTCTCCCAGCACAATCTCCAGAACATGGAGGATATTCCAGGAGACAGGCACCGTGGAAGGTCCTCAATCCATCAGCAGGACCGATATCTGCTGCTTTGTGCAAGGAGGAACAGGTTGAGCACTGCCTGAGCCTACAGAGTGACCTTCAGCTGGTGCGAACGTCTCGTCCCAAACAATCAGAAACAGTTCTTGAGGGTGGCCTTAGGGCGCAACGTTCTTTTGTATGCCATGTGCTCACTGCCCATCACTGGGGAGCTCCACAGCTCTAAAACACCAGAATTGGCATGTCCCTAGACTCTACTCTGGTACAGTAGGTCCTGGGTTCCTCCTGATGCACGACAATGCTCAGCCTCATCTGGCAAGAGTATGCATGCGGTACCTGGAGGATGAAGGAATCAGTACAGTGGCCCTCACGATCACCTGGACTAAACCCGATAGGACACCTCTGGGACTTAATGGTTCGATCCATCAGACACTGCCAGGGTGCTCCTCAGACTTTACAGGAGCTCACTTATGTCATTAGACAAATCTGGGAGGACATCACACAACACCATACTTTGTCTCATTTGGAGCATGCCGCAATGTCAAGCATGAATATAAGCAAGTGGGGGCCACACAAGATATTGAGAAGCATTTTGAGTTGCAGATAATGAATTTTGGCAAAATGGACTAGCCTGCCACATCTTTTTAATCACTTAGATTTTTGAGGTGTCTAAATGAAGCCCCCTGTGGGCTGAACCTTTTATTTCCATAGATGCGCTAAGACATTAATCTGTCAGTATAGATATCCTCCAAAATTATTAGCTTGTAGTTATTTCGGTCACAAAGTACTATATGTATTCACCACTGTACTAATGTTTTTGTAGTGTGCATGTGACAATGCAACCTTGTTACTACCAACAGCTAGGTCTGGTTAAATATATACATATATATGTGTGTATATATATATATATATATATATATATATATATATATATATATATATATATATATATATATATATATATATATATATATATTTTTTTTTTTTTAACTATTTTAGCACTGATGGCCATACAAGGGCCACATCAGGATGTAAAAATAATCACGCTCAATTTGGGTTCAGTATCTTGCCCCAGGACACTTACACATATGAACATGTCGGTAATTGAACCGCTGGTCTTCCGATCAGAGGACGACCTCTATTTAATCTCTGGTGTCATATCTAAAAGGTTGTGTTGTCACCATATAGGATAGAGAGCCTCTGTCCTGGCAGCAGCGCCTTACCATCATCAAGGGAACTGCGAAGGCCTTGCATCACCTCCACACAGCACAGCCCTGCCCGGTCATTTGTGGCAGCATCTCCAGGTACCAAAAAGAGGGAAAGGGGACATCCCCACCCCCCTCAACATTAGAAAGAAAGTTATAAGCGATGCGATGGTCCAAATATGGCTCCCTTTCATCGTCCTGTGTCTCTTTGCACAGTGCTAACATACTCCTGGGCAGCAACCTGCAGCCCAAGCTGTCCAGCTTTGGGATTGCTCGTCTTCGTCCTCATTCAGCCAATCAGAACAGCACTGTCACTCTGGACACAAGGTCCCACAGCAACCTGGGATACCTCTCTGAGGAGTACATCCGAGACGGCAAGCTGTCCTTTAGCCTGGATGTTTACGGCTTCGGAATGGTATTTGTAACAACGACACAAAGAACACAAGGGAAATGAAAGTTCAGAAAAGCTCCTGTCGTTGTAGAGAAACTCTCTATCTCAAGTACAATATTCTACAATTTACTTCACCAAAGAAAATAGTTCAGCAGGATGTCAATTTAGTAAAATATGGTTTATTTAGTCAAATAAACTATAAAGCAGAGTAGGCTTTAGTCCGGGGCTACCTTGTGATTGACAGACCATGTATGGGGTCTACATCACTTTAAGTCCAAAAGTCAAATCAAAAGGCAAAGCTGCAATCAACAAATCAATGGGTGACATTGATTTGAGTTATATTATGTATAAGAGGAAGTACATCTTATCAATTCTGTTTTAAACATCATGGATTGCCATTGATTACAGTTTGCTTGTTCCCAGGTAATAATGGAAACGGTAACAGGACGCAAGGTCACAGGGGAGGTATCGAAAAAAACACCTCTGGTGAGTCTACACTGAAGCTGGAATAGTAACACGGATGGTTTATGTTTTTTTATGAAGCCTTTCATCTAAAATGCATGTAATATATTGCAAAAGCAATCGTGTATGATTGTGACCACTGTCCGTCTGCTCTGTCAGAGAGATCTGCTTGTAACTGAGGTGGAGGACAGTGGCGGCGTGGACTCTTGTCTGCAGTTTTTAGATGAGACGGCCGGCTGTTGGCCCACCGCCGTGGCCCTCGACCTTTTGCGTCTGGCCTTGGATTGCACGGCCAGCCGCCACCGTAGCAGACCAAGCATGCAGAAGGTGAGCAACACCATTTCAATTCTGACCTTGATGCCAATTGTGGTTTACTTTTACATTCATGTTGAATATAATGGTGACTCTTTTTCCTCATATTACATACAATATGTGTAACTTGTTTTGTTCCCCATAATATATCTATTTTTTGTCCTAGTATTCCCAATCCCCATCCTGTTCTGTTATTTTTCTTTTTTCCTTTTCCCCACAAAAACCCTAATACAATAAAAACTATAAATCTCAACTGTCTTCAGGTTCTTCTTGCATTGAGCAAGCTGCTTCCTCCTCCTAGCTGCCTCATCGCCGACCAACCCCACAGCTTAGACGACCCTTGTGATTCCAAGCCGAGCCCCCCACTTTCCATTCCTGTGGAGCACGACGAGCAGCTCAGCCCCCACGCTTCTCCAACACGGGCGCGGCTCGGTGAATGCAGCCAGTCGGAGTTGACGTATCTGAGCGACGCCGGGGGGGCTGTTGACCTGTACAGCAGCTGGCCCGTGCAGTGCAGCTGCCCCGCTGAGAGCGGCGGTCTGGCCTGCGAGGACTGCAGAGCCAACGGCTTCACCAGCGACAGCACAGACGGCCCTCAGAGTGAGTGCTGTGGAGATTCAATGTCACACGTGTAAAATATGCAGTGTGTGTGTGTGTGTGTGTGTGTGTTAACCTCCTAGAAGTAATCAAAGACTGCGTTTGGTTTGTTTCAGCTGAATCCCTTGGGATGGAAAATGCAGCCAAGGAGAGACTGAGGAACAAACTGAGTCTTTACGACAAAGGGCTGATTCACACACAGGAACTGTTCTCTGAAATAAACCTACAGTAGGGAACAGACTTCCTGCTAACAGTGTGGGTTTCATAAAACCAAGGTGATCAGAGGGCATATCAATCATTTTGAGTTTAGACAAATATTTTATAGAAGAAAGGTTACATTTTCTTAATCTCTGTGTAAGATATCTGTCATTTTGCTTCTTAAATGGGTTGTCAGCGTAAAGTAAAACGCGACGTCGTCAGAGGTGAAGTTGCCTGTTTGTGGGGAAAAGGTGTGATAACTGAATTTGATGGTAAGCGTTCGGCTTCAGTCCGCTAACATTCTCACATGCTCAGCAATATGCCTCCCTAACACTCCTGTCTGACACTGTCAGGCTGCAGAATACTTTTCATATTTGCAACTCAAGTTATCACATATAGACTACAACTTATCTTAGATATTATATTTATTATTTTATTATATTTTTTTTAAAGAAAAAGAATATTATATCTATTCTACTAACTCATTGCATTAGCATTTCATTTATTTTATTACTTGTGCACTGCTGTCTTGTTGTCTATTGTTACACTGTCTACTGTCACGCACCAACTGCCAAGACAAATTCCTTGAATGTTTGACATATTTTGGCAATAAATGTTTCCTGATTCCTGATTCCTGATAGTGCCATATTCAATCCCAAGTGGTGTCAAAATGAAAAAATATATACCTTTATTCCTATGTTAGCTTTAGTCACGGTAATGTATGGTCACTGAATGTAATAATTCATTCAGTATAAAATGATGCACCTTTAAACACCCTTTAAAAGACTGTGGTCGACTAAAAGGTAAGTAGAAAAAAGTGGTGGCGTATAGAGTGCTGCCAGATGTTTGTTTTTTCTGGCGAATCCTAAAAGCACCGCACCTGTACAAAATGTCAATAGGATTTCTCATTGGATTGTGCATTATTCCAGAAAATAAGATCAGTAACCAGCACAGGTTTATGATGCCAAACAGTCATGTTCAATAACATATTTTTCACAAATAAAACCACTTTTATGATATGGGAAATGTCATCGTCAAAACTGCTTCTGGCTGTGAACGAACTCCAACAAAGTAACATGAGAGCAAGCAAACACAATGGGATCCGTGAAGGTGAGAAGAATTTAGGAGGTTTCATTTAGCCACGCTAAACTTTAATGACATGCGTAACAGCTTTAAAATGCAGATATATTATTTTTATATTTAATGTCTTCGATCCAAACATAAGAATCTATTAAGCTTGTGTTAACAACAGACTGTATTTTGGGCACCTCTTTGTAATTATTCAAAAAACTAAATATGCATGTCCTAAGAATATTAATTGTCAAACCCTGCTGTACAAACTAACCCAGATGTTTAAATAATGTAGCCTACAGCTAAAAACTTGTTCTATGTTTATCCCATTTCATAAATCTTCACAAGCAAATCAATACATTCCTCATGTAGGACTAGAACAAGCCTTTAGTAGTGTCAAATTGGTAAACTGGATTTGGCCTAATTCAACAGAAAAGAATGCTGTATATTTTAGAAGCGAACATTTGCATAAACCTTTAATCCTTTGGAACAATTTCCCAGACCACTGCTGGAGAAACTTAACTGTACAGGTTTTCTACACCCAATTGCATGAGGTATAAAGGCTGCAAAATGTGCCTTGAAGGAAAATGTACCAACTGGATGTCAATCGAAGTGCAGGACTGCAATTTACATATTAGTATTTTTTATTTAGATGAAATTAAATGACTTAAGTGTGGCTAAAACCATGCAAGAGTGAGTTGACTGTTTTTGGGGGGTATAAAAGGGTGGAGACAAATCAATCACTATTCATAATTCCATACCAGGAACGTGCAGGGCGGCTTTCTCTTGGATGAGGCTGACAAACTCATGTTTCTCCAGACAGCCTTGACACTCTTCTCCCCACGAAGCTAAAATGTTCTTCAGCTCCAAGACTCTCATTCTTTTGAGTCCATCGCTACTCAGATCCTTCAGCTGAGGCTCTGCAAACAACCACCAAAGATAGGCTTTATATTATGTCCACACGCTTATGATGATGTGTTTATTATGGATGAGTGTTTATTATGGATTTCAGCGCACTTTACCATATCTAATCTGGCAGATCTGAGTGTCTCTGCTACTGAGGCGCTGGCAGATCTTCTCTATTGGGACGTGGAAGGCCAGAGGTTGAGCCACTGATGCTGTGACACGGGTTGCTGCATCACTACTGGCTCCTAGGTAGTAACACTAGGACAGCACATAAACATACTTTTAAACACTTTTTAAATCATTAAATACATTTCAATCCAAGAGAGAAAGAAAAAAAGAATTGCTTAACGTACACTACGCAACTACTTGGTTAGGTTTAGGCATGAAAAGGTTTATGAAAAAAGATCATGGTGTTGATAAGTAACACAACAGTTAATCTTAGAAGTCATTTTATGGTGTCATGTCATAAAGTTTCTTACAGTTCCTTGACCATAGAGCAATGGCTATTTTGTGCATTGATTGTCAATGATTGATCATAATGGACAAGTTGGTATCCATATTGTAATACATTTCTCTGCTAACATGTTACATAGTAGAAATGATCTGAGTCTTTGTCGTTGTTGCTGTGTTCTCACCAGCCGTGCCTCCTTCCCCTGAGTGGCAGTGCAGGCCTGGATTAGCTCTTCCTCCACCAGGGACGGAGTGAGTTCTTTGTGGGCTGAGGTCAGACTGCCATATAGTCTGTTGAGAAAGTCCACACACACTGCACACCAGTATTTTGTTAGAAGGCCAACTGCTAATCTCTAATTTACTGCAGCTAACTAACAATAAAGACACAGTGGCATCTAGTTGATTTCTTTGAAATGACGTATAGGCCAAGTGGTAGAGATGGCTAAATCAGGTTAAGTTAGTATGGTTAAGTTAAGTTAATACATTTTGCAATAAGATGTAGTGACACAAAATGTACAAAATTGTAGAGCAGACAGTTAAAGGATTAAACATGATCTTTGAGATATATTTGTATTTTAATGAAAACAATATTGTTTTTTTAATTTGTGAGTTTCACAGTTAGCATTCTTCGTTACAAGTAATATCAAATCTTTTATAGTAAATGTATTCAGTGTATTCATTTGAACATCGTATGATGCAGGTGTAATAATTTCTTGACAGGGTCATATAGTGTCTGTGCTAAATCCACAGTGGGTGCGCTGCTCTGTAACTACCGGACATCGTGACTTAATGATGAAATGCAAATTAGATAAAATCCGCAGGGCATTACAATCAAATACAAAGTATCAATTAAATATAAAGCAATGAAGAAATGCATTTATGTATATTTCATTTGTTTTGACAATCTCTAAGCGTTGTCCTGTATGCTGTGCGTAATTGTATATCATTTTCCACATGTTCACACATTTGCAGCTATTTTCTGATGTGTTGGGTTGCACCACCAGTTTTGTGCACACATGCTGAGCAGATAATGTTAGGTGATATGTGTGTGCACATGCATACACAGCGGATTTTGACTTGTCAAATAAGAACCTGCTAATATCCGCACAGTTTAGAGTTGGTAAACAAGTTGTGTATATCTTCCACTCACAACATGCGGTCTAACCTTCACAGTTGCCTGCAGCAGAAAAAGTGAACCCCCTGAAGAGCAGCAGAATGGTGAGGGACAACACGGACATGTTAGCGGTGGTCGTTATTATTAGCTCCACGGTGTCCCAGCCAGCAGACCGGCTGTTGGAGCAGCAGCAGAGACTTTGGTGCAGACGTCACCCACCCAGTGCTTACAGATTCAATTGGTTTGAAACTTGATTTAATACTAACTAAAAGACAGTGTTTTTTGCAGATTATATTATTATTATTATATAATTGCAATTGTCATCAGTTATATCATTAAGATGCGCGATTCAAAGGGCATAACAAAATAATGTAATAATAATGCAGCACTCACATTATGTTGGATAGTGAAGTACATACATGTAATTATATGAACTACTCCCATACTTTGAAGTAAGTAAGATTCTGAATCCAGGTATTTTACTCGATAGGTAGTCCATTATTCACCTAAAGGTCTGAAAAAGTCTTCCATCTGTTGTTAGACTATAAAATACAGTGGTCCTTCTATACAAGAATGGCAATTTAGTCTGGTATTAAGGGGAAGATTTACACATATATATAATGTATTCCAAAAGAATACACACTTCATTTAAAATCAATCAATAATACTTTATAAATACAACTAGTATCATTCTATATTAAGTATATTCTAACATTGTTTTACTCTTACATATTAATCAATAAGTACTATCATATTTGAAATGTAGAAATAAAAGCCTGCGCAAGATAATATGAAAGTAAATGAATTTGCACAGAAATATAAAAATGATTGTAGCACATAAAAATGACACGCTCTTGATTTGAAAGGGCTACCGGAAGTTATTCCTCAAACCGGAACAGAGGCCACATGCGCGCGGTGCACAGCCCTCTGAGTTCTTTCCAGCATGGCGGCCATAGGAGTCCACTTCGGATATACTTGTGCTTGTGCTGCGATATTTAAGGTGAGTGAGGCTCATTTGAGTTCCAGCGGCCTTTCCCGCCCTCCTTCTGCTCCATGAGTCAAATGTTGGGCTTCAGCTCTAAAATCCTGCTTCAATAAATATCACTCACATTAGTTGCTAAGATGCTAGCAAACTAACGTCAGGATGAATGAAGACAATAGTCTACCTTCTATTTCGGTAGTCTAAATAGTTATAAGATGCGGGGGAGGCATAACGTTAACAGTTAACAAGTTCGCCAGTAATGAACCTCTGTGTCCTTAATATCACAACAGAATTAGGCCTAACGTTTTACCATACTATTGTAAAGCAATTGAAAAAGTAGACCCCACAATAACGTTAAAGCTTTCCCTTTTAATGCTTCCTTTTCCCAATCCTTAACTGGGCCTCATTGATGCTTTAGATCAGCATTAACAGCACATTGAATGTGACGAACCGAAGAGCAGCCTGTCCTGATGTACGTTTGATGCATCTCTTCCTCAACTGTACTCGCTCCAAAGAGCTCTGTGTTGCTGGTGACTTGGCTCTGAATGGATGAATGAATTTGGCCTGTAACAGCTACTCGGAACCGCCAATGCTTCATCTAATGTTTCCTGGTTACCAGAAGCCTGTCCAATGTCCCAGAAAAGCTTCATTGGGAGGCCAGTCGGATTCCTGCCAGTTGCTGAAACACCACAGGAAAATCAATAAAAAGACAAATGTGTGCAACTTAAATGACCGTTGTGTGTGCTTCCCAGGATGGACGGGCTGAGGTGGTGGCTAACGATGCAGGAGACCGGGTGACTCCAGCTGTGGTGGGCTACAGAGACACTGAGAAGGTACAATGTGAACTTTATCTCCGTTATCCTAGCTGTCATAGTCTTTGCGGTAATAGCAGTAAAAGCTTTGTGCTCTTGTTAGACTTTATGATTAATATTGTTTTCTGCCTGAGTGGATGTCATCGTCGCATCCACTATAGGTTATAACTGTTTATATGCCAGTCTGCTTATTGCTTGATTTCTTTTGTCTTTTGTAGATTGTTGGCATCGCCGCCAAGCAAGGGAGGATCCGCAACGCTGCCAACACAATTGTCAAAGTGAAACAAGTGCTGGGGAGAAGGTGACGTACTTCATACTGTCTTTTTTACTAATCTTAAACTACGAGGAACACCGAAGGTTAGTAGCTTGCCTCACTGGCACCAATGGAACTAGTGCAAAGCAAAAAAATGTTTACGGGTACGCTACACTTACAATGTTAGAGGCAGCAATAGACCGTATCCTATCAGTAACTTTGTGTCATCATTGGGCGGTAGTGTTTAACAGCTTTGTTTGGATTAATTTAATTTGTGCTTTCACATTACATTTAGTAGCCTGAATGCTTATTAAGAGGGCCTTCATTGTTATAATATGACGGTATTGGTATGTTTGCAAGGTGTAAGACCGACTTAAAGATGTTCTCTTTCCCTGTCTCAACGGGCAGCTTCGACGATCCAGAGACCCAAAGTCACAAAACACAAACCAAGTGTCAGGTGAGTTTGACTGCTTACAACATAGATTTAGTTCCCTGCATTGACATTGACTCATCTGATGCTCTTCATGTTGCACCACAGTCATCTCCAGTCAGAAGCCAGCTGGCTCGTTTGTTTTGTCTCTTTCTCTTGTTGAGCCAACATGGACCGGCTGTCATGATGAAATAATTGGTTTCTGTGTTCAGGTCGTCAACAGACAGGAGAAGCCTTATTATGAGATCACAGCAGGAGATCACCCAGAGTATGTCGCGCCGGAGGATGTTGCAAAACTCATCTTCCACAAAATGAAAGGTATTTTGTGACACACACACACACAAAGATCAGTGTGTTGCAGAGAAACAGCAAGCCGATTGATTATCTACTACTTTCACAGAAACGGCTCAGTCGGCTCTCGGCTCTGACGTCACCGAGGCGGTTATCACTGTCCCATTTGAGTTTGCACATGCTCAGAAGCGTGCTTTGAGGTAGGCCACATCACAACCCATTACATCGGTCCCGTTTATTTGTGAAACCGTTGGGCAAAGTCTCACCACTGCTCTGTGCAGGGAGGCAGCTGAAGCTGCAGGCTTCCATGTACTGAGGCTGATCCACGAGCCTGCTGCTGCTCTGTTGGCCTATAACATAGGACAGGATTGTTCTTCAGGAAAGAGGTACGCTGATTCTGCAGCTGATGAGCTCTTATTACTGTGGATTCATTGCGATATCTAAACGTATCGACTCCTAACAATGTGCGCCTGCCCTGCTTTAACAGCCACGTCCTCGTGTACAAGCTGGGCGGGACGTCCCTGAGTGTGACGGTGTTGCAGGTCAATGGGGGAGTGTTCCGGGTGCTCAACACACACACCGACCACAGCACCGGAGGAGAGAGCTTCACCCAGGCTTTGGCTCAGCACCTCAACGCCGAATTCAAACGGTAGCTACTGTCTTTTCTCCTCTGTAATTCTCACAATAGCAAAATCATACAGCGGGCTGAACTAGACCGCCGGGCGATCCGGCCTTTGACATCCATGCTGTGAAGTATCAATGTATGTGGATCTAGTCAGTACATCAATAGAGTAGATGAAGATTGGAGAAACCGACATGAGAACAGCACTAGTATGTACTGCTGGACAGGGAAGCTGCTTCGCCTCGTCCTCACAACTGAAGCAGTTATTGCTGCTCGCTATGAAGTCTCAATTGACAAAACCAGCTATTTAACCACAGAATTAGCTGGAATACTGCTGCCCTGATCCGTTGGTTTGTGTTAGTTGGGATTCATCAAGGTCACACAATAACACCCATAACACTAACTAAATGTGGTAGACTGGCAGCGCTAATGTTAAGAGTAAGGTCAAATGTTTACGTTGAAGAGAGCAGAGATAACGGCTTCAGTTCCCCGTCAGAGAGGCAGACAGCAAGGTGAAAATGTTCTAAACATATAAAATACGGCCACATCAGTACACGTCTTTACTCCTGTTTACCACTAAGTGTGCATAGGTAACCTAAATGATTCAGTATGCGTCCATCCTCCCTTCATGAAGGCTGTGTGTCTGTGTTTGTTGTGCAGCACCTATAAGTACGACGTGAGCACCAACGTCAGGGCCATGCTGAAGCTGATGAACGGAGCAGACATGGCCAAACACTCTCTGTCCTCGCTGGAGTCGGCCAACTGCTTTGTAGACTCGCTTCACGACGGCATCGACTTTGAATGCAACGTCTCCAGGTGAGCTGTAATTTATGGCAAAGAATCTATTCTTATAACACAGCTAATGGCTGTGTTCAGAGCATCTGTACGTTCATAAGACATGAAATTACTCTTAATATCGTGATACGTTTGAGTTACTGACATTTTTAACAGGTAGCTAATCTGTCTATCCTTTTATAAAAGCACACACTTTAAGTGAAATGTTCATCATAGAAGAAAGCCAAAGCCTACTGAAGACGACGGCACTGTGAAGCGCCGAAACTGAGCAAATGTGCCAGAAACGCACACTGCTTGGTTGACACTTTCATTGTAATGTTTTACCTTTACAAATGCATATAGTGCATGCATTAACCCCCCTATTCCGAACGCGGTCGTCTGCGAAAGCCCCAAAAATCAGTTTAAATTTAAACACAACTCCAACAGTTATTTAGGATTCCCGCGGGTCCTTAAAAAGTCTTAAAATGTCTAAATTAAAATTTGGGTAATTAAGGTCTTAAATTGTCTAAAATTTCACGTAAAGTTGCTGTAGGTATAAATTTTTTTTGCCAGTGCGCTTAATGGCGACGAGAAAGCACAGTGGCGCATCGTAAAACATCTAATAGTTGATTAATTTAGTATTGTGCGAAATGAGTCTCTACAATTGAATAGCTGTTTACGGTACGTCGGCTACAGACGCCGATGTCCGGCTGCGTGTTGCCATTACGCGGTTGTCGATGTGAGGTTGAAAATGCAAAGAAGATGGGGAAGTGCACATTTAACCACAAGTGGATGGAAGAGGATGTATTTAGCAGGTGGTTGGCGCCGATTGAAAACAACAATGAGGCAATGGCAACTATGCAAGAAGACCTTTTCATTAGGGACCGTGGGGCTCAAAGCAGTCGAGTCGCACATGAAAAGAGGAAAGCACCAGCGATACGTTGCAGCAGCTAGCCATAGCGGGGCCAGGTTAATCCCTGCAACGACGTTACAAGTTCAGACGCCACCTCTCAGTCGGCTGTAACAGGTTTCATTTCAACACCAGACACCCAAAAAGGCAGAGGTACTGTGGGTTCTCCATACTGTGACGAGGCACAATTAATTTAAATCTAACGATGACATACGTGGCGTCTTTGCTGCCATGTTCCCCGATTCGCAATGCATTGTGTTGTTTAGTGTAATCCAAATTTATGTTGTTATGTTGGCTCTGTTCTGCATCACAAAGGAATCACTTTGATTGTTTACCTCTATATTGGCCAAACAGTGTTGGAAGGGTTATTGTCAGTTATTATACTGTCTCCTAATTTGAAAAAAAGTTTTGATTTCCATTGTAGGAGGCAATAAATTGCGTATTCCAAAGAAATTGTGACATTTTTGGGTGTTAAATTATATTTGTTGCAGTCTTAAAAAGGTCTTAAAAAGCATTACATTTGACTTTTGAAATGGTGCAAGAACCCTGTTGTTACAGAGTTATAAAATACTGTATCCAAATTCGTAAACAAACTCAGAATTTGCTGATTTACGCTGAACACTTGCAAGTGTTCCTTTTTGATGTGACACCACCAAGAATATTTTAAATAAAGCTTTTTGGCTTCATAAATATGTCAGTTTTAGTGTGCAAATGCATTTTTAAACAAAGGCCTTAAAAAACGCTTTGTGTTAAAAAGGTTATTGATCGTTGTACTAATGAGCAGTGGTAACCAACATGATGACCTCATTGTCGTGTTTCCTCAGAGCTCGCTTTGAGCTGCTCTGCTCTTCTCTCTTCAACAAGAGCATCCAGCCAATCAGACCCCTGCTGGAGGCGGCGGGGCTCTCCACTGCCGACATTAACAAGGTGCGGTTTGTGTTTTTCTTACAGCTGTTTGTGCTTTTCTTTATGCACCATTGTTTGAAATGATGTCTCTGCAACTATAGATTTGGATCAGAGCGACCTTTATTTTTGACGGTGATTTGATTTCATGAAAATAAGCCTCGGCTCGATCGGTGAGGAAGCGTTTTGTGTGTAATGTGTGCGTTTCTAGGTGGTTCTCTGCGGAGGCTCAGCCAGGATCCCTCGTCTCCAGCAGATGATCCGTGAGATGTTTCCGGATGTGGAGCTGCTGAGCTCATCCCCTCCTGATGAAGTCATTGCTGTGGGAGCAGCCTTAGAGGCAGGCTTACTGGTTGGTAAGGACAGTCTGGCCCCCGAGGAAGACTCCATCACAGTGGATGTCTCTGCCACCGACATACTAGTGAAGGTACGCTGGTCACATTAAAACACAACAAACAAGTGGTGTTTGTGACCCATTTTTCTTTAGGGCAGGTAAATGGAATGAGTTTAATCCGGTCAGTTCTAATCTTCACTGTCGCTGGGTGGTGTGTGGGCATTGCAGGAGGTGGATGAATCGGGAGCCGAGGCGTTCACCATTCTCTTTCCGTCTGGCACGCCCCTCCCAGCCCGCAGGCACCATGTCCTCAGTGCTCAAGGGGGGCTGTCCTCCCTCTGCCTGGAGATATACCAGAGATTTGTTACGGAGCAGCCAGAGAAGCTAGCTAAGGTATGTAGCTGCACCCAATCCAGGCTTTGTTCCTTACTATGGACATCCGTGCATTTAAAAATGTCAATCATTTTGACTGTCAATGCTTATTTTGGCGAAGTTGTCATTTTAATTCACTTTTTTAATGGGTTTAAACTAATATGTTTGCCTGCGCCTACCCAGTGTGTTAGCCAGGCGTAGGGCTGGGCCGTATATATCGGTTCAAACGGTATACCAGTATAAGATTTCCGTACGGTATGAATTTCTCATGTAGCGTTCATACCGGTGTTACGCCATAACAACTCACGTTGCTCTTCGGCAGGCGGCAGAATTATTTTATATTATTTCTACTCATCGAGGAGCGCTCAGCGGCCGGAGCGATTTGTCTTACGTGTGTTGAGATTGAGTCATGGTTATAACTTTATAACAACAATGAATAACTACAAACAACAAACACTCTTTAACAGGGTGAAACACCACGACACAACAGCTTGTGACACAAAACTATTTGTAACACTAATAATATACATTTATAAAAATGACCCCGCCAAACTGCATGCTGGGTACAGCTCACAACAAGAAGTAACTCTGTTGCTACATACAGCTGCACAAAAGAGCGCTACAGGAGGAACAACGAGAGACCAGAGATGCACCAACACAACTCGTGCCCAAGAGAGGAGCTGTGTCTGTCGAGCCTCTGGTGGCAACACTAGCAGCCACCACAAGCTAACAAAGCGGCCAGTTGCGAGCGAGTTGGCCAACAAGCGGCGAACAGCTGTTTGGATAGCCGGTGGTCCTTTTCTAGGTCAATGAATTCATGTGTTTACTTGAAAAAGCAATACCGTCAGAATCTTTCTAAATACCGTGATGTGGGGTTTTGGCCGTACCGTGCAGCCCTAGCCAGGCGTGTTACCCAGGCGCATGCCTACACACTGGTTATCAATGAGGATTCAACAAAAACAATGGTCTTTGCTATAATAACAACTGTTACCTAAACTTTAGTAAAAGTAAACAACACAAGTAGGACAAACGTATCATGTACAATGAACAATGATACACTGACATTCTAATTCATATAGTTGCAATGTGCAAAAGGGCAGATAAAGTAGATCAGTGTTTAAAAACGGATGTATACATATTTCTTCATTTCAAAGGACCATTTATCTGTTTTTGTGTGCCATGCATAGATTGTCCTGAGGGACCTACAACCGGGAACGGAGAACCACAACATCGACACCGTGGTGACCATGAAAAGGTATCCACCCTTCCAGTGCACAGCCCGCGTCCACTTGACGTGACTGCCTGTTTATCGTGTGTGTGTGTTGCAGGGACGGTTCCGTTCACGTGTCCTGCGTAGAACAGAGCTGTGGAAGGCCAGAGGTCGTCACCATAGCAGCTGCATCCTGAATCCGCTAGAGTACAAATCGCACACACACCGTCACTGCAGATGTTTTGTTGTTTTTTTTTATCACCAAATAAATATAATTCAACTCAAACTACACGCTCAAGATTTTGTTTCAAACCTTTTTGATTTTATTGCAATCATGGAATAATGTTGAACTGTTCCGTAGCTATAGCTGAAGCAGTATATGCATATAATTACATAACATCACTTGACAATAAATATGCTCATGAGCCATCTGGTGTATTATTTATAAGCACTTGTCTAAATAAGCAATGGGATGCATGTAGTGCATCTTACTGCTTATCCCACTGGCAACTTTCGTTTGTGGTTGAAATTAACTGTATTTTGGTTTATATTTCCTCACTGTGCAGTTTGGAGCGGTTACTGTCACAGGGTTGTCTCCCCCATAACCTTTCCTCTAAACAAAGTTGGGCCACTTCATTTAAGGGGAAATTAGCAGGCATACAATTGTTTTCTCTACCTGATGTAACCTATTTAAACCTAAATGGTAATGGATATTAAGCATCACTTTGCCCTCCCACACCTGGGTTATAAATCTTCTCATCTATTTGTACATTATTTTGAACCAGCAACACTTGCATATCCTACTTAAGTGAGACATACCGTACACTCAAAGTAGAAACAAAGAACCCATTTCCCCAGGGTTTTCTTTTTTAATGTTTCATATGATATAATATTTAAATGTGGTGTTTAGGAGTATATCATTACATTACACTCATTCCATTCTCTCCACTCTTTACTGACGTTTGTCCACACTCCACACCATATCAGGCATTAAAAGAGAGGTTGGGGGCATAGTCTTTAGTTTCCAGTAGAACTCCAGTCATGATGGCAGTAAAGATTAGTGCAGATCAGTTAACTTCCGTACAGCTTCATCCGTGCAGTCTCAAGTGCATTTCGTTCCAAAGTCCTAACATTCCATCAAGACAGAGGAAGCCTCCGTCTTGTTCCGGCCTTTAGCATCCGTGCTCTGGGATGATGCGACACTTGAGGATCTTCAGGTAGTTCTGCACCTTGTTGGAGTCTCGGCGAAAGCAGTAGAGGAGGTCATAGTCTCTCATCGGGCGCCACTCACTGCTGTCGGAGGCCAGCAAAGCCTCAGGAGAAACCAGGCTGCTGACGGTGTTGCTTATTATCCCCAGCACCTGCATCTGGAGAGGAGAGGACACACAAGGGATTTCTAAGCAAATCCAGAAGATGAACAGCTACCAGCTCATTCGGAACAATACATTATAGATCCTGTCAGTATCAGGAGACATGTGATGCATCTATTTATAAGTCTAATCTCATTTGTTAAAAGAGGTTTTCCCTCCTCAAACACGGGATTCGTGGTGTACTTTATCCTCTGTTCCTCTAGTATTACAGTAAACCAAAATAACTGAAAAAAAACCCAAAGTAACTGCCAAAGTAAACTTTGGCAGTTACTTGCCAAAGTAATGATGATTAATGATTTAAGCAAAATCTTTGGTGGAATGAATAATGTCTCTGTCACGTTTTGCATTTGACTCTCAGGGCTTCCATATTTTAAATTATACAATCTGCCCTGAATGTGTATTTTGTGTGAACTACTGTATGTTGTGGAAATGATTCCTAAGATGGGTGACATTAACAATGAAGGAACAATATCAGGATGAAAACATTACTGCCCTATTATGGATACAATGTTTGCACAGCCTTTTCAAACATAAAAAAACCTAGAAAACACAGTAAAGGACAGTAATACAAAGAATGAGTGATGCGATATAGTCTCATCTATTATGAATATGTTCCAAAACATTACAAATGATTAATATTCAGGGACTCCAAAGGAATACCTCTGCATTTCTTGCTACATTGTGGCTGAATGGAACATTGGGTCACCTGAGGGTGAGCAGAGCACTTTAGATTTGCCATGTGACGTCAGGACTTTGTCATCTGTGTCACTGCGATTAACCAACCTGAGACTACAGCTCTTCATTACACAGCAGCGCAGATCCTCGATCATGCATATCGTCACATTTTTTGTTAGAAAATACTGGAATGAAGTACTCAAGATATGCAGCCATCACTAAAGATTAGAGACTAGAAGTGTGTGGCAGTAACTTTATCTGCAGCGGGCCTTCTGATTCTTCCATCTGACTGTTTCTGGGTGTCCGCTTTTGGGGACTTGTGTCTGCGCAAGCCTGCATCCAGTGCTTCTGGGGTCATCGAGCAGGTGACCGAGGTGCTACTTTTAACAGTACGCTTTTAAGTGTCTGCTTTGTAGCCCCTTTTAAGCAAATCCTCTAACTAATACCATAGACTAACCAGCCAAATAGACATAAGGCTGCAGTACCTTCTCAGCCACTTTCTCCACACCTTTGTGGAGCTCGTGCACCATGTTGCTCATCTCTAGGGCTTTATTGGAGCTGAAGTTGTTGAAGTCGTGGTGGTGCGCCATGCTCTGATGGAAATGCCACAGGGGATCCCTCCATGCCACCAACAGCTTCAGGATCACCTCAGTCAGCTCCTCCCTCTACAGTAACAATAGAGGACCCACCATTTAATGGTCAGTGCTAACTCCAGTCACTCTTGACGTCAAGGGATGTTACTAGCATTCATTACAGGTTTGGGGTGATGCAAATATGAAAGATAAAAAAGAGGACGGGGAGGGGAAAACAAACAGTTACTTTAATGTGGCCAGCGCATGCATCTGACAAGAAAGAGCTTTGTTAAAGGTTGATTCACCGCCATTCTCTGAGCGTTGTCCTTTCCATTTGGGGTGAGGATGCTGGAGGTGTGACAGTTTCGACTGACCCGACCGATGTGATTCTTACTGGGCATGAAGTACTGCTCCTGAAGGGATGAACATGAATGCAAGGTGGGAATGTCAGAGGTCGGATGTTGACTAAACGTCAAGTGAGGCTAAAGAAGTAGCGAAGGAAATAGTAGAGAATGACCTGCAGATATGATTCTGAATGGCTATTTGTACATGAATCTGTGTGTGTGTGTGTGTGTGTGTGTGTGTGTAAACTGATTTGCCAGTATATGATGAATTACTTTATTGATCCCATTACCTTTAAGGAGAGTAGCTGAAGTATAAATATATACATTTACTTCATCCAAAATGCTCACTTTACAAAATTAAACAAATGTATTGAATGTTGTTAGAAAAGCATTGTCAGACAAACTCGGGAGACTTACAAACTCGGTGTGAAGGTTGTTTGAAATGCCGTGCGTCCTGGCTGAGTGTTGGATGACCCGGTCAAACAAGTTTGCCAAGGAGAGAACGTGGCACCCACCCTGGGCATTGGCACAGATGGGCGCTGCACCTACCATGGTCACGCTGCTGCAGAAGAACAGACAGACCCACACCACCCAGACACAAGATACTGGGCGAAGAGCAGAGGGAAAACAAAGATAACAAATGAAACAAAATGGACCGAAGAATGGTCCATCAGGACTAAGACCTCCCGCCACACGGTTTGGCACAGTTTCTTCCCGTCGGCAGTCGGGCTCATCAGCAGAGCCCGGTCCCCCACTGACTGACTCTGACATTCCACCGGTCACTCTGCTTCATACTGCACATGTCACTTTAACTGTCATTTCTTACTCGTCAATTTGTCGTCACTGGTCACTTTGTCACTTGCTCGATAGTGCACTTTATGTTTAATATTTTTTAACTTTTTAAATACTTCAAATTTTTAACTTTAACTTCTCTTGTTTTATACTAACCCATAGCCTTATTCTACAAACCCATTGCATTAGCATTTTATTTTCTTACTTGTGCACTGCTGTCTTGTTGTCTATTGTCACACTGTCTACTGTCACGCATCAACCGCCAAGACAAATTCCTTGTATGTTTGACATATTTTGGCAATAAATGTTTCCTGATTCCTGATTCCTGATCCTGATGTGGAAAGTGTGCATGTGAGATCTTTCTTTGCAATATGTTTGAATCAGGATAAAAAATCAAGCCCAAGATGAAACAAGAGACGGAAGCAGAGCAGTAGGTTTGGGGAAAGGGACAAGTGAACAGGAAGAGAACAGGGGATGAAAAGCAGAGAGAGACAAAGACAGACGGATATTCCTTATTATTATTATTATTATTATTATTAAGTTCTATTCCTGAAATAGTTACCTGATCTGATGGTTCCATGCATCATGCTGGGCGTGGAAGAACTCCTGTCTCAGAGCAGATGGTACAGATCTTTTCTACCCCTGCAGCTTCATGTGAGGGTCCCTCACTGATCATTCCCCTTTTACACTTTCATATCAAACAGATAAAGAGAGTGAGAGAGAGAGAGAAAGAGAGAGAGAGAGAGAGTGTATCTGTGTGCGTATGAGAGTGATGAAAGCATCAACCTGGGACGTCATCCCAGCACTGGATGGTCTGTCGGACACATTTGACGTTGACTCTCTGGGTCCATTCAGCAGGCCTCTCCAGTACATTTCATTAATGTCCGCATGCCCTCCAGCTATACGGATATAAGGTCACTTAGAGCGCTGTGGGGCGCTAATGCGAAGAGTCAGAATCAGCTGATGAGCGTGCCTCATGGGAGCTCGCAATGACACTGGGCAGCATTAAGTGAATGTCACGTTGTTTAATAGCCTTATGAATGACGTCAAGTGGTTGTAGCCAGGATCAAATTCTCTCAGTTGTCAGAAGTTGTCTTTTTACACGTCGGTCAGCCAGTATGAGTCGGCTGAATGTAGTAAGAAACTAGAAAAGGTTATGTTTCCCTTAGTCAGTGTAATACTCCAGGTATCGAATGTTCTTTAAAAACATCTAAGGCCTGTTAATCTATTTCTGAAATAATTAATAGTAGTTTATTATCATCAATTATGATTGGCAGCGGTGGCAGCGCCTGTATTGATGCTAGTAGTCAACGTGGTAACCACTGACATAAACTGCAGACAACCCTCCACCAAACCTTCAGCTGTTTGATACTGTTTTAATGCTCTGAGCATCTCACAGAGGTGCTTCAACATAATAATTTTTTGCCTTTTTGCCTTTTTTTTGTCTACATCCAGTCTACATCCAGGACGTGGTCAGACCTTACGTCCCTGTCCGCTCACTCCGCTTTGAATCTGCCATTCAGCTTGTTGCTTCCTCACAGAGAGCTAAATACTCAATAAAATCCCAACTCAATTATATTTCTTCTAAATGTTTTCTGAAATACGACGTTCACATTTAAAATGAGGATTTTTGAATGGAAGCCCTCTATGAATTTAGCAAAACTCCAAAGATGCAAATAAATGCAGTGGTAACAAAATAAAGTAGAAAAATAAGTAGCTAAATGTACAGTGTATTTCATATGTGTTTTCTTACCCCGATTCTTGAAGAAGAGGAACGACATGGTACAAAAGCTCCCCAAAGGTGTGGAAAAAGTGGCTGAGAAGGTTCTGTACGTCTTGTCTGAACGGTGTGGCTGTAAGTCTACAACATTAGTTACAATGCAAGAACCTACATGCGTACTGTTGAAGTGGGTCCTCGGTCTCCTGCTCAGTGACACCAGAAGCACCCACCTAGACAACAACCAATCCAAGAGCAAAATAGCCCAAATATGTTTCAGTATCTCAGCTTAAATTAACTGTGTAATGTTTAACACAATATATGGACATTTAAGTTGATAATAATGACACTAAATACAAGCCTACTGTACATACAATCTTGTTATAGTAAATACATGTTTATTACACATTTGTTCGATAATGCAAAACTGAGCAGGTTCGTTAAAGGTGACCGTGACTTAGGCGCACGTGCACGTTTCACTCAGTGGATGGTTGGATCCTGCGATGGCTGGAGGTCCACGTGACTCTGCTGAACGTACGTACACACACACGCACACAGGAGCACAGTATTGTCGGGCAGATGGTCTTGCGTCATGTTCAGACTGACCTGCAGGGTAACAGGGTGAATGTAACAGCCGGACCAGCCCACAGGCCAGCACCATCACAGGCTTTGGCCTTTCTCTCCATTTTGACGGAACAAGAACCTTTCTGTGACGACTGACCAGTAAATGAACCGCAGATACTGTCCTCCTCAAACTTCTCCAAAACTACATATCAAACTGATGAGTGAATTTTCTGTCATGAAAAAGGAATTTGACTTGTCTTTTTTTAAAGCAAATGTGTTTTTTGTAACAATATAGGAATTATTCAATTATGCATCAATAAAACAATCAAATCTAATATATTCTTAAAACAGAAAAAAACAAGTCAAATTAGGACCATCGAACATTTTAGAATTAAATTAAAAATCAAGCAATAGTATGTATGTATTGCATTACTCCCAACACTGGTAATGTACAGAGACCATACACTGTTTCAATCACACTTTTGACAGTATTATCTGGTTGATGGCAGTGAGAGATTATGCACTTTCCACAGAAATGTTTTTTCGGGCCATTATTATGGACCATTATCTGAACTTTTAAATGTATACTACCAGAATGTACTCTTTTAGGCAGTATTTTCAATTGTGCTCCACTTCACTCCTTGGTATAAGCAGCAGTCAACCCTAATATACTGTATATTTAGGTTTTTCTCTAATCGACTTTGACCAATGAAGTTAAATTTCGCTTATAGAGCCCATCCCAAATGTCCCCTTAGTTTTACCAGTCAGCAAGTCTTTACTGCATATTATGAAACTGCCTTTGATAGGCAATGTTTCACAGTGGGTCCAAGTGGCTGTAACTTCAGAAACCCACTCTTGATCTGCAGGCGTTATAGTGCTAACTATAGAGCAACCACATACCTTCCCCTCACAGATCCTTGAGAACAGTCACAAATCAGTTGTGTGAATTTCTACATAAAGGGTTTTTATTGAGGATCGACAGCCCTGGTGAAAATTACCTAATTGCATTAAACAGGACTTCTGGACCCCGGAGCTGCTTTCAACACAAATGATAATTACGTTAAAGAAACCAAAGCGTAGTCCTATTTATCAGTGTGATACAAGTTTGGAAAATAAACTGCCACAAACTTTAGTATAAGATGGTGCTTGTATCAATCTCATGCAGAGCATAAATGCTCACTACACTGCCTCACAAGCTACTCAAGCCATGATAATCTGGCTTTTGTCGTTAAGTTTTCCATTAAGCCCACAGTTTGCCATGCATTCACAGTGACCTGTCGTGATTCATTTTCCTAATGTCGGGCAAACAACCAGCACTGCCGTGGCGAACAACCTATCGAGCATCCCTGCTTTAGGCAACATCAGAGAACACCAGGAGAATTTATTTATATTTGTCAAGACATTGTTGCCTGATCCATCTAGAGATCAGCCAGAAAGAAGTTTTGTTCACCTGGGCATAGGGTTACATGCTAAAGCATATGAAAGTAAAGACTGGAAGGCAATTTAATAAAAATATAGAATTTTACACTTATTAGAAATACTCGCTAAAAGAAACGGTCATCTCGTGTATCAAGGCATTGCTTATTTTACCAGCTCAGGCACAAACTCCTACAGGTCACGTATAATCATTCTGAAAGAGTTAGATTCAGTCTTGAAAATTGCTATGAGCAAAGCACTGTTGTATCAAGTGCTGTTGTCAACATGTCATTTGTTGACAACAAGCTACGATTACAAAAACAGCCTTGAATGAAACGCCATTAAAGACAATTACACAAGCTTAATATGAGACATTACATCTTTAATGAGTCATTACAATCTGAAGTCCAATGGACATCAGGCTTTTAGAAGCTTAAAACAACCTAATAAAATTGTAATTGAAGGTGCGACATAATTCAATCCTGTTGGAGAACACAAGAGAAGATTAGGTTGTAGTAAAGTATAAACATTACAAAATAAAAAGGAAGTTACCCTTAGAAAAATTCAAGAAGTCTCATCAGTAATGGTAAGTGGACCAAGGACTGCTTTTTGTGCCACTCCATGAGTCCCTGTTTGAAAACACCGGTCAAGTTCACATCAAAACTAGAAAAGTTAAAGCAGCAGAGTCAAATACCTGATTCTATACTCCTGGTCTTCCTGGACTTGCAGTCGGAGTCACAGCAGTCACAGAGAGTGCTGTATGCATAGTTGTCCAGCAGCTCCCAGCTGAGTTCATAATTGAGAAGAGGCAGACAATTATTTACCATCATGGAAGTCAGACTACTCACGAATGGTTAAGACATTGTTACCCGTGCTCTTTGACATAGTGGCAGGCCTTCTTGGTGAGGTCAAGACCGTTGGGGTCCCAAGCCACAAGTTTACAGTGGATGAACACCTGTTATGTAGAGGACGGAAGTTGTGAGGCAGAGTTGGCTTCCAGTTGTGACAATAAAGCACTGAAACTAAAACCTGCCCAATTTAGTTACCTCTTGACCAAGACCAAACCTAAAGGCCTGGAGGGATAGTTGGAGCTCTGAGGACTTCTGCCTTGGTTCAAATTTGGAGCCAGATATCCTGCTGTCCACAAGACATCTGGAAATAAAGTGAAGTTTCACATTTCAAGTTCTGGGCGACATGCAAAGAATGATCGGGTGAAACACGATTACCCCTTATTGGCGATTATCGGGTACACAGGGCTTTCAGGCTGCAGCTCCGGTGTGGTCGCCGCTACGCATTCCTCGAGAAGCAAAAGCAAGGGCTGATGGGTTTTCTGTGACACGCTGGCCATGATCGGGATAAAGGAGCCCAGAGCGAAGGTAGTGGACTCAGCTGGGCCTGAGAAGTCATCTACAGCAGTAAAGAGTCATCATGTTACACATCACCTTAAGAGACACCATATACAGGAAGGTCTTACTTTAAACCCACCATTCATGAGGGCAATGTGAAACACTAGATGTCCCACACCGTGTGTACTGAACATAGGGTCATAAATCATGGGGTACCAGTCTTTAGGCCTGCAACAAAAAAGAAAACCAATAAAGCAACTGCTGCCATTTGACCAAACAGTCAATGTTGTAGAATAAACACCCACCTTGCAAATGCACAGACAACAGGATGAGTGAAGGACAGCGATTGAGAGCCAGAAGAAGAACCGTAGGTCAAGTCATTGCTGTACATCAAGTGATGACCAGTTACCTTAGAGAGAGACGAATATCAATGAACGGCGAGAAACAGATTTGTGGTTTGAAGGGTTATATTAAAGAAGGTTGAACGCACAAGTCTCCTGAAGTTACAGTCATTGAAATCCACCCTAAAAACTGCCTGGGTGGCAGAGAAGCTGGTGGGGAAGCAGCTTCCCAGACGGAAGAGCGAGAGATCAGCCTGGGATCGGCCCTCCGTCCACACCACCGTCACAAAGTCGGGCCTGCAGTCCAGCGTCATGTCTGGAAAGGGGGAAAACACAAGGAACTCAAACTCGTTCTTTCTAAGGAATCAAACCGTCATGCACCATTTTGTTACATCCATACCTGCATAGATTAACATGGCAGCAGCCACGCTCACCACTGCCCGTTGCCAAAAGAAAGCCATCATGACTGGATACATGCTCCTGGGACTGTGAGGGTTTTTATTCCTTGTCACCGGGGAATTGATCAAGAAAACCTCTTTCACCTGGTGTGCGTCAACAGTCTCAGGTGCAAAGGCCATCGGACCGATTGCAGCTCATTACACAGATGTGTTTCACTTAGATGAAGCTTGATCCGCTGCACGTGAGCAGGTTTTGTGGAAAGATTTTCTCTTTATGCATAAAATGATCTTAAAATGTTTCATAGTGCAAAGTAACCAAACAACCTAAAACAACAAGAATCTCTCAGCCTGGTCAACCGTCTGTACTTTTTTTTTTCCCGGAAGGATGTACAGATCTGTTATTTATAAAAAAATTTACAAAAAAAGATTTAACAAAAACAATCAGATAAAACAATCAGATAAAAATACATAAAATATTTTTTTCAGCTTGTTTTTTCCGAGGGGTCTGCGGTACTTTCAAGAGAAATCACCATGAATGATTCGTCAAATAAATATTAAATGTTATATCATACTACCATTTTCCCTACCTGAGCCAGCTCCCTGGTTTGTGCACGTAGCCGATGGTGGTAGACAGCTAAGCGCAGCAATCTCTTTTTGCAGTTCTTCAAGTCTTACATACATAGGCTCCTGGCTGTCATCTATTTCTAAAAGTTATTTGCGCGAATGTAAATACCTATTAAAATATATATAAAACAAATATGTATCACACCACCTAGTACAATCTTTAATGGTTTTAATTTATACCTGTATGTATAGAGTTACGAACATTTAATGAATAGCCTCTTTTACTACAACATGTACATTTGTCAATGAAATAAGTTCTTACCATGTATCTGGTCCATTGCTCCCCCACCGTAGTACATCAGGCTCTCAATGGAAATGTCTTAAATAGATAGATAGATTGATGCTTTATTGATCCCTAAGAGGGAAATTTTGGTATCACAGCAGCATGTACAGGGAAGAAAATAGAATTAAAAGATACACATTATATACAATATAATAAGATAAAAAATTTTAAATTATTGAATTAAATTAAATTAAATAAACTAAACAAAAGAAAATAAAAATAAATGTGAGGATGCACTGGTCTGCCAAGGAGTTGAGAAGTGAACCATGGCGGTATCTATAGGAAAACCATACCCCCTCAGGGGGTTCAGCCGTTGGTTAAAACTTAACATCAGTTTACTGTTCGACCACCTAAGGAATTCTGTTTTTCCCCCAGGGGCTTGGGAGGCCACCTATGTGGCCTGGTCAAACTACATTGGCTCATCATCATCATCATCATCATCATCATCATCATCATCATCAGGACATTTGGAGCTCATTGTTTGTCTGCTAAATGAGTGACAGATGTGTCACCTTAAGACCCCTATTTTTCCTAGGGTTGGTATCTCGGGGTACCGGCACCGTCAGGGAAGGGAAATACTTAGGTAGGTATCCCTGTGCTAAGTCGCAAGATGTTTCCCTCGTTGGGCCAGGCATGCCCACAAAATGGCGGCGGTTACGCCCACTTCCTGTACACACTTACGTGTGTGCACGAAGGCAAAGGTCACATGTCTGCTGATTCAACCTCAGCAGAGGTTATTCTTCCTGAGGCAGCTGAAGAAATTCAACCTGCCAAAGATGATGATGATCCACTTCTACACGGCCATCATGGAGTCCATCCTCTGCTCCTCCATCACCGTCTGGTACGCTGCAGCCACAGCCAAGGACAAGGGCAGGCTGCAGCGTGTCATCCGCTCTGCAGGGAGGGTGATCGGCTGCAATCTGCCGTCCCTGCAGGTCTTGTTTGCTTCCAGGTCTCTGAAGCGAGCTAAAAATATCGTGGCCGCCCCCACTCACCCCCGGACTACCGAACAGTTTCTTCCCGTCGGCAGTCGGGCTCATCAACAGAGACCAGTCCCCCACTGACTGACTCTGACATTCCACCGGTCACTCTGCTTCATACTGCACATGTCACTTTAACTGTAATTCATCACTTTGTTGTCACTCGTCACTTTGTCACTTGTTCAATAGTGCACTTTATGTTTAATATTTTTTAACCCTAACCCTAACCCTTTTTAAATACTTTAAATTTTTAATTTTAACTTTATTCTCTTGTTTTATACTAACTCATAGCCTTATTCTACTAACCCATTGCTTTAGCATTTCATTTTATTTTATTACTTGTGCACTGCTGTCTTGTTGTCTATTGTTACACTGTCTACTGTCACGCACCAACCGCCAAGACAAATTCCTTGTATGTTTGACATATTTTGGCAATAAATGTTTCCTGATTCCTGATTCCTGATGCACGAGCAAAAGTAGGTTACTATTACTACTGATGAATTCATAAATATACAGACTAAACAGGCCTATTTGGGACAACTGCCAAAGGGGACAATCTACACATCTTTATCTGCACTTCATTCAGTTCAGATACGCATTTTTAAATAATATTGGTTTTTGGAGAACAGATACCCAGGCCCACTATGAATACATCTTAATGTAATGGACTTTAGGCGAGAATATATCATTGCAATAGTATTTGCATTATTATTCAATACTCAAAGATACCATGATACTATCTTGGGGTTATTATTACACTCTTTTAAACAATAATAATAACCACATTAATAATAAGAACAACCATAATCTCAAGTATCAAATATGTTGTCATTATTGTGCATAATACTACTCACTAGAAGTAGTATTATAATCAATATGGTAATAGTCATATTTGTACATAAATGACTTGTTTCAATTAAAAAATAAATATTGGCCTGATCTGTTGACGTGTACTCTGTGACGTGTGGCTAGAATCTGGGTGTCGACGTGCGCACTGTGTGCTTGTTTTCCATCCCAGTGTGCCCCGGAGTTAAAGTGCTGGTGAAACAAGTCTACAACACGATCAGCACAACAGCAACTCGACATACTGCGTGGACACCTAACCACGTTCATAAAACGAGCGCTTCCCTCCTGTCACATCCATGCCGGTTGGCTGACGTCACTAGAAACAAAGATGGCGGCACCCACTGCAGCAACAGCAAAGTCTATGATGAAGAAACTGACAGGCAGCTTGTTAGAGTCCGTCTATACATCCAGCAAAGGTAGCGAATGTTTGCCAGCAGATTCGGGGACAGGACGGGACTATCTGGTGGACTTCCTGGAGAAGGAGGTAGGCAGCGACCTGAAGTCCCTGAAGAATGTTGGTGACCTGCTGGAAAAACTGCGCGAGGAAAACAGCGGACTGGAGAAACAGGTGAGCTAACAGCGGTGTATTTACCAATAGACATACATGTATTTACCACTCTAACAGAGTGAGGAGTAAGAAAAAGTTACAGTGAATCTGAACGACAGCTTGACACATTATGCCTATTTAAGTTGTTGTTTCACTCACAGACACGTGTTCTTCTGGTGTATAAATAGTCCTATGAAGTTGTCTAGGTTTTTATGGGGGTCTTGTGAAATTTGTATCCAACATTATTTTCAGCTAACACAGGACATTATCCAATCCAAAATAGTAGACCTGTATTCCTCCACATGCAGCAGCACCTACAGTTGTCTGTTAAGAGGATCCAAGATACATAGATACACATTCTAAGATGGGCTGTATTCATGAAGCTTGATCGGCTCAGACACTTTCAGCATCCTCAATTCTGTGCTAGTGGCTCTTTCAGGAGCGAGAGCGTGTCTCTGGATGCAATGATGATGGGAAGGCAAACTGCGGAATCTTGTGCTACAAAGAGAATACTTTAAGAAGCACCGTTTCTACATCTTGCAACTTCACTTTGCACCTCCTGCGTCTTGTGTAAGCCTCAAGTCTTCTCCTTTGTCCTTTGTCCCCTTCAGGTTGTAACCGTATCCAGTTGTGTGCCTCCGAAAGTTTCTGCAGCTCTGTCTGCTGCCGAGGAGGCAGCATGTTCCCTCAAGGACCTGCTGCAGAAAGAGCAACTTATCTCCAACAAGCTGCACCAGGTTAAGCTAACTAGATTTACCAGCTTCTATTAGTCTGCTACAAATCCTTTCATTTGCTCTTATTATTACATTACAGGTCATTTAGCTCACGCTTTTATCCAAAGCGACTTACATTGCATTTTTAACCCATGGCTCTTGGCAGTTAGGGGTTAGGTGTCTTGCTCAGGGACACTTTGATATGGGGCAGCCGGGGCTCAAACTGCCAAACTTGTGGTTCCCAGCACACCCTCTCTACCCCTGCACCACATCAAACCCCTCTTATAACTACTAAATTACTATAAAAAGTGGCATTCAAGTTCCTGTAGCTGTATATTTAACAGACCGTGTTTTATGTTGTCATGTTAACAGCTATACAGCTGTACAAGCTTGAATGTTCATTACCCTGTCAACAGTAGTTCAACAAAACACTATCGCACTACCCATCCCAAGGCCTGTTCATTCGCGCTTCATAATGCGGAATAAAATTAAATTTCATTTAAATCAGGTAACATCTGATCAATATGAGGGAGACAAGGAAGACAGAAAATGTATTAACTGCAAAAATAAATGAAACTTGTAAAACAATAGAATGCTTGGAGTCAACCATTATTGATTGGAAAGGAGATGTTCTTCTAATATTATTATTATTATTATATAAGTAACTTACCCTTTTGAAGTGACCTTGGTTTCTGTTTTCCAGTGCAGGTAAAATTAAAATTATTAAACATGAAATGTACATTATATTGCTATATCATAACCAAACATTGTTTCATGTTTCTTCTCTTTTGTTTTCTTCACTATTCCGTCTTGTAGCACCTGCAGGGGACCCAGCCCTGGATGGACAACCTCGGCCAAACACTCAACCAAGTGGACACTATAGAGAGGAATGTGAAATACCTACGGTGCCTTCAACATATAGAGGAGCTCAGGTACAGTTAATGCAGATTGATATGGATAAATGGACATACCATACCATACAATGGACAGAGAAGGAGGGGAACCTAGATAAAGCACCGGCTGAAATATTGTGGAGTAGAGGTCCAAGGTAGTCAAATGTACAATGACTCTAAAAGTTGATAGTGTGTTGTGATGGAAATGTGCTAACCGTGCTTGCAGTGCTGCCGTCCAGCAGTGTCTGATGACCAGCAGTGTGTGGGAGGCTATAAGGGCAGTGGACAACATGGCCGCACTAGACGCCGGGCTGAACCAGTCAGGATGTTCTCACCTCCAGGACTACCTCAGAGAGACGCTTCACTTCTGGCACAAGATCATCAAAGACCGACTGGCCAGGTAGGAAACACAATGATGTGGTTGTGTTGTCATCCTGTGCTCAGTGTCTTATTGCCAAATGGTCTTCAATTCTTTTCCAGCGATTTTGAGAAAGTGTTGATTCAACTTCACTGGCCAATCATCTCCCCCCCGACTCAGTCACTGACGCCGACGGCCAACGGTCAGGAAATCAACAGCCAGCTTGAGCTGCTGGTGGCGCAGCTGCTCGCCCTGCAGACCTCGTATCCTTCCCATTGATCATTCTTCACATCTTTGTTTTCCATAATCTGAGCTAATTGGAAGCATGTAGCTGTTGAACAGAAGGGGCCCCAGTATTGAACCTTGGGGAACAACACATGTCATTTTCTTCAGCTCTGATTTGTCTGTCTGATTTGTATTCTCGGTCTTTCAAGTGGGATTCAAACCAGTTAAGTGCTGTGCCAGAGAGTGTGCCACTCAGTTTGTCTCTCCAGTAGGATGTTTTGGTCGACTCGGTCAAATGGCGCACTGAGATCCAGTAATACTAAGACTTCAAATTCAGAAAGACAATTTCAGATGTTGTATGATGACGAGGCGACTTGATTGCGTGCCCAGGTGGATTGGAGCTCGGTAGTCGGTGGTTTTCGCAACTTTCTGACACTCTCATTATTCTTTTCTTTATTCTGGCAAGCGGAGTATTTTCCAAGGAGATCTTTGCTTAACTGAGACAACTTGGGTGGGTGCAATGTCATCAATAATATTTTCTACTTTGGAATTGAAGCTGTCTACAAGCTCATTGACAGAAATTGCTCATTACATGATGGTGTGGAGGATATTTCTGTATGAATAGTTTACTGGTACGTTCTGTGATTTTTGGTCTGAACGTTTGTGTGCAAGAAGATTGCACTCTCAAAGAAAACGCAGAAATGATCAGAGTGAAACATCAGTCATAACAACCTTGGAAATCTTGACAGTGTTGTTTCCTTCAACTCCCCCTGGCAGTGATGACCTCATTTCCCAGAGGCCTCTGGCTTCATGTCATGTTGCCCCCTCTACTCAGCCTGCTTCTTTAGCCACAGCCCCATCCCAAGTCCCCCCCCTGTGTCTGCCCATCCAGATTATGCTGCTGCCACTCAGTAGGAGGTTTAGATACCACTTCTACGGGAATCGACAGACCAACTCCCTCAGCAAGGTCTGTCCCAAACAGGCTGCATGTTACACACACACACACACACACGTACACACGCTCTTGCAAAGACTTTGTAAATGTCAAAACAATGTCAGACAACTCCAATTGATTCACACCAGTAAAACTAAATAGTGTAGTCCAATGGACCATTTTGTGTGTTGCATGCATCGACAATGCAGACTAACCAGGGACATAAACAGAAAACGTATTCACTATTGAAAGGTTTGAAAGCGAGACATAGGAACTGTTTGGTTTTATGTTTTTATGAATGCTGATATCTCACTTATTACTGTATAACTTGTTTTTTTCCTTAGGTACTGACATGTGTGTCACTTGTACTTCTATAAGGAAAGGCAACTGTATCAGAGAAAATACATCTTTGGCAAAGCTTTACAACTTCTTGAACTCCTCATCTGTTTGCAATTTTCAGCCAGAGTGGTACCTCACTCAAGTTCTCATGTGGATGGGGAACAGCTCCGCCTTCATGGAGGAAAAGATTCAACCTATCCTGGACCGAGCTGAGGCCCCTATCAGTGCCATGGTATGCTGTAACAGCCACAAACTTACTGATCTCCTCTCTACTGAAGCCCCCCATTTTCCAAATGGGTATCAAACCCGTTTCTACTTGTTTTTAAATGTAATGTAAATCATTTCAATTTAAAAAAAAAAAGGTAAAAGAAATTACTTTAAAAAAGTTTATTGTTTTACTGGCAAAAGTTGTATCCCCACCTGTTTCTCAGAATTTATTAATAATTAATGTAGCGAAATTATCCTGGTGAAAGCTTTTTTCACCAAAAAAACAGACTTCATCTCATAAACGCAGGACAGATGAAAAAGTATTAGAAGATACTATACATCTGGGTAGGTGTATTTCTCCCTCTGGCCCAGTAAGTGATCTATGTTTTGATGCGTGCAGGTAGAGCTGTGTCGAGGCCTGCTGTGTCTGGTCCAGGAGAAGGTGGCCAGTGACGCCTCCAGGCTGCTGTACGATGATGTCCTCTTTTGTCACCTGGTGGAGGAGGTGCTGCAGTTTGAGAAGGAGCTGCGGAGCAACCAGTCGTATCCCCAGGCGCTTCCCGGCCTGCTCCACCTCCTGCTCGAAGACGCAACCCTTCAGAAGTGGCTCACTGTGGAAAAGAAGAGTAAGTGTGAGAGTCTGGACAGTGTTATGTCACTCAGCGTATGTCATGAGCCAATTGTTATAGAATCTTGAGTGAAATCTCCACCTCACCGAGCGTCTGCCTCAATTGACATATTTATATATTACCAAGAATTACCTCACTGAAGCTCACGTATGGGTGACTTATTCAAGTTTAGTTTGGCCCTCCCCATCGAAGTCCTTTAATATTCAACATCCGTCCAATCAAAATACTGAGGCTCCTGATTCTGTTTGGCTTAATGTATTGGTTTGCTAAAAATGGAACTGAATATGAATCCACTGGAGAAAATCACTTCCAGGTACAATGTCATAACAGAGTGGAGGTTATTCCCTCATAACAGGTCTTTTGAGGACAAAATCTCCTTCAGTCTGCTGGGCTTCTGTTGACCTGTACGTTGAAATTCAAATAGAATGGGTGGGAGGAAGCCGGAGAACCCGGAGAGAACCCACGCAGACACGGGGAGAACATGCAGACTCCACACAGAAAGGCCACTGGGCGGAATCGAACCCAGGACCTTCTTGCTGTGAGGCAACAGTGCTAACCACCACGCCACCGTTGCTTAATAAATTACAGGTCGAAATAAACGAAGATCAGCATGTCAACCCAGGCATAGTCACATGATTCGACATGTGGTGCTTAAACGAAGTGACCCTGTACCCATTTGTGTTCTCAGTGGCAGTGGAGAAGATGGACGCCATGCTGTCAGCCGAGGGAGCCTGGAGCTCTCAGTATAAAGATATCAGCGACATGGACGAGCTGAAGACTCCAGACTGTGCTGAGACCTTCATGACTCTTCTACAGGTCATCACCGGTAAGACGCTCATCTCAGCTAATGTAAGGCACCTGTAGTGACTGGTTTTCGTAAGCCGGGGTAAACTCGGCGGGGTGCGGGAGAAGATCCTGTTCCTTACTCGCTAACACAGATTCCAGGTCTTTCATCTCTTTAAGTGAAGTTCCCATTTATTCGTTTTTTTACACTTTATAATACACTGTATTTGCATTTGCTTCCGGATCTCCCTCTGTGTGTCTTGAAAAACATGCAATCTCCCCGTCACCCTAATACATCACAGTACGTCTCTCCCAGTCACACTAATACACACTGCCACCCGTGGCCAAGCTGACATTGGTTCCCAATACCATGTTGTACAAGGGAACATATTATGAAAATTCCATTTTGATCGTGCATCTACGCGTCAATGTAGCTGTGGAATTCCTACTAACCCCAAAACGCTGGAGAAAAAACTACCTGTGTGATTTGTATGATTCCTGTGATGAATTAACACTAATAAATACAACCTGTTTGGACCCTCAAAATGCGCCGGCTGCACAGTGTTGCACGTTTCTCTACATGGCGTCCCAGGCTTAGAAGGCAGAAGAACCAAATGGATTAATTTCATATATGAAGACCTTGTCCCGGCAAGATTTTGGGAAAAAGCTCATTCAGCTCAAATCATTTTGAAAACTGATTGTTTTCTCAACCTGGGCCAATATAACGCTGGGCGCTTTGAACAGCAGATGTTTTAGCTGGTCTGGGAGGAGAGAACACATTACAACTAGATAGATTTTCATCAAAACACTCAAACTAAATCCATTGACTAATGTCTCTAATTCTTGAAGACTTAGGGTAATATTGGATTGCATTAGGTGATAAAGGCCATTAATAACATAAAATTATTATTGCACTATACTAAAGGTGTTTCCACAGTTTGTCACTTTATAACCTAATGAAGGCTAAAAAAAGCCCTCACAATTAATAAATAAATAAACAACATCACCATGTAAAGCATTGTTGTACTTTGGTTAATATTATAACTATATTTCATGCATAAGTGCCCTGTAGTCTTTTTAACAACAATAATAATAATGTAAATGATCCACTGTTTTTGATACATTTATTATATTTAGATGCCGAGTTTACTGTTAGTTTGTAAGCTAAAATACCTCGAACAAAAAAACCTCAACGATGGTCTGACCAGCATGGAGAATACATTTCATAACCTTTTTTATGTCCATGCTCCAGCTGGTGGTACTCTGCTTCCTTTTCACCAAACATTGACCTGTGCAAAATCCGCTCATAAAACTGTCTGAGGGAGAGTCATTTTTCTTTGTCTCCCTGCTGTATTCTGCAGAGCGGTACCGGGCCTTGCCCTGTCCTTCTGCACAACTCAAGTTCCTAGGGCTGCAGAGAGAACTGCTGGATGACTTCCGTATACGACTCACCCAGGTAACAATGACAGGAACCCCGAGGGTAGTGAAAGAAAACCAGTCATATAACGAAGCACCAGGAAGTTGAACGTTTCTATCCTGTTCCTAGCATAGATGTGATGGGGATATTATTGTTAGCGAGTACATTTGAAATATATTGTGTAGTTTGGATATTTTGAAGCGGGCTGTCAGAGGTGGTTGATATTTATTTTGTGTTTTAGGTGATGAAGGAGGAGTCCCGCTTCCCGCTGGGTGCCCGTTACTGTGCCATCCTCAACGCTGTTAACTACATTTCCACCATCCTGGGCGACTGGGGAGACAATGTGGTGAGTGGCGCTGAGTGGCTCCCTCAGGCTTTGAAGATGGACATACATGTATGTGGTTACTTTAGTTTTTTTTTCATTTAATAAAATACGCTTCTCCAATGTTAGAGTTTATCCAGTTTATCCCCACTTCTTCCTAATACACATGTTTTTTCTATTTTAAACCCTTTCTTATTAACAATGTCATGCTTGTGAGAGTTTCAAGCATTTCAAATAGTAAGGCTGTGGAATGCAGGCATATGACTGGATACAACCCACTTGGAAAACACAGCACTACAGTTTGGTTGTTACACGTCGCCCTCATACGGTTCAATGGGAGGCTTCAGCACTTGACAGTTTGGAAACTAGCAGCCATGTCAGGACTACCGCTGTCCTCTGTGCGCTGGAGCGTCACAACAATTCAATTCAACTCATTTTATTTTGTATAGCCCAAAATTCAAAATTTGCCTCAGAGGGCTTTACAGTCTGTAGACATGTGATATCCTCTGTCCCGAAACCCTCACAACGGCACAGGAAAAACTCTGCAAAAAGTGAAAAACCCTTCCAGGGGGAAAAAAGGGAAGAAACCTTAGGGAGAATGTCAGAGGAGGATCCCTCTCCTGGGATGGACAGACTGCAATGGATGTCATTTGTACAGAATAATATTGCGAGCAGCTAGCAAGAAGTGAAATAAGAGAAGCGAGCTGCGCCACACGCCGTGCAGCCGTGTTCACCTGCTCATTTGTTCCGTCTTCAGTTCTTTCTGCAGCTGCAGCAGGCAGCGGTTTCCCTTGGTGAAGAGGTGGTGATGGGAGGCCTGGGGGTGATGGAGGTGGGTCGCTTGGCCTCTCTGGAGGGCTCGCTGTTTGAAGGCTTGTTGGCGTTGCTGGATCGGCTGAAAGGAGACATGATGGGAAGGCTTCTGGAGTGGACCATGAGAGAAATCACGGAAAAAGCCAAACCGTACAGCCAAGACAGGTGAGTTTTGATAAATGATGATCATTGGACTGCTTTGTTTAAGGAGGAGCATCAGGCCTAACCAATACAGCCCACTTCTGTCTTTTGGTTGCGCACCACTGTCTACCTACCTACAAGCAGCCACACCACATCCCCTTTGACCACAGAGAGGCAATGCATTACCATGGTTACACAAAATGTCACTCTTGAATTAATCAGTTACATCTCTGAGTCCCATATTGATCTAGTTTGAATGAAGAAGCAATTGTACTGGGCTGTGGTCGCATTTTACCATGCTGGACTACTGAGGGCATCATCCGTCCTTGAGATTCCTCCTAAACGACAAACTTGTAGCCTTCGTCATTGGACACTTAAGTTTGTTGTCAATGGCTGTTTAAACCTTTCATGACGAACTTCTTTTCTCACATCTTATTTACCATTGCTGCTGGAAGGGCAGTCCAATTAATCAAGACGGTATGCTGTCACGTTCGTCATGTTAGCAGCACGGTTGTTTGTATAAAAACTGTACAGTAGTGGAGTCAGACTGGGTCTGTCCGGACAGTTATTGTGTACGTATCTTCACAGTCCAGGAGCTGCCTGTGAAAAGATAAAAAGGCCAGTTGAAGATGGAGCTGCCAAGTTTTAACACCAGTAGGGTTGAGCATTTGTTTCACCAGTTTTTGTATCAGTTACCTTGGCTAAAGATGGCTTAACCAATGGTACACCAGCAACACGTGTGCATGAGATGTTCTTGGAAATGTTGAAAGGCCCCAAATATGTTGATGGCATTCAAACTGACTATTTCACCTTCTTTTAGGTGGCTGTCCCTACCGGCCCAGCAGGACCAGTCCACCATGACTCTGTCCAGTTCAGCATGTCCCATGATGCTGTGTGTGAGGGACAGATTGTTGAACCTCCATCAGGTCCTGAGTTTTTCTCTGTTCCAACTGGCCTGGCAGGGTCTGGCAGAGAGACTGGACCACGTCCTGTACCAGGATGTAAGACACGAATACACAGCCAAACCGCATGGGACTTTTTGTAGACATCACACAGTCCGCCTTGGCTGACATGAACAGGGACTAGAAGGTGTAAAAGGGGGTTTAGGGTGAATCAACCCCCAAAAAGGCCCTGCTTCGGGGTTTGTACATTCTGAAAGTACACTTTACATCTCTCAAGGAGGTTTCTAGTTTCTGGGGATGACTCTTGCTGATTGGTCCAACGCACTGCTAGTTCTATTCTATTCATAGAATCATGGAATATTCTACAATCCATCTATGAAGAGGGGAAAAGATTTCTCTTAAATTGAGCATATAAAGTAAAGTCATGCTTGGCAGACTAATATTTATGAGATAAAATGTGGTTTTCCTTGCCATGCAGTTACATGAAACAGGCTGACCGTGTTCTTGTGTTTCTCCGTCAGGTGATCCTCTCTAATCATTTCAGTGAAGGTGGAGCAGCTCAGCTTCAGTTTGACATGACCAGAAATCTGTTTCCTCTGTTTGGTCACTACTGCAAAAGACCTGAGAACTTCTTTAAGCAGTAAGTGTGTGTGTTTGTGCGTTTCATTGCCTCATCATAAGGCTGTTGTTCAGGTGTGTTCCTCTCTCTCCATTGAAGAACAAAAGCTGCCCTCTGCTTCTTTGACCTTTGTGCCTCACTTAAAAAACAAATTAGTCTGATGTCCGTAGAGGACACAAATAAATGCCATTTACATTTTCTATATTCATTTTATTGTCCAATCATCACTCCAATGTTTCCACAGTGCCCTTTGCCAAAGGGGGGCCTTTATATGAGCTTTGTCTCCTCTCTCCACAGTGTGAAGGAGGCGTGCATCATCTTGTGTCTTAACGTGGGCTCTGCTATTCTGCTGAGGAATCTCCTCAAAGAGTCAGAGGAGCAGGGGACGGGCTTGGCCAGTGCAGAGGACCCCCCACCAGAGTGTGCTCTCAACGAGTTGGGGGTGTACTGCTTGGCTTCCTGTGACGTGTCCATTCTCCTCAACCTCAGAGCCTCGTGGCCCGGACAGTAGCACGCCCCCTGCTGTGTTTATCAAATGTAATTTACTTTGATCATCTTGTGTAAATACGATACGATAAGTGTTCATTAAGTAAGAAATTGTATGGACTTATGAGTGTGTTCACTATATTCCGGGGACCCACTAACCTGTCACCTCAGTTGACTGAATTATGCCACAACAATTAGTAATGACCATTGTCCTGTCAAAGTAGATTATGTCTCACTCTAAGAGTTGAACTGTTGTTATGGCTCTGTGGCTTATCACAGAGAAAGAATGAAGCCAGTGCTGAAGTGTCTTAATGCATCCTCTCCACTGGCCACCAGGGGGCGACTCCTCTCATATAAAATACATCACTATATTTATTATTTCAGTAAACATCAGTTTGAGATTGAAACAATACAACCAGTACTTAGAAAGCATATTCTACTCACATTAGCTTTTCAATCTAAGGGAAGAGGTGGATCTGATATCTGGTGTGGAAGCCGTTACTGCTTTCCTATCATTTCAGTAAAAATGAGTCAAGGGTTATATCTTCAACTCGCACCCAATAAACAAGCTCTACATTCACTCATTGTACCTCGAGCCCAGCAATCCATCAGTCCGAGCTCGAATTCAATGAAAAGTGCAATGAGAATTATGTCCCAGTTTAGGCCACTGATCATCTTGGAAACTGCAAGGATCACTGGACTTGGATGTGGGCTCAGGGAGCCAGATCCCTGGTGACTCCAACACACATATTGAAATATATACAGTATATATCTGTATCTGTATCTAACTTGCTGTGTCCAGCTGTTCCGGGTGACCTTTCCTCACCTTACTACCCAATGGGTCCACTGACTTTAACTCTTAAGTGGCATCCACTCGTCCTCATTAGAGATTTCCTGCGAGGGCTCGAGTGCTGCTGTGCCCTCTAGTTTTATAACAAACACAAGTAATTTGACCTTTAGGGCTGAGTCGGTACGTATATACCTTCTATCACTTTTTGCTGTACACTATAGATTCTTCTTGCAACCATTGTTGTGAAGAAAGTTTTATTTTGTTCCACCTCAAGTGGAGTCCCTTCTATCCTTCTCATTTCTAACTGATGGCCACACTGTTTAAACACGTTGTGTAGTCGAGAACAAACACGTACACAGTTAACACACTGGGTGTTTTTATTGAAGTAGACATAATAAATATCAGAACACAGAAGTCAGTCTCAGACCATTTGTCCGGTGGGGAATCATGCCAAGAGCAGGATGTCACGGTCTGTTTGAGCTGATCCAGTCGGGGTCAACAACAACCCGCGTTCAGGGTGCTAAGCAAAGTGTGTACGGATCTCAGATTGTCCACCACAATCTGTTCCACCAGAAATCGTTCCTGGTGAAACAAATCCAGGACGAGAAAGAGGAGTCTGGTTAGTCCTCTCAGTGAGGCATTGTGGGTACAGCAGCAGCAGAGCAGAAGGAACATGATAGGAACACAGGGTGGGGGAACAGTGGTTACTGATCAATAGACATGCAGGCTTCATCAACCTTAAAATGTCAGTGCTGCAGTCATGGATTCACATAAGAACCAACACATGAAATTGAAACATTCAAAACAAACCATGACACCGGAGAGCAAAAGTAGTACAAGGAAGACAAGTTTGTTATCCCCTGTACGTCCCTTCTAAGTCCCCTACAATTGAGTGGGGGACACGGCTCGTACTAAATGTACTAATGACAGTATTTACACAGATTCTCAGACATCTATCCGTCATGCAGCAATAAATGTTTTATTGCCCTAAGAAAAATGTTTTAAAGAGTCTACCAAGGGAAAGGATGAAGTTCATGTGTTTTGAATGGAATACTTTCAATGCGATTAATAAAGCATCGGCTCCTGTTCTGCCCTTTTTGTCCAACAGGTCTTTTTGCATTTAAGCAGTGGAGGAATTAAGTTTGAACAGCTGGCTCACATAATCCAATAACTATTGTACATGTCCTTTAAGGAAATAAAAAAATAATATTCTTCACTTAATAATTGCAAACAAATTCTATGAAAGGTTCAGTAGTTCTATTTATATTTTTTTCTTTATTATTCAGACGGTAAAAAACGGACTCCTGTTTAAAAACATTGGAGCGTCTGTTAATTCTGTTGTGCTTTCATTTGTTTGAGGACTCATCCTGCACTCAAGGGCGCTGATGACAAACAATCACAGTAAATCGGAACTTTCTCCAACTTCTGCTTTACTGGGACACCAAGTAGGACTCGAGCGGTGCATTTTAACACTTGATCACGATCCATTAGTGGAGCAAACTGAAAGTTAACTCCAGACCCTCTACGGCTGGCACTTTTATTTCAGAGACGACTCCATTCACTCGGACAGCAACAGTTGTTCTTCAGTACACGCACACGGTCATCATCCTTGTTCCAGTGCAGTGATCCCTCAGCCTCCTCCTTTTGTTCACACCCATAAGAATGCTCACTAACGCTAATGCTAACTAGTGTGCAGGGAGGGCGGCGCTGTGACGCCGCATGCAGGTGAGGAAAGTGAATCCATCACAGTTTATCAGGTCACACCTTCGGGCGGGCTGGCACACAGGAAAGGTTTGCTTCTGCTACTTCTAAAAGAAACCCACCAATGGTTCTGCCCCGTAGCCTACGTCTGTCTGCCATCTGCCAAGTAGTACTTACACTTTTTGGGATTCATTTTGCTTTCCTCTAAGCAGCTACTGTTTAGGTTCATCACAGTGCAATATCAAATTGACCTTCCAGAAAAAAGCAAAAAAAACAACAGAAAAACCCCCCCCAGTAATATTTGATGTTTGCCTATGAGCCAATGACCTTAACCAATAGATCCATGTCATAGAGCTCCACTGTCTGTGCACATATTCATTCACAAGCACTTCCCATAAATACTCAATTAAGCACCAGATATGTATTTATCCTCCGTTTAAAACTGTCCCAAACTACTGTTCCAGTAAAGTTTGTTAAAATGTAAAAAGGTAAAAGCTTTTTCTTTTTGGAATTATTAAGCTTAAAATAAAGCAAATGTTTTGTTCCGAGGGAAGTAGAGGACTTGGAGCTGAGAGCTCCAGGGCCTCAGAAAGTATGCACAGACTAACTCGTAGCTATTTGGGTCTATTCATGGAATGTGTCAATTCTAAGAGTAACAAAAAACAAAACAAAAAAAAAAGCACCCCGTGGCTCCCTTGAAGGTAAATAAACTGGAACAAATGTTATATTCTGAAAAATGATATGCAACAATGCAATGTGATTGGGATCTGTAGTTCCTGAAATAAAACATGGACAGGAAGCAGTGGGTGTAATTGAATTAAAAGAGTCCACCAGGTGGGGTAATAATACTGCATCCAAAGCCTCTCATATGAAGCTGTGGGACTTTTAGTCTCACTTCCTTCTTCCTCATGTGTCTCATCCAGAGCCAGTTGGCTAAAAGTAGGAGGGTGGCAGTGGGGAGGGGGGGACTTTTCTCCGGAGGACTAAAGGTCGATGCCTTTGACCAGCGAGGCTTCCAGTGTCACAGGGAAGTCATGGAGCGTCTCCAGGACTCCGATGAGGGCGTTGACGCTGGCGCGGTCTCTGAGCAGGGCCGTGTCCTCGTACATCCGGGGGATCACCGGGCACTCCACCAGCAGGGGGAGCCACTGGGGCAGCAGGCGGTCTCTGCACAAGAAACAGGGAGATACGGTTGAGGCAATCCAGTGACAGCAGAAGGCCCGTGTAGTGCACATGCTATCTGAGAACAGGACTTGGTGTATTCTCTGCCACGCCGCCCTGTGACTGAGCCCGGACAGTTTGCTGGTTCTTCTTCAGCAACTTCATCTGTCCACCATTCATAACAGGGATCTTTGGACTTCATACCAGCAACATTAGGACCGGTTTGATGTCTAGATCGGTGGATAAACAGTCAAACTCAACACTTCCTGTTTACGTTTCAAAATAAAAGACCTGCGGCGTCTTTCTAGGGGCAGAATCCAGTCATAAAATGCTCCATTCATTATTTCTGTAAGGGGGCTTATTGTGGATCGTAATTATTCACACATTTTCAACCTTACTTACTTAGACATGTATAATGAAATCAAACATTTTGGCAATTATTAAAAGAACAGAGATGCACGCTGACCCTGTGAACCGGGGGTTTGATTCTATAGTCTTCTCGTTCTGCCGCTGTTTGTGTTCTGTGGTTGGATCCTAAACCCTTATATGATTCATACTATTCATCTACAAGTCGAATATCTGTCCACAGAACAGAAAGATTTTAACTTGACTTGTTAGTGTGTAAACCGTATAATGTTCCCACTACCTGGCTCCGAGGCAGACCAGCAGCTGGAACTTGCCGTCCTTGCCGATGTTCCTTGAGGTGGAATTGATTGCGTTGACATAGCGACAGAGTGACTGACAGGTCATCCCTAGAGGCTCTACGGTCTCCTGGAGGTCGCCCATTTGGTCAGCTGACTCCATGTAGGCAACAGCCTTCTCTGCAGAGGGCAAGGGGATTTTATCACTACATAAAATACTTAGTGCTTTCCCTTTTAATGCCCGTTTTCAGACCTAAAATACAAGCATTTACACAATGGTGGTACAAACACATTTTTTTTTAGACATTTGTTCCCCATAAATCCCCTAAAAAAGGTGCCAAATTAAACATGCCATGCTATTGTCAGCAGATGGCGCCGTCCCTCCACACTCACCTACAAAGTCCCACACAAACACGGTCTTCTGGAAGAGACGCGCTGCCTTGAAGCCGAAGTGGAAGAACTGTTCCAGAGCTGCTACCAAGCTGTTCTCTCCACACAGCAGCACGGTAAGGCTGCCTCTCTGCATCCAGAGGCACAACACAAATCAGCTCTACCTCATGCAGGGAGTCTTAAACATCTTTCTTTTTTCAATTATAACAGGAAAAACCGGCATGTGAACTGAGTGGAAACATAAGCATCAGAGGAAAAAGCGGTTTACGGTGGCGGAGGCGTCAGTACATCAGCAGGCTAACCAACCTCTTTCTCGGGTTTGTGGAAGTGTTTGATGATGTTGATCACAGCCTCCCCGATGGCCTCTTGGATTTGGGCTGAAGTTGGTTCTGGAATCACGAGAATGTCTTTGTTAATAGGAAGCCCCCCTCTTAGTCATCCTTGCTTTTGCGGTTTTTCATGCTAAAGGACACATTTCCAAGAAAAGTGTGAATGAATGAAAACATTCAAAGTGGTGATTTTGCGTGATTCTTTGTGGACACAAGACAGATCTGTCAATGAAATGAATCAAAGAGCTTCATTGGTCAAGGAGGCAGAAGATCTCTGGCAATCTCCTCAACAACCATTATGAGCTTAACCTCACTGCTTCACGACAGTGTCCCCGCTTAGTGGAGGAGGCCACCATTAATGTTTATGTGCATTAATCGTCGTCTGTGAGTAGATGCACTCATCCTTTCTTCCAGTGATACGGTGTTGCAGTTGGTAGAAACCTCTGTGAGACTGCTCACCACAACATCTGTGGGTTATCAACATCTGGGTCATGCATTTTAGAAAGAGATTTGTATTGTTACGAGTGTCCATGAGTTCCTAGAGGAACCACACATCTCTATGGCTGACACCAACAGCATCTGTTAAACTGCAGTACAGGCGAGAGGGAATGAATGCAGTTTGGATTTGGACTCATCGTTTGCGTGGGGCTATTGGGGGCTGATTTAACAGCAGACATCCGAGACAGATACTCACTGCTTCCTCGTCCAGACAGCGACGTGATGCTGATGCGTCTGGCCTGGGATGGCGAGCGCTGCAGCGGCGGCGTACTGCAGCCTCTCCCAGAATCCTCCTCTCCGCTGGGCACTGCCAGCTCGCCAATCAGGACCCTCTCCAGGCTGCCATCGTCCACGCCCTTACCGAGCCACCGACCACACGGAAACCTGGAGGGGAGGGACAGACTTTGTCTCTTTGTGCTTTTGAAGTACTTCAAAACCACAATACTTTCTTTCATATTCACTTTTTCATATTCATGTGGTCTGTATGCATTTCAGAAAAATACAAAAACAAAAGTATTTAAAGGTGTCTGGAATCCATGCTGGGCATATCTTCCTGCTTTATATTAAGTGGAATACTACTGAGGAATTTATATTCATGATAATTTGCTGATTACATTATCTTGCATCACGTGCTAAAATCAACCTCCCTCGCTGGAGGGAGAGTTTGATCAGTATCTACAAATCACGAATGTACCTTCATCAGATAACGGTTGAGACGGTGGTGGCACAACACACAGCACTGCGCTCACCTGTACGTGTGTCCTGTGATCTCGTTGCGCACCATGACGCAGTCCACCAGCCATTTAGCCAGCAGGCCGGCGTTGTCGTGCCCCAGCTGCACCATGGTCAGCTTCCCCAGGTTCTGACACTAGACACAGACGACGCAATGAGTGAAATGCTGCAACGTCAGCCCCTTTATATGTGGACTCATGTGAGTCCTGCCGCTGTTCTACTAGCAGTATGACAATATGACACATACTGAAGTCAAGGGAAAGCTTCCCCTTTGTGTTCCCTGTGGACTAAAGCGCATTTCAACAGACTTTTCTTTCTTTTTTATCCCATTCCCCGGAGTACTTCATGAACTCTGGAAATGGGAATTGGCTGAATAAAATCCATAATCCTTTTTAAACATGCTATCCCACAATGCACTGGGCAGAAGTTTCCACACTTAGTAACTCATAACAGTTAGCCTCATGAAACATTTGTCTTTCATCCAATCAGCTTAACAGTTCTGAGCCATGCTTATACTTATAATGCCGACATGAAATATAAAACTTTGATTAGATTTAGACTGAGAGATTCACTTTGGTTTTGTACACTGAGAACACGTTCTAGCAGGAGAACAGACCAGCTATAAATATCCAAATTTAACGTGAGAGCAAAGGCTACAGACAACATGGCAGATGGGGGGGAATGTGAGTGGGATGAAAGGTGGAGCAGGCTTCTTCTGACCTTGAACAAGGCAGAGATGTGCGTATGAGGCCTGAAAGCAGACTGAGGGAGACCAAAACACTTATTAAAACACAGCGGATGGACAATCAAAATGGTCATGCTGCCATTTCACAACCAACACCAAGAACATCAACCAACATGCAGTCAGAACAAAGACATCAGCCGTGGCAACGTGTGCCCCAAAACACATGCAGGGGAGGAGGAAGTGGATTGTAGGAGCTGGGCTCATTTGAACACTAGACTCCAATTAATGTCCTCACCACAACAACGGCCCAGAAGTCCACTATTATTTAATATATTAAATAGTTAAATTGACATATATATTTATATATATATATATATATATATATATAAATATATATATATATTTATATATATATATATATATATATAAATATATATAATTTTATGTATATTCATAATATAGGTGTTTATGCGTATACATGTATGAATATGCATATACTATATACCTATATATGTCCGTCTTGTACTATACTTTAATACATACATAAAAATACAAGAATAATATACATACATATATAATATATATTTATATACACAATTTAAGAACACGCAAACCCCAAATAGCCAGATTATTTGCGTTCAGCGTGGGCTCAGCTTGTGAGAGGTCAAAGGTCACATCACTCACGTCGAAGGTCATCTCCAGGACGTTCTTGGGGATCTGCATGACGCCCGAGTCTCTGAGCTCTCCTGACACACACACCCAGGGGTTGGAGGTGGTCATGGCGTTGCTCAGCTTCTTGATGGGGATGATGATGACTCGATACGGGATCACTGCGTGGGCAGACATACCACATCAGCACCAGATCGGAGAAATAAGCCCTAACAAACTAATCCGACTCAGTGTATCTAACTAGGTCAATTGAAGCATGAAATGGTAGATTCAGGGCGACCACACTGCAGCGGAAAGGAAACGTGGCTGCAGACATGCACTCTGCATGGCCCGAGCTGGCCTTTATCTGACTGGGATCAGTTGGTCTGTAGCAGAACTCTACATACATCCACATGGCTTAGTCAATGCAGTAATAATACTACTGACTCATTGATAGACATTTATCCAACGAGCAGCTGGCGATAATCAGATAAGTCAGTGAGGATATTTTAAAAAGTCACCTTGTTGGTGCAAAAGTCTATTGACTGTGCTCCCCCCCCTCTCGTTAGCTTCCTACCCCAATGCTCCACACTGACTTAACATGGCGTTCCAACCAGCAGGAGTGGTGTGGTGCTGATGTTGAGTCAGAGCTACATTTTATTACAGGTCATGCAAGGCAGGACTCACTGATGGTGGTGAAGACGCTGGTGAAGCAGAAGTAGTCGACGGTGTTGAGCGACAGCAGGTGGAAGAGAAACTGCTCCTTCTCCTCGTCACTGCGTAGGAAGGCGTAGCGCTTGTACAACTTCCTGTAGACACAGCACCGCCGCGTCAGGTTCACTTTAGAATATCAGCACATTTCTAATAAGAATGTGTCTTCTATGAAAAGCATGTAATGCCTTTGTTTGGGGGATGCTATTTTAAGGCCTCAAGTTTAGCATTTTGGCCGACGGGGTTTTGGAGCCAGAAGGGGACTTATTTGGAAGAGTGTGTGGAGCTTGATGGAACGGTAAATGGAGTGCACTTTTACTTTGGACAGTCATAGCGCTTTAACGCTACATGATATCATTCACCCATTCACACCCATCATACACTGATGACAGGATCCAGCATCCAAGAGCAGCTTGGGGTTAAGTGTCTTGTCCAAGGACACATCAACACCGACAGAGCAGGTGGGGAATCGGAGTGCCCATCTGATGATGGACGACCTCTTCACCGCTATACAAGGAAGCTCGGCTCCAAGGCCTAACCTGCTTTGTGCTCTGTTCAGACACAATTTACTAAATGAACATTAAACTCTGTGAAGAAGACTTGAAACTAGAGATTGAGACCATAAACTCAAGTAATTTTCACACAGAGTTCTATACAACCAGAGGAGTCACATTAGCTGGTTTGGTAAAAACACCTTTCATCCAATGGTAGCACCATTCTCCAATCAGGAGAAGAAACTAATTTAATAATAAAAATACAAAGTCCTAAAGCTGATTAGATGTGCTCATACCGTAGATTTAAATCTAATAATGCTTTGATTGGTTTACAATAATTCATCTTTTGGGACCTGTAATAAAATTAGAAGGGCTGGCTCGCAAATCAATCTCCCTCATCTCAAAAGCACAGTGTGTATGTGTCTGTGTGCGAGTTGATCACATGTGTCCTCACCTGGTTACGGCGTGTCGGGACAGCAGCTGTTTTAGGTGTTGAGAGAGCAGCTTCTTCTCCAGGGACAGGCGGATCCAGGCCCTCGCTCGTCCCACGTCTGTCTTAATCTCGGACATGCTCTGGATATGCCTGAGGAGACAGAAGAAAGGTGGATGAAGGCTCGGAAGAACGGGCACAACGCCTTGAAGGTCCACGCTCATCCCCAACCACAAAAACATTTATGTGTATGTAGGATCAAGAAATGTTATAGTGAGGATATTTTGGTGCGAGCAAGACGATGGTAAAGCATTCAAACATCTTGTTTAGTAAGATTACAATCAAGAAAACAAGAAAAAGTACGTGAAAAAAGAAACAACTTATGGAAGTTGACAATTTCTGTAATTTACTAAATGTGCAAAAATGCAGCGTTATAGCGAGACAAGCTCTTTCTGTTCTGAGGGGTCAGAAAGTGGTTTATCTCTTTGATTACCTCTTTCTGCAATGGTCATCAAATGGACCATTGAACTAGACTACTGTCTGTGGCTAACCAGCAGTGTGCTACTGCAGTTCTTTCAGCAGGCCGTGTCCTCCTGCCATCAGTACAGGACAGTAGGACGTACCTCATATCCTGTGTGAGGGACACGCGTAGAGACGGCATTGCTAGGCAACAGTCGGACTTCCTCCTCTCAGGAACATTTGACACTGACGAAACAAATGCATGAGAAAATATTACAATCGGAGATGTGATTTTGTAACACCGGTGTGTGTGTGTGTGTGTGTGTGTGTGTGTGTGTTTGAGAGTTACCCGGTGACTCTGCCTGCTGCTGCAGCTTCTCTTCTCGGGTTTGGTAGTGAAGCAGGTGGGACCACAGGGCCGACTTCCCCTGAGAAGTCAGGGAACCACAATGAAGACACACGTAAAGACAGCAAAGGTGTTCACTGATGAAGAGGAACATTGTACACGCACAATAACTTTACAAACCATTATGATCATACAAGCCTGATTAACCACAGTGGATTTACACTGGCAACATGAGGGGCTGCCAGTGTAAAGTGACATCACATTTTCTATCATCAGTTTGGAAGTGGGGATGGATGAGATACTTTCCCCTAGTCTGTGTATTACTTTAGTAGGTGGAGTTTGAGATGGCTGCCTGAAAACTCAAAAAGGTGATACTATTGTTGAAAATGTGTTTTATGGCCTCTTGCCATAATTTGACAGAGATGGACAGGAATGGAAGGATTTGACACGTGTGCCTGCTCTACTAAGTATTCTAAATATAGCTTACCTCACGGAACCACACTTGCAAGCGTGAAATCTATCCCTTAAAGTGTGTGTGTGTGTGCGTGCTGACCTGTTTGACCTGCAGCCCGTGGCTCCAGATCCTCTCCAGAAGGTCACACAGGCTGGCGATCAGAGTATTCTCCTCCAGTCCGTTGATGTTGGCCTCGCCATGGCCCAGCTCCACCGCCTCCCGGCCCATCTTCTCCACCAGCATCCGCTTGGTCTGAACACACGCACACAGTTAGAGCAATTGATGGGAATATTACAAATCTATATGGATTTAAGAGTTTAACAAATCATCATCTGGAATTATTATTATTATTATTATTGAATAATGCCGGTGTATTCTTATAACATAGCACCGTGGTTCAAACGTATAGTGTTCCCAAAATGAAAAGAATGTGTAGTCTGGTTTTTAGCACCACACTTCCATTGGTTCCAATCAAAAACATATCAACATATTTTTGGTGTTTTAGAATCTCTTATTGATATACGAGACATCGTGGATCATTCTTGACAATGAGTGATTGTGTGTATGAGTCACTGAGGTAAGCAGTGAATCACAGGTGGACATGTTTTGTCGGATGTTTCACCTTCGTACGACATTCCTTGAGAAGCCCCTCCACAAACTTCCAGTTGGTCTGCGCGATGACGGCGGGAGACAGATCAGACAGTTTGGGCTGCCGGAGGTTTTTCCCCAGGCTGCGGGCCTCCTGCATGTATTTCTGGAGATCAAACGGAGCTTGTTAGTGAGATCTGAGGAACAGACCAGAGTACTACAGAAATGGAGAGAGGTTTTCATTGCATGCATACACACACACACACACACACACACACACACACACACACACACACACACACACACACACACACACGCACAAGTCGAGAGGAAAGGTTCTGACACACATGATGAGTGAAAGCGGGCGTCCCCACAGAAGGACTTCGAAGGTTCGGGGGTGTGGTGAATTGACTTCTGAAGCCACAACTGCAGTACCACATATTTTCCACTTTTTACCGCAAACGGGTTCCTCAAAATAAGAACTTTCCAACTACTCTTTTTTTGGTTTATTGTTTTTGTTTACAGCTCAGATAGTTTTATTGTATGGTGCAATCATGAGTATTGAAATGATTTTTTTTTGTAGGAACTGGATTAAACCTGACCTGGTAATTCAATTTAGAACTTTTAAGGTTAATAATTTATACACTGATGTAAAAGTTATTATCATAAAATCAAACCACTTTTCACTCTCTCATTATGTGTGGCACGATTTCTTCATTGTACTTCCTTACAGTAATTATCTCTCTATAGCTGTAGTTCTTATTGCTCGGGGCGGAGTCCAGGATTTAGACTGCCGACCTCAGGATGTAATCCTCAACGATTTGATCTCGTTGACTGTGAGTACACTACATCACAGCTGGATTATGCTGCTCCACTAACCACTGGCGCTGCAGTGAGAGTGTGAGGTTGGTATGGGGTGGAGTGTCCTGACAGGAAGTCCACGACACAGATAGCTCCTCCACATACCAGGCAGGACGCAGAGGCAGATTTTTTAGGCGGTTTGACAGGTGGAGGGGATGCTTTGTCCCACTCCCAAAAGGCCATGGAGTTCTGCAGGACCAGACAGCCCTCCACCTGCTGAGGAGGAGGAAGAAGGGTACGACCCGACCCCACGGACCGACAGGCACAGGACACACCAACAGACAGGGGAGGACAGGAACAAAAGAGCAGAAAGGACAAAACAGACGGCAGCATGCACATGAAGACTTTCAAAAAGGATGGGAAAGAAAGCCCAAACAGAAGCCAACAGAAAAGATGTAGAACAAAACCCAACAGAAATATGAGGCCATGAGACAAAGAGAAAATAAGGACGTGCTTGTACTCTACATAGCGTTAGAGGACGGCGCCGGTTCTGTACCTCTTTCAGGTCGTTGTCGAGGCCCAGATGCTCCGTTTGCTGTCTGTGGCGGTCCTTCCTTCGCTGAGCTGTCGCCGTTCTGTGGGACCACCTGCAGTTCAAACATTGGGTCATTAGACGCCACCCCAAAAACTCCCAAAGCCCTTGGAAATACAAGCTATTGACACATTGCCAGAGAGATAGGATAAGACCGACAGATAAGATGCAAGATGCATAAATAAAGTCAGGACGCGGTTAGCCTAGCTTAGCATAAATAGTGCAGGCGGGGGGGAAACAAAGTACGATTTTTCACACAATTCCCAAAGCATAACATAGGTGAGTGACTGGAGTCAAATGTTGGCCTTAGTCGCTGACTTCACCTGCTGCTCCCGTGTGCGAGTTTGAATCCCGAGGGGCGGACTCACTTGTTACTGGTCGGCCCTGTGTTGAGCACGTCGGCCTGCAGCTTGGGGAAGAATCCCTGCTCGTACTTTCCTTGACCGATCTTCATGTCCAGCAGGTGCGGGTGGATGGCAGTGTGGTCGATCTTCATCAGCCGCTGCTCGATGGCCTGAGCTGGAGGAGGAGACACGCAGACATCCGTTCATTCAGATCGTGGTCAGTAAGTAAGTCTGCTGAATGTGGACCTGTGGAGGAGCCTATACTCCTGTCATTGAGGAGTTGGAGACTTGGAAGCTGGAGAAAACACGTGTGTCATACTTGTTAATTTCATCCAGATTAAGTGGCGGTTCTACCGGGATCCGTGACGTTGGTTTGATAAATTAGTGAATACAATTTTAAATGTTTTCCTCCTATCGGTCCCCGCCATAAATCTTGCTGATCCAGTTGATAGCTCCACCCAATTTAGTCAATCAAATCAAATGTTTACTGTGCATAGACAGCGGGCATCAGAGCGGAGATGATGAGACTTTCTGACCTCCCCTGTGTTTGTGTTGATCTACAGCTACACACAGTCTTCCATTTAAGCCAAGATGTAATAAAAAAAAGCTCTGTTGAACTGTTTTTATATTATTCAGATTAATCTATTTTTTTGTTGTGCTGTGGCTTTAACTTTGAATGTAGGCAATTCCTTTTATGTATGTTAAACACAGATATTTGTATTCCATGGAATATGAACAAGAACATTAGAATGCGTTTACTGGTAATTTGTTATCACGGAAAGTTTACTCAGGGAATTTACATTTACACTAACTTGGCTCACATTTCTTTTTTAAATCCGTATACATGGTGATATAATATTTTACCCATCAAACTGATTACTGAGATCAGAGACGAGGCATCAACACCAAACCTTTAAAATTGTAAAAAGGATTGACCACCTTATTGTAGAACTATAAAACAAAATATGAAAACAGACAGAGCACACATTTCCAAATCTTTGTGGGTAACCAATAGAGAATAAGATCTGAAAAACATGAGCTATGACCCCCCCCCCCACGACACAGACTCCCCTCTGCTGCTTTATCTGCTCCCATCACCGTCTGGGCTCTGGGCCTCGCCTGCATGCTCAGCATTGAATGGGTTTTGTGGCTGGGACACTAGACAGGAGCTGCAGCATCGTCTCAGTCCTGCAGTGAGTAGCGAGTGAGTCGTCCACCGGGGGGGGGGCGGCTGCCTATTGTCTGAGTAATTGGCTACCTGCACGCACCATCACCACCAAAGGAGCTTGCCATTTGCGATTAAAACTCAGCATTACGTAGTCCATTACCAAGGAAAGGTCAGGTTTCGAGCGTCGCTGAGCTTTAAGCATGCATGGATGCAGGGAATGATCATTCTGATTGATTGGGATGATTATCTGAAAAAGTAAAACGCTTCAAAACAGAACCAAACTTAAAGCTGATACAATCACTGTTCTCCAGTCATATATAGCTACAGACATACGTGTCTTTCAATCCTCCCATCAGTCTAATATGTATAACACATCGTGTAGGAGCTTATATGGAGGTTTCGTATTGATTTAATCGTAGTGTTCCTTAGGCTGATGGAACACTCTGAGTCAGGCCTGAGTTGCACCTCCTATCTCACTCTGCTCATTCAGCACCAATCAAAGCTTACTGAAAGGAAAACCCCCACAGCGAGGAAAAGACAGACCTAAGCAAACAGTTTTGGTGTTTTGTGTGATTGCTCTTCTGTGTGTGTTGAAGAGAGAGAGAGAGAGATTGATTGAGTGTTTACTGTGTTGTTGAGAAATGACATGCGTGTTTGCGTGTTTTTAAATTGCACGGCACAGCGCCATCCTGTCCAACTAGGCTAACGGTCAACCGGCATGCTTTGAAGGGCAGACAGACATGTGCAGCGCACTGATGAATGAGCTCTACACCTGCTGCCGCTTCAAAGCTCTACAGCCTCATGGATCCCTCCCAACGCCTTTGTTGCGACTCATTCATTTCCTGTTTATCTCTCTCTGCTGCGCCTACCAGACTCCTTGAGGATGGAGCACCTCTGGTAGCTGGAGGAGCGGAGGCTGGGCGCGCGGACGTTGTAGAGGCGGGCCTTGTCAATGCGGCCGTCGAAAACGCGGAGCAGCGGCTCTTTCTCCTCCCACTGGGACATGATCTTGTTGTCCACGAAGGTGGCAAACATCTGCGTCTCGATGAAGTGGGAGAGGAAGGGGAGGTAGGGCTCCGGCTGGTCGGACAGGAACGAGGCCTGGAGCACAAACATAAATACATTCGGGCTAAATTAAAGACAAGAACAAATGTGAACATTGTGATCATCTGTTTGAACTTTTCAAAATATACAGCATGGAAAATGGGGAATAAAATGTTTCGATAATGTCCATAGGAACCCACAAAATAGTGGATCAATCCTAAAACAGCAGCATGGCATTTTGGTTTGGATCGAGATATCTTCGATCCAAGTAGTTAGAAGGCAGTTTACTTTGCCTGGACAGCAAGAATCAGTCAAGATTCTGACTATCAAAGAGAAAATTGATGGTCTCCTGCCTTCAACCAGTGCCGACCTGTCCTCCGATGTAGGAACCTTGGATGCAGCAGTGGGCCCTGATGCCTGTTTGAATGCCTTCTCTTCCATCAACCTTGATCAACTGACTTCTTTATTTTCAAAGTCTAAATCTTCTACTTGTCTCTTGGATCCGATTCCGACCAAGCTGCTTAAGGAAGTTTTTCCTTTAGTTAGCACATCCTTATTAGATATTATGAATCTGTCTTTGTTGACAGGACATGTACCACAGTCCTTCAAGGTAGCTGTAATTAAACCTCTTCTTAAGAAACCTGCTCTTGCTCCAAAGGTGTTGGCTAACTACAGACCTATCTCTAATCTTCCTCTCTAAGATCCTTGAGAAATCCGTCGCAAATCAATTATGTGACTTTCTACAAAACAATGCTTTGTTCGAGGATTTCCAGTCAGGATTTCGAGTGTATCACAGTACAGAAACAGCACTGGTGAAAATTACGAATGATCTTCTACTTGCATCGGACCAAGGACTCATCTCTTTTCTTGTCTTGCTGGACCTCAGTGCCGCATTTGATACCATAGACCGTTGTATCCTGTTGCAGAGACTAGCACATTTAATTGGTATCAAAGGAACTGCACTCAGCTGGTTCAAATCTTACTTATCGGACCGATCCCAGTTTGTGCTTGTAAACGGTGAATCCTCAAAGACCACCAATGTTGGTCACGGAGTCCCACAAGGTTCCGTACTTGGACCGATTTTATTTACCCTCTATATGCTTCCTTTGGGCGATCTTATCAGGAAACACCGCATAAACTTCCATTGTTATGCAGACGATACTCAACTGTGTCTGTCGATCAAGCCAGAAGAGACGGACCAGTTAGTTAGACTTCAAGAATGTCTTGGAGACATCAAAACTTGGATGACCAGCAACTTCCTGATGCTAAACTCAGAAAAAACGGAAGTTATCCTGATAGGCCCAGAGCGCCTTCGAAGCCAGCTGTCACGTGATACAGTTTTTATGGATGGAATTGCTCTGGTACCCAGCAGCACCGTCAGGAATTTGGGAGTTCTCTTCGACCAGGATATGACCTTCAACTCGCATATAAAGAAGACTTCAAGGACTGCCTATTTTGATCTACGTAACATATCAAAAATCAGAAACTTCCTGTCTCAAAGTGATGCAGAAAAATTAGTTAATGCATTTGTCACTTCCAGACTGGACTACTGTAATTCTTTGTTATCAGGCTGCTCTTGTAAATCTCTTAAGCCTCTCCAGTTGATTCAGAATGCTGCAGCACGTGTATTAACAATAACTAAGAAAAGGGATCATATCACTCCTGTATTAACTTCTCTGCACTGGCTCCCTGTTAAATCAAGAATAGATTTTAAGGTACTTCTCCTCACCTACAAGGCACTTGCTGGTGAGGCACCGTCGTATCTTCAAGAGCTTGTAACACCATATTGCCCTACAAGGCAGCTGCGCTCCATTGATGCTGGGTTACTTGTTGTTCCTATGGTTTTAAAAAGTATGCTGGGGGCCAGAGCCTTCAGTTATCAAGCTCCTCTTTTGTGGAACCAGGTTCCACTTTCAGTCCGGGGGCAGATTCGGTCAGCTGTTTTAAAGTAAAACTTAAAACGTTCCTCTTTGATTTTCCCTATAGTTAGGGCTGGCTCAGGTTAGCCCGGACCAGCCCTTAGTTAAGCTGCTATAGGCTTAGAATGCCGGGGGACTTCTTAGGACACACCGAGCTCCTCTCTCACGCTCTCGTTCTACCATAATTCAAGTTTTATTAATGCACATGACTAATTTAGCTTCTTTTCGGGAGTTCTTTTTGTGCTTTCTCCCCTATCAGGTCTCCGTAGATCGTGGTTCCTTCTGGACCCTGGTCCTGACACCTACCGTGGCCCTGCTGACGCCTGCTGCTGCCATCATCATCATCATTATTTTAGATATTAATCATATTACTGTACTCATAAACCAACATTACCCTCTCCTAAAGCCTCTGTGCTCTCCCTCCCCACAGGCTTCTGTGGATGGGTGGTTCTATCTGATGGTGGTTGCCCCTGCAGTGGTCCTGCTGTGCGCCTGGCTTACTACTCACAATTACTTGAATCATTTCTGTCATAGGAATTGAATGTATTATATATTGTTCATTCTGTACACATGGCATCCATTGTAGTCTGTCCATCCCGGGAGTGGGATCCCTACTCTGACGTTCTCCCTAAGGTTTCTTCCCTTTTTTCCCTCTTGTAAGGGTTTTTTCATTTTTTGGGGAGTTTTTCCTGTGCCGATGGTGGGTTTCGGGGCAGAGGATGTCGTATGTGTACAGACTGTAAAGCCCTCTGAGGCAAATTTGTAATTTGCGATTATGGGCTATACAAAATAAAATGAATTGAATTGAAAGATGCTGTGTGGTTTGCTTAGTTAACAGGAAGTAGCAGTTTACATTTCTTCGAGTATGGATGAAGTCTAAGATACACAAGGCAGGAGATTTGCTAGTATCAAACACACTATATTAAATTCATAAACCACGTTTTTTTAAAAACCCAAACTTTTTTTTCCAGTTAGCCGAACAATTCTATTGTAGAGGTTCATCTCAAACTCAAAACAAAATGTACTAATGCAAAAACGTTGATTTACACATAACAGCTTCTCCCTTCACTTAAACCAGGGGTCTCAAACTCGCGGCCCGCGGGCCAATTGCGGCCCTCGGGACGATATTTTGTGGCCCCCGCCTTCATATGAAAGTGTAATGTTAGTGCGGCCCGCGAGTTCCATATTGTAGCAACCTCGCTGTTAGCAGCCACTTACAACCTCCACCCCAGCGCCGACCGTTCCGTTCGCCGGTCGGACCGTCAGTGTCATCCCCCCCGTCGGCCATAATGGTCTGGCCCGCGTTCGGTCGAGGTGGGCTGCATCTGGCCCGTACCTGACTTGAGTTTGAGACCCCTGACTTAAACGGAGGCAAGTTATTGTTATACGGTGAAATCTATTCATGTTTAAACGTGCAGTGGAAGGCCTTTCATGAGGGAGTAAACTGGGTGCAATATGTAAACATTGTGGTTTACAATCCCTACACAGCTCTGACTGCAGGTCACAGAAACATAACATCTCTGCAAGAATTTGTTTCTCACAAAATAGAATTGAACCCTCATAGAATCAGTCAGAAGACATTTGACAGATTGGCGGTACAGCAGAGTGCTTCTGAAAGAAGCCTTTCTTTGCACTAAGAAGACAGTGGAGTTCGTCACAAGAACTAAAGGACGTCTGTGTAAAAGTGATCGGATCACAGTCGAACAAACACACCGTCCAGTCTTTCTGCACGTTACGGGTCCCTGCTGGATCTAGTCACCTTATCAAAGTTGTGCATCTGCTCCCTGTTGGTGAGCCAGGACTCCAGGTCTGGGGCGCTCTGGATGACGAAGGCTTCGTAGTCGGCAAACATGGTGGTGAAGCGGCTGGCGAACACCTCCCTCAGCTGGACGTTCAGCTTGGCGTTCCTCAGCTCCTCCTCTTCAGCTGCTGTTCGGGCCCCCGGCCCTTGGCTGCCCTGGGCACTCACGCCGGCCCTCAAGGCGTCCACACGGGCCACCGTCACCCCGGTGCGCTTGGTGAGCGCCTGCAGCCTCTCCAGGGTGGGGTTCCCCTGCAGCAGCTGCAGCAAAGCCAGGTCCTCCCCTGCCAGGTTGCCGTTGCGCCCGTCGTCCTCCAGCTGCCGCAGGGCCACGGGCCTGCGCTCCCTAGCCGGGGTACAAGGAGCGCTGCCGGGACTGGTGCGGGTGCGCGGCGGGGCCCCCGTGTTGGCGGAGACGTTGAAGCTTAGCAGCACCTCGCTGAGCTCCTGGATGAACTCCGCTTTGTTGGGGAACTGGGGAAAGTCCTCTGGAAGCTCGATGTAGTGGTTGTCAATGTCCACAAAACACAGGTTGGCCTGGGAGAGAGACAAATTATAACATTAACACCATAGAGCTCAGGGACAGACAATGAGCCTACAAACTGATCATACTGCCAATCTCTGATACAAAAATAACTAAAGAAACTGTCATTCAATTGAATGGGAACGCGTGTCAAAACTTTATACTGGTACTGTACATCAGACATAAAATGAAAAGAGGGGGCCGTTCAGGGAGGGTGTTATCAGGTCGGACGGAGGAGGTTTTAGGAGGAATGAAAGGGGCTGGGACATAGAGGATGTAGGTCAGTGTGTGATTGATAACAGCACATCGTTGCACATAAACCTTAAGCTGACATAATGGAGTTACTATTTGCCCTCATATTGGATCAAAGTTAAACCAGATTACACTCAAAACCACAGACATGGCCGAGAACACAGAACGTCAAGCAGCAGTGATGGGAATCCGAAGGTCACACCTCCAATAACCATATGTGGGCAGCAAGGTGATGTGATGCAAGGAGGATTTTTCTAAATAAAATCAAAAAGCAATATTTTTTATGAATTCTGAAGCGCAAATGCAATCAACAGTAAAATATTCCATTGTTCTAGTGACAACGTCTTATTTAGATAGTTGTTAGCCATCGCTTTTTTTAAAGACACTAAATGCTTTTAAATTCATCAGAGGGTTAACTGAGTTGTTTGATATCATAGAAGAGGATAACCTAACCTCTCATAATGAAACATGGCCATTGATGAGGCAATGACATCCAGCAGATGTTCACCCACCACGTGGTGTTTAAAGAGGTTCAGGAACTCATCTGCAGTGCCTTGGGAGCCGAGGTTAGGGTCAGCGGTAAGAGCGCATGCAATGTCAATGTGTCCTTGGGTCAGACACTGAAATCCACTTTGCCCGTCCTCTGTCAATTAAAGTCTACCAACCACCAAGCCATTAAAACAGTAACTAACGCAAAGCCTGAAGCCATTTGTCTCCAGAAATGCTGCCCTAGTTTGGATTTAAAGCACACTAGGAACAATTGCATAATAAAAATATGAAATAGGGATGATAACAATGCTGCATAATCTTCTCTGCCATGCAAACATGACAGCGTTATCTCTTGACATGAGGTAAACTAAGAAGACGACCTGGACTGAAGTACAGGGTCGAGATGGACAAACACCACCTGGCGTTTATTCTGCAGGTGAATGCGTAGTTCCCCCGCACGTGGAGATCTCAGCAGTCTGAGCGAGCGGGGAGGGGGGGGCGCCCTGGTGTGTGTTTCTTCGCTGGCCGGGATAATTAGCATCCATGCGCAATGTGGCAGATTAACACGAGCCGGGAGTTGAGGGGGAAGTGAGCGAACGGTCATGTTACAGTTTGTAAGGGCCTTATCCTGAACACACACACACACACACACACACACACACACACACAGACACACTGACACACACACACACACACACACACACACACACACGCGTTGCACATGCCGAGCAGTCACCTTCTCGCTGTCTGAAAAGGGTTCCCATGAAGTGGGAGAGAAAAACACTTGGTTTGTCTGTTGACAAACAATAAGAAAAACTGTCCTATTTCTGCAAACAGTGTGTGTGTGTGTAGGGTGTGGAGAGAAGTGTGTGTGTGTGTGTGTGTGTAGTGGTTGTTTTTTTTGCAATTTCCTGTGTCTGAACTGGAGCCTGGTAGTTCAGGCTGTTGTTCAGTGTATTCCTTGGACACACATTCAGTAGTTACTGTTACTCAAAGTAACAGGATATAACACAGGAGCCTAAACCTCAGAGGCAGCCCAACTGAAAGGTTCACAATGCACGAGATGTGCTGCGTACCTCCTGAGGAAGCTCCAGCTTGGAGCGGTCCGCGCCCTCTTTTGACTGGAGGCCCATCAGGTAGGGAACAGGAGCATCCAGGAAGTAGAGGAGCGAGGCTGGCAGGATGGGAACATAGACGTGCTGCCACTGGAAGGGGAACAGCAGGGTGGTGATGCCCTCGGCCACGGTCATCAACCGCTGGTAGTCTGAAACAAGGCGAAAGGATAACAGGAGGTTTTACCATTTCATGGAGGTTTATGTGACTTCGAAGCTTCACAGTAATTAGTATGATTGATTAAAAATATTTTTCATCCTTATTGCTTTTGATGACTTCCTCTGGTCACCTGACATAAATCAGTGTTACTGTGCTTGTCGGGTCGAGTAGAAATGAAATAAAGTGTGTGTGTCCATGGTGATAAAGTTTATGTAACCAGAATAATTTCATCTGGGATCTTAATTATTAGGTTTTGGAAATATGTTGCTGTCCACTTAAGTGAACCCAACAAGTTGTCACATATTTCTGTACACAGAAAAGTGACGGGAGTCAATCTTTTTTCCTTTTTTTCCTTATTACGCAATTCTTGTTACTCTGCACAAGGATTGATAGAAGCAATCATCCGTCTCTTAATAGACGATCTATGGTTTGTCTGTCTGTGCGTTGGTATGGTAGGAGTTGTCTACAGAAAAAATAGTAAGACACAACCATCGAAGAGCTGCAGTGTCACGAGAGACAAGTTGAACATATGATATCTTGGCTGTTTTTTTAATAGCTTCATCAGTGGAACCACCACTCAGCCCATCTTCATCCATCTCATCAGTGTACCTTAACAGAGGGAACTTTCATCTCAAACAGACATCACAGTTCATCTGGGGTCAATTGTCGCTGGACATTGGTGGTGCACAGGGGGGGTGGTAGGACATTTGAGGACCTTTTTTTTCAATTTAATCCATTCCGGAGAGCTGTGTTTTATTTGTTGGAAGCGTAATTCGGGGGGGAACACACGAGTGAACAATAACCCGTCTCCTATATATGAGGCTCCTCATCAAACCTGGATTGATTTAAAATATTCCCCTATTTTCTGTCTATTCTGCACTGTCTCTAAAGCAACATACATTAATTGTTGGTTTGTATGAAGAAATGATGAGACTTTGATCAACGATTCAAACTACAGCTGAAAGTGAGTTTAGGGTTGAACAGAGGAGGAATTAGATTTGGATGGATTTTCTTCAATCACATCCTCATGTCAGGGAGAGAGAGAGAGAGAAACAGATTACGGCTTTTGTGTTGCGCTCAGCAGCAGTTTCATCAGATGGGATTGTGATCGCCACAGTGTAAAGCCTAATCGACCTAAAAAAAGAAGTAGTAGAATAAAACATGATTGAGTTATACTCCCTCCCCTCTTTCTCATTTCCTTTTGTTTGGTCTAGTTCAGTGTACGTGAACGTATGAAATCTGTGCACTTTTATTGGAAATGTATTGAGCTCTTCGGTTCCTTAAACCAGACCACAATGATTTATAAATCAACCACAAGAAGCAGCTGCTCTTCTTGTTCTCAATGACAGAATGAGTGTGTATACGTGCCTTTTACTCAGAAACAGGAGGGCTCGGTAGAAAGTATGCCCAAACTTTGACTGGTGGTGTAGACAATGAATTTTCAAATGGTAGTCCTCCATGGAACCATCTTGGATATCACACACTCAGGATGACTAACAGGCAGAACCCTGGAGGTTTGTGACACGACGGACTGGCCCGTACTACCACACAGGCAGAACTCCTCCCCTACCCTTCCACCCAGCAGGACAGAGCCGATGGGAGAGGAAAACAAGAAAAGAACATCCACAACAAACAAGCCTACAACTGCAAAACAGATTTGACTGTCGCAGGATCCTGAATCTCCAGCATAATCAGCGATCTTCTCAAAGCAGGGTAAGAACAGAGTAAATGTGAACGTGGAAGGCCGCAGGGAAAACTAATGACTGGGCCTGAGACTTTAGGGTGACAGCTTAAATAACCATTTAAAAAGGATTCTTAAAATGGATGCCTATTATAAAATGTAATTTAAAAAGAATCTCATGTACCCCCTGAAGTCCCTTCATGTACCTTCAGGAGTGCACGTACCCCCCCTTAGAGAACCACTGCTCTATAGAACAATAGTGCAGCACTTCTAGGAGTCCGAGCAATCCGCCCCAAACTTCCATGGCCCCAGTGGGCTGTGATCTAGTACCCCCCGTGTGCTAAAGGGCTCTCAAAATAGCAAAAGAGGACGTTCAAACATTTGCTCTAAAAAAAAAAACACATTCGAATATCTGGTTGCGCATTAGGCGCGTCAATAACAGGACAAATCAATACAATGAGACATAACTACTTTATGTAATTTGTTTAACTTTAAACATCTTTAACATATTACCTACACAACAATAAGTAAATTAACTGATGGCCAAGACCGCAGATCTCTCGCCCGCACAGTCTCTCTCTCTGCGCAAAGCGGTTTAAATGAACGACAACAATAAACGAATGCAGAGTAGTGATCAAGAGTTTTTTGCAAGCAATTTAAGGTCGCGATTCTTGTCCCAAATATGGCTTCATTCAGTGATTGAAACTGAAAGTTTTACGGTACCGACATTGAACGCTCCGAGCGAGCTGTGCGGTCGCGCCTCTGCTGCCGCTGTTGTTTTTTTGCATTCAAATATTAATTTTTACATTTGAATAGTTGTTCGAATATATTCTTGAATAGAGAATATTCGTTGGACAGCCCTAATGCGCTAGTGCAGCAAATGCCTGCAAAATGAGCAACATCCCAATGAGTTTCCATTTCTCTCCCAACAAGTGTTACATTGATGCAACACAGAAAGTAAAACCACACCATCACCCTCCTCTTGACAAAATTTAACTCATTGTTTTTCTACCTTTCAAAATGGCTGATTCATCTTTGAAAACATTTGCTGTGTTGCTAAAGAAACTCCCTTTGATATATGACAAGCTGCAGGCGCCTGTAAGGATGTAGTCATTTAAAAAGGTAACAAATCTGATATGACAAAGCGTAGCGGTGCAAAAAAATCCCCGGTAAAAGCAAGGCTCAGGCGCATTTAAAAACAGGACGGGACCTGTTGAGTCATTGTGAAACTGTAACGGCGCATCAGGGACTGGTGCACAGGCAGCCCAGTCTCACAAGGGAAGAAGCGAGCGGTCTGTGGTAAACAGCATACACCAGGTGTTCTTCAAATGCAGAGATGACACACTTTAGTTCTGCTGCACCATGATAATGCGGAGAGTCAGAATCGCTTTGTGGAAGGACGATTTCAAATGGATCAAAAATGAAACCGGCCCAGAATAGCATCTTATCCCAGAACAGATCAAAGACAGAAACTGATTCACACGGCATGAAAACCTTGGTTAACCACTTATCAAGGGACTTGACAAGAAACGTAAAGGACAAACATTTTGGTCACCTAAAAAAAAAAAAACAGATGGTGCCTGCAGAAAAGCTATGGCTTATTTTGTTCAGAAGGCCTTTCATTTTCGTGCTCAGAAGCATTGTCATGTTGAAACAGGGAAGACACAATCACACACCAAAGGTTGGATTAGTGTAAAGTCTTCCCTCCATTGGACCCGAGGGGCCCAGACATACCATGTCACTTTATATCTCCGCACAGCAGATAGCGAGTGAAGACAGGTGGGGGTGGATGAAGCCTCCGTAATCAGTCATGGTGTAACTGCTTGATGGAGCATGGGAACATATGGTTGGGGGAGCACCTCATCAACAGAGAGCGTTCTGCAGCTTTCCCCTGAACTGAACCCTTCCATCACCTGCCTGCAGCCCAATGGACTGCTGCGTTTCGAGATTTTTCCCTTTGCTACAAACAACTGAGGCCTTGTTTGTAAAGACTTGTCTCACCGTCGGAGACTGGCTGAATGCCCACAGAGATCCTTGACGAAACATGGCGCTTGAACGATAGGGATCTTTCGAGCAAGGTCGTTTTTTTTAATTTGAGGCAGAGTGATAAATAATAAACTGAGACCCATTTTCGGATCACAGGACGGGATGAGCAGGCATGTTTTATTTCTAGTTAACAGTTTGAACCTTATTTGCCTCACATATCCGTAAACCTAATAAGCAGATATTCAGTCCCCACTCAAGAAGTGATCTGCTTCTTCAATAGTTTGTGTTCTTTTCTTTGTCCAGACATCATCCAAGCTGTCTGTGCAGGTACCTACAGTAGGATGGATGCTCACCTGATACGGAGTACGCTTTTTGTTGGTCACCAATTCTTTGGTTATTCACAGTTGATGCTCACCACTCTACTACAGGTCTGTATTTGGACTTACACTTTCAGGTACACACACTTTACTTCTGAGGTTGATTCTAGTTTCATGTCCATCCATTAAGTGCAGTGATGTGGTAAGGCTAGCTTAGCATAAAGACTGGGAGGAAACAGCTGGCCTGGCTTTGTTCAAAGCTCTATGAAGCTAGCGAAGCCAGGCTGACCACACCTCTGAACTTAACGTTGGAAATGTTTTAGGCTTTATCTGAAATGTAAAGGGGAAAATGGTAAATGGACTCTAGTTGTACAGAATTTTCTTCCAGTCTTCCAACCACTCAGCACACTGTAACGTGCATGTAATCATTCGCACCGATTCACACACTGATGAGTATTATTTTTCTTCAAGAATTTCCCTCTGAACAGAAAATGGTAACCGGCAGCTACTATAAAAAATACACATTACAGATTAGCATTTCATCCAACTCGCTTCAACCTTCCAACGTACCCCTTTAAGGATAAATACAATTTCATTTCATAATTTTTTCCCCATGAATTCATGCAAACAGCTGGGCTTGGAATGTCTATATGGAACACAGAAATGTTACACAGGTAGTCGATTTACCATATCCATATATAATAATACCAAACAAGACTACAAGCTTAATTTTGACTAATAACTTCTTATTGGAATGAGTCCATTTCTCTTTAGAGATGGTCCATAGTGTTTCCCCTACCATTATAACGGGGCCCCCCTCACGCACGGCAGTTCCACACTAGGGCTGTCAAGGAATATTCCATATGCGAATATATATTCATCCCCCCCCCCGGTAGGCTGAACCGTTTGCCCGACTACTAGCCTTTTTGTCCGAATAATACATTACCCCCTTCTCGGCAGAAGCTCTAGCTATGCTCCTCTAGCTGATCCACTGAGTCGCCACGTTAAAGGACTTGCTTGATAGTCTTCCGGGGCCACGAGTTTGGAATCTTCTCAGATGCCAAAGGTCTGTGCGGTTGTTTATAGATTTATGACACAATTGTGTAACACTACGACCATACTCTTGATGCATGCCTTTATTTTGGGGGTTACGATTATTTTCCATTTCCATGACTCATCCGGGACAGAAGCTAAACAAACAGAGATAGTGTTCAGAGGGCTCTGCGCTGAGAGGAGGGATGGACGGCAGGAATGGAGGTCGGAAGAGTACCTAGGTCTAATGTGAGCTCCTACAACGGTGCCTCAGCGTCTGTGAATAATGGATGAAGGGAAACCTAGAAGGGAAAATCGGATCGCCGTGCACAGTTTTTCGCCATTTGTAGCTGAAGGCTACGTGGGACCATTTTCTGGGTATAAGTGTCTGCAGCCTCACAGCCCTCACAGTGGTTTCTCAAGCTTTTCTTCTCACCGACCCACTTTAGAGGAAGTCAGATGTTTTCGTCCCACTGCAAAAAATTGTACTTGGATTTTTATTGAAATAACTTTTGTGACTCCTCCAGCTATGGATTTTCAAATAATGGAATAAAAAAATTGCAATAACATTCACATAAACCCGATTGCTCGAATAGAAAAAAAACAAAATGTACAACCATCTGGTTAGAACATATTTAATGAAATTGTCCTTTATATATTGTCTCCATCTTAAATTGCTTTTGGAAGAACAGTCTGATTGAAATTAATGAAGAATCAGATTATTTTGGACACTACAGAGCCAACGAATGGCCACGGAACGCTAAATGAAAGGCCACTGAAGGGTCAAAATCGTCTGAACTGCTGCTACCTTACGAACCATCCCGACCCCTCAGGTCGTCTGGGACGGGTCCCCTTTCTCATCCCAGTCAAAACTAAACATGGAGAAGCAACGCTCAGGTTTCTACTCCACATATCTGGAACAATGTCACAGAAAGCTGCAGGTCCGCAGACACAAAATTAAGACTGTTGTTTGCTGCAGTTTTTAATTGAACTAGATTCAATTTACTGCATTTCACTGCTGCATTCAATTCTTAAATTGCCCCGCAACTTGTATTCTACTTTTAGCTTGTTTATTGTTATTATTCAAGTCAGTTTATACATTTATGCACTATTTATGCATAAATAGCATTTTTTCCAAATGCTATTTAAATATTCTTCCGCCCTTTGTTTAATGCTTTTAATGATTTTATGGGAAGCCATTCAATTCATGTGTGAATTGTTTTGTTGTTGAAATAAAACTATTTAATAAACTTGCCTTGCCTAGCATTTGCAAGTGTATGTTAGTGTGTTTACAGAAATGTCTTGTGCTGCATAGAAACGTGATTTGAGGGTAAGCAGGGTCCTTACCGTGAGAGTACAGCAGGATCTGCATCTCCAGCAGGGTGCAGGTGAACACCTGGACCAGGTTCTCCACTCCCAGCAGACTGAAGGCCTCAGCGAGAGGGAAGTCTGCCAGCTGCAGCTCCCCCAGGCCGGGCCTCTGGCACACGATGGGCTCGTACACACCGTGGAACTTGAGCGAGCGTCCCGGAGCCGGCAGCGGCACCTCGTAAAGGATGTTGTGGACGTAGCTCTCCAGCGGCAGCGGCGGGGCGGTGGCCGACGTCACGGCTCTGTGCAGCTGCAACAGGAAGCGGCGGCAGGCGTGCATGAAGGGCATGGGTGTAATCAGGCACATGGCCTTGGACACGTAGAGGGTGTCCCGTGATGAGTCGTAGCTGCCCGCCCGTTGGGACGAGGAGGTGGGAGGTTCGGCCTCGTCCAAACTGCTGGCCAAGGAGTCCATGCTGGAGGAGGATGACGAGGAAGCAGAGGAAGGATTGTTGGCCGTGGCGCTCTGTGCGTTGTGCATCAGGTGGAGGGTCTGCATGGCGGAGCAGATCTGCGGGCTGGTCACTTCCTCGTAGAAGGTGTGGACGAAGCCGTAGGTCCGAGAGCCGTCCTCCTTCGTGATGATGAAGGAGTGGAACTGCGGGTCGCGCTGGTCCGCCTGAGTCCTGAACGACAGACCTTTAGGCATGCACAGCTGCAGGAGAAGGAGAGGGACAGGGGTCACTCACTTACTGGTCAAAACAAGATTTGCTTCCATGAGGACAGGTTTTTGTTTATGGAGCCCTGGTGAAGGTTCTTCAGTGTCACCAGGTCAGATCTGTGGGGAGAGAACCATGGAAGCATGCACAGATGTCTACCACACAGCAGTCTATTCTTTGAAATACTACACACTGTTTTGTTAACTACAAATGATGATGAAGTAGCTGGTTTTAGTGGTTGGTGGTGATGGGTACATAAAGCGATTAGCATCAGACAAAGCAACCGCAGCCCTCTATTCTAACAGGAAGCTTCTGATTTTTAAATACATCATTAGTGGTTCAAAATAATTGGCCTACCGTGTGGAAGGATGGAAATTGGTTAAAAAAAAAAAAAAACTCATGAAACAGACAAATATAAAGAATAGTTGTTTGTTTGTGTTGGTGGGTGTTTGAAGACAAGATCACAGGAGCTTTACTGACATGACAAGGAGTGGGATTAGGAGGTGGAGGAGAAGGAGCTGCCCTGAGAACATTCCAGAGAGGAGAGGATGATGGGATGAGAGGGTGATGGAAGTGTGGAGAAAGGGAAGGAAGGAGAAAGAAAGGGGCCGTGTTTCTCACAGGACTTGAAAGAGAGACGCAGAATGTCTCTCGGTTCGTCATCCTGGAAAGTTCGCAGCCACCCGCGTATTGGGTTTCGGAGTCTGCTGCATAGCGGTCCGTTTCCATGCCGACGTAAGGCGAGAAGCGAGGTTAAATTATTCAGCAGCACTGATGCCGGGCAGGTGGAAAAATGTGAAGTGACCGCATACAAACGCCCGCTTGTTCTTCCTGTCAAGGTCATTGTGGCAACAGTTTAGCACCTTCAAGTTCCTCATCAGACAATCACCTTTTCAAGGAGCTAACGGGACTCTTATGGTGCAGTTTATCATGTAAAAGGAATTTACATAAAGTTGTTATTTTCTCTGAATATCTGACTCAATCTTGCATAACTGGCTCACAATGGGTGTTTTTTTTTGTTTTTTTCACCAAAAAAACAAACTGTATGGAGTAGAGACGCGCACCGACTGCCAGGATTAGTCCATTCTAGCTGTGGGGGTGGTAATGTCTGCATTCACTTGCTTTAATAAATAAGCCCCCCCCCCAAAAAAAACTTATTTTTTTGTTATATATCCACGCACGGCTGTTCCACACTGGCATGAATATGTCGCAAATATGTCTGTGTGCCGTGTAGCTAGCAGCAGCAGCGGGGCAAAGAGCACCGGAGTGACTGCCCCTCCCTTCACCCGTGGACGGCCGACCCGTCAGGAGACACAGAAATTACAACATCAAGCCTATTTTGGTACAAATATCAGCCTTCCGATAGTATGCTGTATGAACAGCATTGCAACATACAGCATTCTTTCGGTTCAATGGTCTCAGTGTGTGTGAATAAATCACCATTTTGACTAAGATGGGAGCATCGGAGTTCAGCTCGATGATGTTTCAGGTTTCAGACTTTTATAATTAATTATTTCACACAACATAATGACAAAATCCACCTACCATGTTGACAGCATCCTGGTCGAAGGGGTTCCACTCCACATTCTCCGGATAGTGTGCCAGAACTTTGGACTTGAACGTCCTCTTCAGGGGGCTCTGCTCAAGGTTCTCACCTGGATGGACGAGAAGACGTAGAGAAAAAGTCAAGGATGTATCGGTCAACACAATGGCATCATGAGCACCAGCTGGCACGTCTTCATCAAATTCAGCTGACGCTTTTTTATGTTGACAAACCTCCATGAACTAATTAAAAGTTATAAATTGTGTGACAGAAGGAAGTGCCAGAGAGAAAATGTCCAATACCCTTTTTTCATCATAATCATAACTGAACACTGAAAAACCATCAAAAGCAACAGGCAATAGACTGATATGATTGGTATGAGCATGGAAACGTTTCCTGGGTTTAATATAGGATATAATACCAGGGTTAATCCACAATTCTTCTTCTTTAATATTTGTTTTTATCCGTTTGTTTAATTCAAGTTGGAATAAAGTGTGTTTGGAGAATCGGTGCAGGGTGGATTTTTAGGAAATAAATTGTGCGCATTGTGCATTAATAAATGATGATTCACCTCAACGTGAGTCACATAGAATTGCACTGGCAAAGAGGCCATTAAATGCCGTTGGTGTCCAGGAAATGAATGAAGATCAGAACTTTTCCAACAGAAGACCAAAGCCAGGATGTTTGTGGGTGTTTCAGTCCAGTGGAAAGGGCTTTAGAAACACAAAAGCACGAAGCTGCGTAGAATCAGCAGCTGGGTTCTTGGTCCAGGACTGTGTAGAGTAGAGAATGACCTTGTGAACACAATGGGTCACTCTTACCGCTGTGTGTTTCTCTCGTCACCCATATCAGGACACAACTCTGCGCACACACACACACGTCAAATAAGCCTGTCGTCTCTTTCAGTCCTTTCCCTGCTGGTCAACCACCAATACTATCAATCTCCATCGGAGGGATTGGATGTCAGATGGAGGATTCCCATGTTGACTACACGCATGTGTCCCTGTTGGCAAGTCTTGTAAAACATCGAAGCGCAGTACCAGTCCGTGGGCCACTTGGTACTGGGCCGCAGAGCAAGAAAAAAGATTTTTTTAATTTGACTGACTTTTTCTGAAAAATATTTTATTTTGAAAAATGACCAGATTCACAACCAATTACAAGCGCTTGCACAACTGAGCTGTTAACCACCATTTCATCAATTTGATTGGTCGCATGTGACGAGTGGTGCAACTACAGGCTGTATAGAAGAATGGGAACAAAACAAGGGGACATCACCCATTGGTTTGTACACTGCTGCTTGGAAGCCTTTACTTCGGCTTAGTTGGTTTGATTTTGCCATCATGTTTCTGGGAGAGACCTGTAAATCAAAGCATGCCCTGCTCCATGATCTATTTGACTCCACACAGAGCGTCACTTACTATTCCTTGTCTCGTAGATTACTAACCGAACTTCGTTTTGCAACCAGAGGAGGCGCCCCCTGATGGTCAGAACTGGAAGTTGCAGCCGTGGGGAAAATGTTTGAACTTGTTAGGCACATCAAAAAAAAAACTTGCGCGAAAAAATGTTTTGATAACCCTGTACGCTCATTTGCATTCATGAATTACACCGCTCTTATTTGCATAAAGTGTGCCAGGAGCAAATATAGAGACCCCACGTTCGTGGATAGCCATTTCTCTGGCTCCGGTCTGAATGGATTACATAGATGTGAGATTACGAGATACTGACATACATTACATTGAATACATGTGTGTGACGGAGACAGACACAAACTAAAGCAGGACAGAGCCAACAGCTGAGCGTGCCGTACCACATCTATTCCTTCCAGACAACTTGCTCCATCACAGCCAAACTATCAATTGAGCTCTTTATGTATTTTCCTAGATTTCTTTCTGTTCTCTTGTAACTGCGTTATGTATTTTCAGAATCTTTGTAAATGGAACTGAAGGGTGCCAGTAGGCTTAATTATAAAAGGTTTCTGATCAATCAACACAATCACATTAACATTCATTGTTTCTCGCTTAACTACATGAGAGAGAGAGACAAAGAGAAAGTGACAGAGTGAAAGCGAGGCAGAGGGTTTGAGAGGAAAGATAAATAATCATAACCCTTCGACTAGATTATTATTACCAGATAAATACCACTTAATTAATTATAGCCATAGATAAATAAAGGCAATAACACCAAACTGATCTTTGAATGAGGGATGAGAGGAGAGGACATTTTTAAGCACGGAGCAGTAGAACTACCTACAGCATCGCGGAAGCTCAGCGAGTTGTTGAAGTTTGCAGCATTTGTGCTAAATGCTAATGGCCTGGATTAAAACACTTGCTGTTCTCATCATTTGCTTCGGTCATGTCTGATGGTGGCTAGCCGGACTTCTAATATCACTCGTTTTCGTCTTCTTTAGGAAGCGTTGTGATTGGAGACCAACAGCCAATCACAATGGACCTTCTTTAATTCTCTGATTGGTTGGTTTTGTGGCACAAATGTAACGCTGCTGCAAGTCGAGCGAGCGCAGCGTGAAGAGGTGGAGAGAGCGCAGCAACGGCTGCCTGCGCGCAGAAAACCAGTTTGTGGAGACGGCACCTGAGTAAACTGCGCGCACGGAATGTTTTTCTTTGCTACAACATAGTTCTCTGTGCTCAAAACTTACAATTACGCGCTCAGGATTGTGGCACAAATATAACGCCATAGGGCCAGACCATTATGGCCGACGGGGGGGATGACACTGACGGTCCGACCGGCGAACGGAACGGTCGGCGCTGGGGTGGAGGTTGTAAGTGGCTGCTAACAGCGAGGTTGCTACAATATAGAACTCGCGGGCCGCACTAACATTACACTTTCATATGAAGGCGGGGGCCACAAAATATCGTCCCGAGGGCCGCAATTGGCCCGCGGGCCGCGAGTTTGAGACCCCTGCTGTAGAGGATCTTCCTCTGCCGTTCTCCTTCAGGTTTCTCCTTGTTAAAGGGTTTTGTTTTTTTGAATGTGAGGGAAAAGGGCAGATGCGTAATTTTGGTCTATACAAATTAAAATTAATTGAATACTGCACATGTAAATCTTGATCTCTCTGCCTTTATGTATCTCCGCACACACAGACACACACAAAACCATGGCAAACATTAAGAAGGCACGGAAAGGATGAAGAGGGGAAGAATGAGTAGAAAAAACCCTGCTCGGATTCTCTCCTCCATCCTTCACTTTTACCAAGTGCTAGATTGTCTGTCTGCAAGTCGCGACGGACAGAAAACAACCCACAGATAACTGGGAGGCCGGGAAACAGAACGACTGCAGTACCTTCATGGGAATTCGCATGAAGAGAGGCGAGAGGGATAAAAATAGGACTGATTTGGATAATAATCTCAGAGAAAAGTTGACCCAAATACTGTCCAACGGAGAAAGGAAATGAACCCTCAAAGTCAAATCAGAGATCTGTAACACTGTAAATAACGACAGATCACGTAATTTATGAAATGGGGAATGAAGTTAAACAATATCTATGTTATGTATCGCGGTTGGTGGGTCACAGTTCAGTATATTTTCACAAAGGTGAAAAGATATATTTTTCATTTATAAAAAAAATACAGTATTTATAGATAATTATTTTCAATCTGAGATTCTTTCACAAATACTTTAACATTAACTATAATTGTTGCTCTTAAATACTGCTATTCTGTCAGTAATAAATATCAGAAATGTTTGTTATGTAAATATAACCCAAGCGTACATCACATCTCGTCCAGGGCCCTGCTCCTCGATTGTGGTTCAACAAAGTCGATCAAATGTCCTATTAGCCAGCTCAAGTCAGGCTGCCTTGGTTCCTTAAAGGCTGATCCGCGCTCAAACAATCTCGTTAATTTGAACCAGTCATCAAGATAACTGCGCATGCACGTCCTACTTCAAAAGGGGAAGAGTTGATCACTGAAACCAGGATTTTCTACCAGTGCAACTGCAAATAAACTCAAAGGAAGCGTCTTTTTTCTCTGCTGACGAGCAGGAGATAATCATGCACGCATGAGGAGTTCAAGTCCACAATATGAATATTTGAATCGTTTCTGTTGTAGGAATTGAACGTATTGTACATATTTTACGTTGTTCAGTCTGTACACATGACACATGTCTGTCCAGCTCGGGAGACGGATCCTCCTCTCACGTTCTCCCTCAGGTCTCTTCCCTTTTTTCGCCCCATTGACACACAAAAAATTGAAATACCTTTCAATGTAAGAGTTTCGGGATAAAGGGTGTTGCATGTGTATAGACTAAAATCCTTTGAGGCAGATTTGCAATTTTGCACATATAGAAAATAAAATTAATCTAACTGAATAATCATGGCAAAAACTAGCATGCCGCCCTGCGAGGGCTTCAAGCCCGGCAAAGTATCGCAGACGAGTTCAATGTGTGAGTGTTGGGAAAATGTATCGGCTCATTTTAGGTGCCTCGTCACTCTAAACAATCAGATTATATTTCTTTAAATGTGCCTGCTGGGAGTAGGCTTAATGGATGTTGCTAGCAAAATAAATATCTCAACTCTTTCAGAATAAGGAGATAGAAACAACCCCAAAGGGTATCCAATACAATTTAATAGCTATGAGAATAAATGTACCGTGGCCATCTACACATACATGCGTCGATGTGGAGTTTTAATGTGCGTGTGTGTGTGAGAATCTGTGGGCAGATCAGTTAGCACAGAAAATTGGAAGAATGTTCATTGACAAAAAAAAAAAAAATGTAATGAAATAAAAAGTCTAACGTTACAAATAAATATGGACACATATAACCAGGCCGTCATGTGAGTAACGCCGTCTCAAGTCAAGTCACATGGCTTTCCCTCCGTGTCTGAAGTCATGTACTTGTGATGGTCATCAGCGGACTGAGGAGAAGCAGGCGGGCATGCAGACAGAGCGCGGCATATGAAGGCTCATGGAGGTGTGGAGCTGCTGATGGGGTTTTACCTGAGGCTGCATCACCTGGATCCTGGCCCTGGCGGTCTGCTTCTAGCCACTGGTACAAAGCTATGGACGAGTCACATGCAGAAACACATGGAGCAAGAAACAAACACAAAGAAGAATGCAATGTCAAAACAAATGTACACAAAAAGAAGCAGATTAATCAATGCATGAGAATGAGTAGATCATGAACATGTAGACATGTAGTGCAACTTAACACACATGATATTGAAGTATTAGCATTATGAAAGGTCACTTTTCAGGTTTATTAGACACTGAGCCACCAAGGACCAGTATGATTATGGAGGTGAAATTCCCTAATAAGAAAACCAAAGTGAATGTCACGAAATACAGACAGAAGCACATGTTGTATGGAAATGATATATATAGGATACATATTTTTCATGAATACTTGCTCTTGTGTGTGCAAGATTCAAGGAAATGTTAAGATGCATGTTAACACTACATGTAGCGTGTGGTTCGGTGTTAGTGAGGGAACTAAGCAGCATTTGCACAGCAACAAACATGTCTGGTGTCATTTATAGATCAGACTTTCAATAAAAAGAGAGACTAGAGACCCGGCCCACTGTCATTATAAACCCATGCTGCCTAGTGAAGAGCTCAATGTTTCCAAAATAACTAATTTAAGGAAATTAATAACCTTGGAAAACGATGTACAATATCTAAAATATTTCCATTTGATTGAATGTTGAGGAACAAGCCTGTTTGGTTTCAACATTTCCCTCAGTATAGCCTGTATTTATATTGTGTCAGACCAGTAACTTTAGCCATATTTATGGCAGCAGGTCAAAGGGCTGTGGCTGGTTGTTACTTGTCATGACTTGAATCGGTGTGAAGCGCAGCTGGAATGTGACCACACACACAGCCTGCTGACTCCACCGTGTCATGGGGGGAGAATACTGATACTGCCTCTGTGGCGTCCGCAGCTTAACGGGATAAACAGACTGGTGGGGACACGTCCTCCTCTCCAAAGCCCCCCCCCCCCCCCCGCTATATTAAAAGGTTATCATCCTTTATCGCTGCATTTGCACATCCCCACCCCACCCCCCCCCATCGCGGTGGCCACGTTTATCTAATCTGCCCTCATTAGCAGCCAGTTATTTGAGGTCTCAAACAGAAGTGAAGAACTGCTCATACAGTCAGGTGACAACGGTTCCTTAAGCCTCTGGGGATGGAAGGACCCGGGGGAGCAAACACAGCATCTGCCCAAGTGAAAACTCCTCTCTTTATCTTTCTCCTCGTCACCAGAAAGTGGAAGAATCCAACAAAAGCCCCTGTTTGACAGCATGGACACACGGGGACATATACCGCAGTAGTGCCCCTGGGTAGGACCCAGTAGAAGGCAGTTCCAGCCTCTGCACCTGGGAACCTGGGACCCTTTGTAAACAACACACACACGCTTAGACATTCCCACATAGACGCACAGGAAGTCGATATACTAGTAGCCGTCTGTATAACTCGCGTTTACTCACATCACAACATCTCTCCGCGACCCACCTTTTTTTTTCCGGTCCAAAGACCCAAATCCAGATCATGTATGGATACTTCATAATGATTTAGAGATCAGAAGGTGTTACCCACCTCCTCTCCACCACCACCACCACAATGACAACAACAGCCTCCACCCCATCTTCAGTGTCCTTGTTGTCGTCAATGAGACAGATTGCCTAAGTGGTTATTACTCCGTAAACATTGGACGCACACTCATGTAGCGTACTGCTGAAGGCTCTTTGTCATGACTATTGGTCGCTTTGGATGAAAGCGTCAGCTAAATGACACGTAATGACTATTAGGTATGATATGCATTATGTGAATGGACACATTTTGTGTTGTTCAATTTCAAAATAACAGAAAGAGTGTGTGGAGCAGACTGAGCCGTAAAGAACAAAACGGCTGTGATTCAAATGAAAAGGGGAAATTAAAGTAGTAAGAGCATTAGTAATAAATATGAAATAGGCTGAGAAGCGACAGTCGCAACACAAACGACAATTCTCTGCAAACGTAGCGATGTCGCCATTCACACGCGCAGGCTCCTTGCAGGTGATTGTTTTCTGACCTCTGAAAACAGTCGCTGGTTTGCTGTCCAGATGTAATACAGGCAATAATTGCCTGTTTTCACTAAATGGGTTTACAGTGTCTTAAAGGGCAATGCACCATTTTTTAGCACAAGACCATCAGTAACATTTTAATACTAGTTGTATAATGTCTTCTGTGGCTAAGAAACTTCATCTCAGGGATTGTATCATGACGTCATCAGGTTTAAAGCCTGCATTACAAACTGGGGGTTTTGGACAACACAATGTGCTCTACGTGGTATATTGCATTGTGGGGGAAATATTGTAAGCAACGTAATGAGCAACGTGATGAGCGAGAGCAGAAAGAAACCCTCCTTCCATTCAGCACCACCTCTCAGCTGAAGACTAAACAGAGAAACACTGGACATTGAGCATGACCTCAGAGTAGAAAAGCATTCAATTCTTTATTTTTTCTTCTTTATTAATTCATTCTTGTTGAGTATTTTTTAAACTCTGTCTTGTTAAGTTGTTACTTATTTCATGTTTGTGCAGGAAAGCACTGTTGAGCCACTTATAAAGTTACTGAATTTTTATGTATGATGTGTTAGGGGCGTCTCTAGGGGACACAAAGCATTTTCTGGTTTGAATTAAAATGCAGCAAATTAAAATGTAAAAGACAATTTTCCTCTCTAGCATTGTCATTTTGGTTTAGCACTAAAATTGTTTTTGGTGTTGCCATACTGTGATACTGTGTACATACTGTAATATATATATAATTTAGCATCTGTAATAAGAGACTACGCAACAGAGGCTCATTTGTCCAGACTTAATCATTTGGGCGGAAACACACCAGCATTATGACATGCTGATGGATGTCACAAGGTTAAACAAGGCAGTGACAAGTGACGGTGGCTACAACACAAGCTCGTTTAAGGGGATGTGCTGACAATATAATGGGTACACGTAGCTTATATTGCTCTTCCTTACCATTCATATTTTGACCAGTTATCCCTTTCGAACAGTAAAAGAGCCTGTGCCATCTCAACGAGTTTATTATAAAGAACCTGTATTCAAGTCAAACACTCCCTGTGCCCCTGTGTGTGCGCTTGGGTATTACAATATATATATATATATATATATATATATATATATATATATATATATATATATATATATATATATATATATGGATGTGTGTGTCAGCCACACGACAGCTGTTGGTGCAGCAGATGCAACCCTATGAGGAGGTGGTGAGAGGTGTATAATGGGGCAAAGAGAATATGTTTATAGACGTTCATTATGACGGCGGCCAGGTCTCAGCTCAAAGGGGACTTTGACAGTAGAACTTTTTTTAAAGTAATTAAGAACGGAAAGGATGACAAAGTAGTGAGTAAATTAAGTTTAATGATAAAATACCGTCAGTCCGCTGCGCCGAGCGCCACACGAACATATTCGCACACGTGTCAGTGTGTACCTGCTGCACGCGGGAAACTAACACTTTTTTTCCTCCACACTTTTTCAGGGTGGTGAAGGGAATCACAGGGCGGGTGGGGCGCCCCCGTTTTAATGATCGGGGAACAGTTGATCCATCCTGCCTTGTATCAACAGCTCAAGCTGGTTGTGTTGGTGTGGGGGATATTTTCTTAGCACACTTTGGGCCCCTTAGTATCAAGTGAGCATTGTTTAAATGCAGCAGTATACCGGAGTATTGTTGCTGATGTCCATCCCTTTATGACAACAGTATACACATCTTCAGATGGCTACTTCCAGCAGTCAAAGCTCATATCCTCTCAAACTGGTTTCATGAACATGACAATGAGTTCACTGTACTCCAATGGCCTAAAGGCCGAATGACCGACAAATCTGCAGCAACTGCATGATGCTATCATGTCAATATGGACCAAAATCCAACACCTTGTTAAAAGTATGCCAGTAAGAATTAAGGAACTTCTGAGGGCTAAAGGGGGTCGAGACTTTTACTAGCCAGGCGCACCTAATAAAGTGGTCGGTGAGTATACGTGTTTAATTGTTGCCTCCAAGCAAAGAAATGTTATTAAACCAGCTCTTTGGATGATAAATGTAGGTCCGCTGTAAATGGCACTATACCCTTAAATTAGCGGTTTCCAAATTTTTTTCTGTCAGGGCCTCTTTTGAGGATGTAGGGATATTGTATCGGATCAAGATGTTGCAACTGTGCGTAACATTTACTTTCACAGTAATTCATATTTATAATTACTAGAAGTCAATCAACAAATCACAAAAATAACTCAATTCCATAAACACCGTCCAAATATACTCAGTGGAGCATCGAATATGAATTAATCAGCTGCTGGAAAAAGTTCCCCCCCAAAGAGATATAACGTTTGAAATGAAAAAAAAATCAGAATAAAAACTACAGGGACATGCTCTTTTGAAAAAAGATTGGATGTTAATGAAATAATAAAACCATATCCCCGTGATGCGATTTTAAAGATTTACATCATCAAAAGGAACCACAGACATGCAGAGATGAACTAACACTCCATCCCCAGTACTGTTGGTTCAACACCTCCATTCAAACCAATTCCATAGTTTATTTAATCTTTCCTCAGAACACTTCAGTGAAACTGTAAATAAGGGCTGGCTGGTAAAGCACCTGTAAGTAAGTTTCCCTGTTATATTTACCCTCTCATCTTATCAGCTTATCCCGGGTCGGGTCGCGGGGGCAACAGCTCCAGCAGGGGACCCCAAACTTCCCTTTCCCGGGCCACATCTACCAGCTCTGACTGGGGGATCCCAAGGCGTTCCCAGGCCAGTGCAGAGATATAATCTCTCCACCTAGTCCTGGGTCTTCCCCGGGGCCTCTTCCCAGCTGGCCGTGCCTGGAACACCTCCCTAGGGAGGCGCCCAGGGGGCATCCTCACCAGATGCCCAAACCACCTCAACTGGCTCCTTTCGACGCAAAGGAGCAGCGGCTCTACTCCGAGCTCCTCGCGAATGGCTGAGCTTCTCACCCTATCCCTAAGGGAGACGCCAGCCACTCTCCTGAGG